ACTCTGTATGAAGAAACCCTCCAAATTTGCTGTTCTGTTGGTATCCAATAGGGGGAGCAGTGCACAGTATTAACTGGCAGTTAAAAGAAGTGCTGCTTCTTCCTGTAAACGGTGAAGGGGAGGGGAGCAGGCTGTCGGCTTTTCTGAGAGCAAGGGGGGTTCACGGTTGGCATGGATACTCGACAGTGGCGGCTGCTGGTCTTTCAAGGAGGGGAAGCTCATTTTTTTGGCCAACATCATAATTGTGTTTGTTTATTTGTATGTAACAGAACAGAGTCGCCAAACACAACGGCAGTCGTTTTTAACAAAGACAAAAGTGCAGAATCAGCTTCTTGTCACAGTGTGATAAGAAGCTGATTCGAAGATGAAGGCTTTCTAGCGCGTATTTAGTTAATGAAATGTACACACAGCAGTACGTATTTCACCACTTTTTCTTTTTTTTGGGGGGTGACATTTTAAGGGAAGCTGAGCTTCCCTTGCAGTCTTAGAGCAATCGCCACTGATACTCAAGTGATTTAGTCAAAACTGTATGCTTTCCACCTATCACTGTGGGTATTTTCCATGTAAAAACAGGCCTCTCTCATCTGGGTGCTGTTAAATGCTTTCTGTGACACCTGCAAGCAGTAATAGAAGTCAACAGTGCAGAAACTCTTAGTAGGACGTACGAGTGCAACACTTATAATTTTTCCATTTCATAGCCAGCTAAAAATTGCAAGAACTTTGGTGTATAATTGATATGTAATTGTAATGTAAACTTTTCTTATTCCAACCTTAATATAATGTTGAGGAGTCCCCTTTCTTCATATCAACATTCTTTAAATCTCACCAACCAAATTTTTCAACTTTATGATGAACAATACCACAAAAAAGTATCTGAAAACACCAAAAAGCTGCAACCAAAATTATCAAAGCAAAAGAAAGTTAGCCAATTTGAGGTGCTTGTCACTCTATTACCTAAGTGAAGTACCAAATCAAACAGGCTTTCAGATATCAGAGTGCAGACAGAGCATACACTTACACTGTCTTCAGTGTTGTTGTTTTCAGAGCCAGTGAAATATATATATATATATATGTATGTGTGTGTGTGTGTGTGTGTGTGTGTGTGTGTGTGTGTGTGTGTGCGCGCAAATACTTCAGGACAGGAGCATTTGCTGTTACACATAAAATACATTTTCAAATATATCAAACATATTTATTTAAATAAAATACATAACTTTGACCTTTTTCATTACTGAAGGAGCATTTTTGTTCGCATTCTATATTTAAGGTTTTAAACCTTTGAATTAAGGTTAGAAATGATTGGTTGAATTCTTTGATTTGTTTTTGTCTATGAATGCATGAAATCAAAAGGGCATAAGCAATGTCATTTTAGTATAATGTACATGAATTTTGTAATTTCCTGAAAACCTTATTTTTCAGTGTCCACGAGAAAATTAAATTAGGTTAGTGCCACATATATAGTCTATGGTCAGTGCTGGTTGAACTGCATGAATGATACCAAGGACTCTGTATGAAGAAACCCTCCAAATTTGCTGTTCTGTTTGTGTCCAATAGAGGGAGCAGTGCACAGTATTAACTGGCAGTTAAAAGAAGTGCTGCTTCTTCCTGTAAACAGTGAAGGGGAGGGGAGCAGGCTGTTGGCTTTTCTGAGAGCAAGGGGAGTTCACGGTTGGCACGGTTGGCGTGCTGCCAGGTGGTCATGGAGTGAGGTCAGCCTCTTTAGCCAGTAGGTGTGGATCATATCCAGGCCTGGTGCTGTCCAGTTCTTCATACCTGAGACTTTTTCTTGGATGTCTGCTAATGTGATGGTCACGGCATGTTGTTCAGGGTTTGATGTGGTCTGCTCTTAGATCGGTTAGCCACTGTGCATTGTTGTTATGTGATGCTTCTTTCCAGTATTGTTCAGTCTCCAGCCTTGGTGAGTTTGCTTGAGTGTTATTACCCTGCCACTGAGAATACACTTTGGCTGGTTCAGTGGAGAACATCCAGTTTATTAGCCTGGCCTCTGTCTCTCTTGTGTACCTCATCAGTTGGGCGGCTAATGCTTGGAGTCTTTGTTTAGCAGTTTCCAAGGCCTCAGGTATGGGCATCTGTCTGTACTTCTTAGGTACCTCTTTTCTGGCTGCACCATTCTGGAGCTCTGATAATTGGCAGATTTCTCCCCATATCACCTTGATTTTTTCGCCCCAACCCTCTCCTCCATGGTGGGCACTGCCCTTAGTTCACCTTGTTATTTACTTTATATCCAAGCATATAAAGGATCACTGTGCTATCTATCTATCTATCTATCTATCTATCTATCTATCTATCTATCTATCTATCTATCTATCTATCTATCTATCTATCTATCTATCTATCTCATATAAAATCACTATCTATCTATCTATCTATCTATCTATCTATCTATCTATCTATCTATCTATCTATCTATCTATCTATCTATCTATCTATCTATCTATCTATCTATCTATCTATCTATCTATCTATCTATCTATCTATCTATCTATCTATCTATCTATCTATCTATCTATCTATCTATCTATCTATCTATCTATCTATCTATCTATCTATCTATCTATCTATCTATCTATCTATCTATCTATCTATCTATCTATCTATCTATCTATCTATCTATCTATCTATCTATCTATCTATCTATCTATCTATCTATCTATCTATCTATCTATCTATCTATCTATCTATCTATCTATCTATCTATCTATCTATCTATCTATCTATCTATCTATCTATCTATCTATCTATCTATCTATCTATCTATCTATCTATCTATCTATCTATCTATCTATCTATCTATCTATCTATCTATCTATCTATCTATCTATCTATCTATCTATCTATCTATCTATCTATCTATCTATCTATCTATCTATCTATCTATCTATCTATCTATCTATCTATCTATCTATCTATCTATCTATCTATCTATCTATCTATCTATCTATCTATCTATCTATCTATCTATCTATCTATCTATCTATCTATCTATATATATATATATAAGTGTATATATATATATATATATGTATGTATATATATGTATAGAGAGAGAGAGAGAGAGAGAGAGAGAGAGAGAGAGAGAGAGAGAGAGAGAGAGAGAGAGAGAGAGAGAGAGAGAGAGAGAGAGAGAGAGACCAACTCAAAGAAGCACATAATTGTGAAGTTGTCATGTCTGTCAAGTTCTCTTTAGTTTTTGCACATTCATGTTTTGGTTTGTCTTTCTTGTTTTATTTTGACATCACTAACCCTTGTCTCTGTGTTGTAAATTTGCTTCATGTCTGCCCTGCCACCATCCTGTCCCACCTGCTCCCTGATTGTTTCTCCCCACCTGTGCCTCATCAGCCTTCATTACCTCTTGTATTTAACCCCATGTCTCTCACTGTGTTGTTGCCAGTTTCTTGCACTTGATAGTCCTCATCCCAGCCTTCTTTCTACATCGTCATAGCCTCTCATGGTCTGAACCTTGCTTGTTTTTGGATCTTGCCTTTTTTGCCTGCTGATTTTGATACCTCTACCTGTCTGGATTGATCTCTTGTTCACCTCCGCCTGTTTTTGATTAAACCCTTTTTGCCTCTGACCTCTGCTTCAGTGTCTGCCTTTGTGTCCTCCTGCTCTGAGCTGTTCTTGACAGAAATGGAATGAAAATGGTACATGGTTTTCAAAAATGTAAACAAATAAAAATCTGAAAAGTGTGGTGTGCATTTGTATTCAGCCCCCTGTACTCTGATACCCCTAAATAAAATGCAGTGCAATCAATTGCTTTCAGAAGTCACCTAATAAGTTAATAGAGTCCACCTGTGTGTAATTTAGTATCAGCATAAATACAACTGTTCTGCAAAGGCCTTGTTAGAGAACACTAGTCAACAAAGAGCATCATGAAGATCAAGGAACTCACCAGACAGGTCAGGGGAAAAGTTGCGGAGAAGTATAATACTACAGGTGCATTTGCTGTTACACATAAAATACATTTCAAATATATTATACATACTTTTATAAATAAAATACATAACTTTGACATTTGGGAGTATTTTTGTTAGCATTCTATATTTCAAGGTTTTAAACCCTTGTATTAAGGTTATAAATGATTGGTTGAATTCTTTGATTTGTTTTTGTCTATGTATGCATGAAATAAAAAGGGCATAAGCAGTGTCATTTGAGTATAATGTACGTGAATTTTGTAATTTCCTGAAAACCTTATTTTTCAGTGTCCACGTGAAAATTAAATTAGGTTAGTGCCACATATATAGTCTATGGTCAGTGCTGGTTGAACTGCATGAATGATACTGAGGACTCTGTATGAAGAAACCCTCCAAATTTGCTGTTCTGTTTGTGTCCAATAGGGGGAGCAGTGCACAGTATTAACTGGCAGTTAAAAGAAGTGCTGCTTCTTCCTGTAAACAGTGAAGGGAAGGGGAGCAGACTGTCGGCTTTTCCGAGAGCAAGGGGAGTTCACGGTTGGCATGGATACTCAAGTGATTTAGTCAAATTATGAGGTAGGCTCTGGACAACGCACAGCTGAACAGGCTGATCACATTCCCTGAGAGATTATCCAAACAGAAAGTGGGAGAAACACAGCAAGGTGATTTTGAGAGTGAAAGCTCTACAGAGCTTTTGGTTAAAACATTAATAAAGTTTTTTGTATCATTAACTACTCCTCGCTTTAGCACGCTGCTTTAATAAACAGCATAAAGACGTTAATTTTTCCCACAGAGAACTTCATATAATATTCTTACAGGAAATTAAAGTGTAAATGTGAAAAAGCTGAACACAGGGCCAGTATTAAGATGACTCTAAAAATAATGATGGGTGGGGCGGAACATACCACTCTGTTGAGAAAATCTGCTGGTTAAGTTTCACTTTCACTCTTACATGTGGCGTCTTTGTGTGTGCCGGTGCAGAGACATTATATAAACAGCAGCAGACAGACTCGGACTCAGAGAGCTTAGTCTCTTCACTTCAACTCAGAACTCCCAAACCTGAGCATGGACGGCAACTATTACAACCCAAACATGGCCAGAAACTACAACTATCCCAACATGGGCGGAAATTTTAACAACCCAAACATGGCCAGCAATTTTGGTGAGTCATGATACTTATCCACATTTTAAAAGAAAGGACTGGTGTGTTTTATCTCAGCTGCACAACGTGAACTCTGATGTTACTTCTGCTTTCTTAGGAGGGATGAAAAACTATTTTCTAGTTGATGCTTTTGTTTTAAAATAAAAATCTAATGAGACATTTTAGGGCACATGGGAAAACAATGTTAATTCAAAGTCAATATTAAAAGTCACTAGATGGACATGTGTACCGGTAGTTTAAATTTTGATTTCAGTGGAGGGATTGTCGAAGCATATGAATGATGAAAATGCCATTTTTGATCCAAAGTATCAGGGTCCTTTTTAGAAGAAAGTTCAGAACCTAAGTTTGAAAGTGAAACTGTGCTGTTAGCTAAACTCTTTTCTATTTGATATCATAAAATAATTAACAGTATCTGTTTTTGGTGACTTTATCTGTTGCACTCTTCCTTTCTGAGTGAACTGCCCTAACTCAAGACCTTATCCAATCTCTTTAACTTTTTACACAGGGTATACCATTACTAATAATGATGAAGTGAGAATAGTGATGGTGGGGAAGACTGGAATTGGGAAAAGCGCCACTGGAAACACCATCCTAGGAAGAGACTGCTTTGAATCAAAGTTCAGTGCTCAGTCCATGACTGTGGACTGCTCCAAAGGCAAGGGCACAGTGGACGGACAAAAGGTGGCTGTGATTGACACCCCAGGCCTGTTTGATACCAGGTTTGGGATGGACAAGACAGCCAAAGACATCAGCCAGTGCATCACTTATGCTTCTCCTGGTCCCCATGTGTTCATGGTGGTCATCCGGCTGGGTAGATACACTGAAGAGGAAAAGCAGACGGTGCAAAGGATTCAAGAGATCTTTGGTCAGGCAGCAGACAGATACAGCATGGTTCTCTTTACCGGAGGAGATGAGTTAGAGGCGGAAGAAAAAACTATTGAGGGTTTCTTGGCTGAATGTCCAGACCTGCAGGAGCTTGTCTCCAGGTGTAATGGTCAGTACCATGTCTTCAACAACAGGAAAAAAAAAGATCGTTCTCAGGTCACTGAGCTTTTGCAGAAGATCAGAAACATAGTCCAGAAGAACGGAGGAAGCCACTACACCAATGAGATGTTCCAAGAGGCCGAGAGGGCAGTTGAAGAGGAGAAACAACACATCCTGAAGGAGAAAGAGGAGCAAATACGCAAAGAAAAAGAGAAACTTGAGAGGGAAATACGGCAAAAGTATGAAAAAGAGATGAAGAGAATCAGTGATCAACTTCAGGCTGAGAGAGAGAGGGAGAAGAAAGAGAGAGAGGAGGAGAGGAAGAGGGAGAAGCAGGAGATGAATGAGGAGAGAATGAGGGAGAGAGAGGAGAGACAAGCAGAGAGGATGAGAGAGAGGGAGGAAAAAGAAAAAGACCTGAACAAACTGAAGGAACAGTTTGAGAGTGATCTGAAAGAGGAGAAGAAAAGGATAGAAGAAAAGTTTGACAGAGAGGCCAGAACAGAAGCTGAGGAGTCTAATCCTATGTACTATCTGGTTAAAGCTGGGGAAGCAGTGGTTGACGCAGGCAAGCATGTAGTCAGTGGAGCCAAAGCATTGGGGAGGAAAATTTGGGGATGGTTTAAGTAGGTGTTTCCTCATACAAGTGGTTCAACAGCAGAGGGAGACAAGAGAAAACAGTCCTCCTGAGAAATTATAGGAAGTACAGAAATATCTTATTTTATCCCAAGAATTATAACCTTTCCTTACTCAAGCTTTAGCTGTCTTTAAGTGATTCATTATTTGAGGAATGCTCTCACAGTCACAGCGTCATGACCTTTGGGTTTTTTGCAGACTTGTTTCTATACTACAGTATTAAATATTTGAAGCATACCATCTCATCTTCTGAGTGTGGCTGGTCAAACTTGTATCAACTTTCATGTCTTCTTAGGGTAAAACTTGCTTTTTAAGATTAAATGTACACGTGTTCATTGACATGTCTAAACCTGAAATAAAGATGTGATAATGAGACTAAAGCTGTGTCAAAGCAGTTACTGACTGACTTAACAAAAGCTCAAGGATAACAGGTTTGATCTTTCTCAAAAGTTTTCATTATCATTTTATTTAAAAGTGTTTTCAGTTCTTGCTTAGCTCGATTACTTATGTTAATTTCTTATTTTAAAGCTTCATTTTTGAAAATGCTTTTTGAGTCTATTTGTCAGAAGTTGGTATGGGTCATCTTCCCCACCACAAGTCTTTAGTATATGTCTAAACATTGTAATAGTCAAAAATGAGGATATGTTTCTCTTTTTCTTGTTTATTAATGCAAACGTACTGGACAGTTTATTTAAATGGCCTGGTTTTGTTGTGTTGTTGGTTCGTATCAGTGATAATAATCGTGACATTAAGATGTGGTGACTCTGGAAAAGTCCACTTTTCAAATAAGCACAGATGATGATAAAATAACATAAATACAGGATATCTTGAAATAACAGATGAGTCAAGAGTCAAGGCCACAGGACACTGACACAGGGCCAGAGGAGAGATGTGGCAGACACTAACCTCCACCAGGAACCCTGTGACCAGCCCCTGCAACCACTGCTGACTACTGCTCCTAAAAATAATAAAGGGAAAAAAACAAGTAGAAACTAAAATATGAATAAAACACAGACCATCTTAATGACAATAAATACAAATAGATATAAAACAAGGAACCTAGGCTAACTAGAATAAATGAAGATAAAACAAATAAATATTAATTAAAAGCTAAGCTAAAAAGTTGGGTCTTGAGCCTGCTGTTACAAACATGAACATTCTCTGAGGCCCTGAGGTCCTCCAGCAGGGTGTTCCAAAGACGAGGGCCTTAATATTGAAATGACGCCTCGCTGTGGGTGTGTGTCCTGACTTTTGGAATGACTAGGAGCCTGCTGCCAGAGGAGGGTAGCGTCTGAAAAGTTTCATAAGGTAAAAGCAGCTCTGAAAGATAAGAAGGCCCAAGACCATTAAGACATTTAAAAACAAGTGAAAGAACATTAAAGTCGATCCTAAAACACACAGGGAGCCAATGCAATGATTACCACTGATTACCAATGATTACCATTATTACCACTCTTATTATTATTCGTAGTAGTAGTAGTCATAGTAGTAATAGTTCTTTGTTGTTGTTGTTGATTTAATTTTTACTATTATCATTGTTAATTTTTAATATGACTACTGTTGCTTAATTTTCTGCAGCTGTTATTCAGAGCTTAGAACTGCTCTGTCCTTTAAAGCGTGGGGAAGGAGAAGTAAAGTGGGAGGGTGAAATACAGCAAACACAGGAAGCTCTAATTGCAGGAAATAACCTAGAACAAACACGTGACGTAACTTCACATCAAATCTGTGTTTTTTTTTTCTTCGTGTATTGAAACATCTGAACTGTTTCCCTTGTGATTAGAGCTGCATGAAGGAATCACAATTGCTTGGGATTTTCACAGTTTTTGATTTTGTGGCACACGATAATTTGTTTCATACTAATGTCCACAAATTATACCTGTTAAGAAAATGAATGTTTTGTTGTGTGAAACTAAACTTAACATTTAACCCTTTTTAAAAAAGTGTGACCAGTTATAGTTTACTGTCCAAAAGGCCTCCAGAGTCATACGGCAGTGCTTTTTTACCTCCGCCAAGGAGGTTATGTTTTTGGTATTGTTTGTTTGTTTGTTTGTTTGTTTGTTTGTTTGTTTGTTTGTCTGTGAACAACTTTACGGAGAAAGTTACAGATGGACTGACCTGACAATTTCACCAGAGGTGCGTCTCAGCCCCAGGAGGATCACATTACATTTTGGTGGTGATCTGGATTGCCTTCTGGATCCAGGAATTTTTTGAAGGATTCTTGATCATTGTGAGATAGGGCAAATTTTTGAATTTTTGCATTTAACTCTATAAAAATGGCCAGAGTCTTTAGTAAAAAATGACACAAATGGATCTCAATGAGTTTTATAAGGTGTCAAAGGTTGATCCTGATGCAGACAAAATTCTGGATACTGTGATCCAGAACACACAAAAATAAGGGGGTCGTTGGAATTTTCAATGCTGAAAGATAACCAATGGGCGGCACAGTGGTGTAGATGGGCTGCACGATGGTGTAGTGGTTAGCACTGTCGCCTCACAGCAAGAAGGTCCTGGGTTCGAATCCGGGTCAGGGCATTTCTGTGTGGAGTTGGCATGTTCTCCCTGTGTCTGCGTGGGTTTACTCCCGGTACTCCAGTTTCCTCCCACATCCCAAAAACATGCCTAAGTGGGGTTAGGTTAATTGGCCACTTCCAAATTGCCAATAAGTGTGAATGTGAGCGTGGATGGTTGTTCGTCTCTATATATCAGCTCTGTGTTGAACTTGCGACTTGTCCAAGGTGTCCCCTGCCTTCGCCCGAAGATGCTGGGATAGGTTCCAGCCCCCCACGTACCAGGGAATAGGAATAAACGGTAGAAAATTAAAATGGAAAGATAACCAATGAAGATACAAGGAAGTGTACTCTTACAAATATTGCATAATAAATCATGCATTTATGTATCTAATATGAATTTTGTTGTTTTAGGAACATTATGAACAGTGAACATACCAGTTGAAACACAAATAAAAGTTAATAAAAGACAGTAACAGAAACAGTAAAAGTTTTGGTGTGAATCACAATATAAGGGGGGACATGAGCTGCTTGGCGGAGGTCTGCGCTCTCCGAGTGCTTTTCTAGTTAAACTTACACTCATCTAGTTGTTGTCCTCAAATTGTTGAGTTTATGTTAAAAAGGTAGTTGATCAAGAAATATGCTTGAAAATATCAAATAATATAATCAAAAGTGTAACATTTTTGTTCACATACTGGCTCAAATTAGTGCAAGAATAGTCCGTTCAGGTCAAGTATTTAACCTTCATACATGCACACCCACACTCATGGCACTGGCTCACCCTGCCTATTTACAGTAATCAGCTCACAGTCATCCCTGAGAGGAGGGGTAGGCAGTATTTCCAGTTGGTCATGAACAAGTGTTTATGAGCAGATAAGGTGGCAGTTTAGAAGAAACGTTAAACCATTTGCTGCAAATATTGCTGATGAAAACTTTCACTTTTACCTGGGTGAGAATTCTTATTTTCTCTTTCATACTGAATGACGTTGTTATAGGACACTTTACATTGACTTCATATAGATCAAAAGTAGAGAGGACTGGGACTGAGAACTCAAACTTTCATTTCAAAACATTTCAGTCCCTGTTTTATTTCAATATTTGTAAACTGATCATGTAAGAATTTAATGTCCTCACCATTTGTTAGCTATTTACAGCCTTTTTACAACAGATTATCTTGTAATTTCATTTAGAGGCCTACATATATTTATATATATATCTCAGTTCAGTGCTGGCGCAATAAGGGATAGTCCAGAGCCATTTAGGTTTAAATGGAAATGTAAGTTCCTATTACCTTTACAGATATAAAAACACTCAATAAATAAATAAATAAAACAACCACATGATCACAGTGTCTGCCAGTAACCACATGAGTCTGCTGACAGTTGCAATGTACAACAGCACCACCAGCATTCAGTCCTCTTCCCTGCAGATTTACATTTACCATCCTGTGCTGGTATGTGTTGCTCTGGAGTGGATATACCAGTTCAACCAGGGACAGCTCACCAACAACTATATCTACATTGTCTTGATCAAAACTATTTAGTAACAAAAGCCCCACTGAGGCCACGTCTGAAGTGTTTTCCAGCATTATGGCAATTGCCGGAACTAAATTATTCTGCTCTTGATTATTATTATTATTATTATTATTATTATTATTATTATTATTATTATTGTTGTTGTTATTGTTATTCATAGAAGTAGTAGTTGTGATAGTAGTAAAAGTTTTTTTTGTTGTTGTTAATTTTACTTTCACTGTTTTCATTGTTCTTATCATTTTTATTTTTAATATTATTACTGTGACTTAATTTCCCATTTTAGGGTGAAATAAGAACGGTAAATTGCTTTTTCAAACAATATTTGAGAATGTGAAGTTACAAATCACTTTGTAACTCAGTTATAAAAGGTACTCTATAATTAGAGATCATGATTGTTATTGTTGATTTAAAATAGAACAATTATGATCCGGCAATTATATGTTAGTTTTTAATCTGATGCAAAAGAGTTGACACAATGGCTGCAAAAGTGCTGAAAAGTTGTGAAATGTTAAATCACCTGATAGGAAATCCAGTTAGGTTAACTGGCAACAGGTTATTGCAATGAATGGGTGTTGGGTCTAAAACCTGCCCAAATACCTGAAAACATATAAAAAAGGAGAAAGACAATGGAATATACTCGAGGAGAATGGACAGAGATCTTTCTTTTAGTTATCTCAATACCACTCTAAGGGTTCTTTCTCTGTCCGGCCTCTTTTATTTAGGGTTGTCCCTGGTTACACAATGTTTCTAAAAGGTGGGGAAAATTGGGCAGTAAAGTAAGCACTCTCATAAAGCATAATAATGAACAACTTGTGAATATGTGAAGGTCAAGGCGGCATCTAACGAGCTCCTTCTGATAAGGGTATCCTCCCCAAAACCTTCCCACGATTCATCCGCGGAGGATACATCACTCACACACCCACACCTGCTGATAGGAAAGACACGTCACAGAAAACTGAAAGAAACATTGTTGTGCTGTGTAGTAAATCTATTGGAGAGAGAAGTTAGGAAACACTCTTATATGATAAAAATACTCTTATATAATGTATAAAAAGAGGTCAAAGCAGTTTATACTTGTAGTATAAACTCTTACATAAGAATATGAGGAATAATGATAACTTCTATATACATTTATGCACATTATTCTAACAATGGGTATAAAAGGAGCATCCTATTTGCTAAGACTTTTTTTAAGCAAAAATTGGAAACAGCTCACACTGTCACAAAACTAAACTGATAAAGATTAAAGATATTGGAATTTCATCATTTGCAGAACATAAAATCACAGAACATAAAATACTATGAAAAAAATCTCTATCCAAGAAATGGGGTTTCCTCCCTGGTTCTGACCACAAGAGGGACAGAGGGGAAAGGAAAACAAAAACAAAACTGTCCTGTGGTGTGAGTCATATTCTGAAGTTGATGGGTAACAGGGTTGTTATATAAAATAAAATCCCCCTGCACTCTGAACAAAACAAATCATTGGTTTCACTTTCAGTTGAGTGCTGAATGCAGTTGTTACTGAATGTGGGCGGGTAAACAAGCCCGGTACATAAAGCAAGTCAGTGGATTCAGTGAGCTCAGTGTCTCCGGTGGCAGAACCCACTTCACACACTTTCACCAAAAATGGAGAGCAACTATAGCAGCCCAAACATGCCAGGTAACCCTGACAGCTTAGGTGAGTCATAGTACTTCAGTAATAATCTAATGTTCAGGTATTTAAAGATCTCTGTTAATTTTCTCTCTTTAAAAGCACAGCTTGTGGAGAATACTTCAGTAGCTTTACAGTATCACAACAGGCAGGGTTAACATTTAAATGCTCTTTCACATTAGTGAAGCTGCTCTTTTGCTGCTATGAAATGTGATTTCTGTCTTTTTATGAAGTTAAGTTATCTGCCAAACTTTCTTGTTGATTTATTTGGTAAAATTGAAAATGTACTTGTACAGGAAATGGTCTGTCTTTAAAATAGAAGAAATGTTTACACACACTGTCAGTAAGGAATGAAGGGTGGCTAAGACACAGTTTCACTTTCAGCTGACAGTGGGGATGGTTTAAAAGAACTGCCACCCATTCCTGTAAATGCTGGGTGAACAGCAAACAAATACACATCAAATCATGAAAAATGAGAATAACTGACTAAATTGAGCTTATCTGACTCCAAGAGAAGCTTTTCTAGTCTATAAGGTAAATTAAATTCTTTATAGTGATTGAAGACCTTATAAAGTTCTTCTTTTAAATGTTCAGAGGAAAAGGCAGTTAGGGTGAAATAGCTGTCCCTTCTAACTTATCTTAAGTCTGTATTGCAAGTTGTGATGTATTGTAATTTATCATGCCATGTGTTTTGTATATTTTGTCTTGTGTGGTCCTGCTCCTGCAAAATTAATTGCTCCCTTGGGGACAAATAAAGAGATTGATTGAAGCGTCTTATCCAATCTCTTTAACTTTTTACACAGGGTACACCATTACAAATAATGATGAAGTGAGAATAGTGATGGTGGGGAAGACTGGAATTGGGAAAAGTGCCACTGGAAACACCATCCTGGGAAGAGACTGCTTTGAATCAAAGTTCAGTGCTCAGTCCATGACTGTGGACTGCTCCAAAGGCAAGGGCGCAGTGGACGGACAAAAGGTGGCTGTGATTGACACCCCAGGCCTGTTTGATACCAGGTTTGGGATGGACAAGACAACCAAAGACATCAGCCAGTGCATCACTTATGCTTCTCCTGGTCCCCATGTGTTCCTAGTGGTCATCCGTCTGGGTAGATACACTGAAGAGGAGAAGCAGACAGTGCAAAGGATTCAAGAGATCTTTGGTCAGGCAGCAGACAGATACAGCATGGTTCTCTTTACCGGAGGAGATGAGTTAGACAAGGAAGGAAAAACTATTGAGGGTTTCTTGGCTGAATGTCCAGATCTGCAGGAACTTGTCTTCAGGTGTAAAGGCCAGTACCATGTCTTCAACAACAGGGAAAAAAAAGATCGCTCTCAGGTCAATGGGCTGTTCCAGAAGATCAGAAGCATAGTGCTGGAGAACGGAGGAAGCCACTACACCAATGAGATGTTCCAACAAGCTGAGAAGGCAATCGAAGAGAAGAAACAACATATATTGAAGGAGAAAGAGGAGAAAATACGCAAAGAAAGAGAGAAACTTGAGAGGGAAATACGGCAAAAGTATGAAAAAGAGATGAAGAGAATCAGTGATCAACTCCAGGCTGATAGAGAGAGGGAGAAGAACGAGAGAGAGGAGGAGAGGAAGAGGGAGAGGGAGGAGATGAATGAGGAGAGAATGAGGGAGAGGGAGGAGAGACAAGCAGAGAGGATGAGAGAGAAGGAGGAAAAAGAAAGAGAGCTGAACAAACTGAAGGAACAGTATGAGAGTGATTTGAGAGAGGAGATTGAAAGACAGCAGAAACAGGAGGAAATCAAGGCCAGGCAACAGGCTGAGGATGTTAATCCATTACTCTTTCTGCTGCTGAATGCTGTTGAACTCGTATCAGGAGCAAAATTTTTTCTTAGGGCAATCAGAGGAAAGTTCTTATGAGTAGGCCCACATTCAGGTCTTCTATTGGAGGAACCTCTCAGAAGCCTCTCCCTGAAAGACTTTTTCATTCATAACAATTTTAATAACTTCCAAAATGTGTGTGTGTGTGTGTGTGTGTGTGTGTGTGTAGGGGGGGGGGGGGTATGATTACAAATGTCAGAGGATTGAAGTTCAAAAGTGCCATCACCTTTTATCAAAATTTTTGAAAACTATGTACTATTTTGTATTAAAATGAACCTTTAGTGTATAATAAAAATGGATAAGTTTAAAACTCAGTCTGTATTTGAAATATTTTGAAATTTTGTCTCAGTTTATTTTTGGTGACACTTAAAATGGAGGTCTTGTAATAGACGCTAACTAATATGTAATTGACTGATTGTTGTGTTTTTATTTTGAACACGTGAAAAAAAGGCAAGTTGTCATACAATAGAAAAATAATGGTGAGAATACACAAACTACAAAGCATAATGCAACACAAGACTGTCAAACAACTGATGATTTCACATACGTGTCTGAAAGGCATGAGAGGAAGTACACACTTATCAAATCCTTCTCCATCAGTCACTCATTAATTCCTTATACTTCCAGATGAACTTAAACTGTCTTTAGTGTTTTAGTTTAGTTTAAAAGTCTTAATTCCCTTCTCTTTCATACTGTTTGTTTGATTTAAATTTCTTTCACTAATATTTTCATTTCAGTTGAGAAAAATAAAAGCACACAAAACAACACCCTAACAAAATCCAACAATATTAAGCGAACACCCAGCAATAATCAGACACCCCCATTCTTGCACAACTGAAATATATATATATATATGTATATATGCAGAGTACAGTAGATATAATGGTTCACACTCCTTACCAGTAGGTGGCAGACATGTCCCATTTCATTGTAGCAGAAGAAGAACAGGAAGAAGCAGAGGCAGAACCAGAAGAAGAAGAAGAGGTATGTGCTGCTTTAGCGTCTGTAGATTTGTCTCATTCATGGTCTGAAGGGCTGTAGAGGACTCGCACACAGAAAGATGAAAAAGACAGTTTCAGAAAGTTATTGATGAACTTGTGGACATACATACAAGCGTGAAAGACATTGCGTTTGTCAATCGGTAAGATGGAGTATTTAGAAAAGAGAGGTGCAGAAGGTTCGTGTTTGCTGAATCGTGATATCATTCTTAAGAATCTTTTCTGGATTATTAATATTTTCTTGAGGTAAGTTGTTTACATTCAACACCACGAGTACCAGCAGTCACCAGCACCGTTTCAAGATGGAGGCACTCTTAAAGTTGTTTTTTTTTTTTTTACAGTATTGAAACACATGATCTCATCAAAGGTAAATATAGATCCGAGCTGTCTCAGGGTTTTGTCACAGAGCAGTGGGAAAGAATTTTTAAACAATTAAGATCAAGTGTGTGTGTGTGTTTTTTGTTCGTCATGAAATGTTGCAGAAGTTTGCACGTAAATAGTTCAGTATTTAAAAGTAAGTGTCCATTTTCACACTGATCTGAGCTGGTTGGCTTAATTTAGAATTCAATGATTTTCAAATTATTTTGCACCTTGGTTTTTTGTTTTGCAATGATAAAGACTCACTTCCAGTTATCACAAATGCTTGATTGTTGCTGCCAAGGGTGGGACGACCAGCTATTAGGTTTAGGAGATGATGATTTTTTAACAGGTAGAGCCAGGTTAGATCGCTTTATTCCCTTAAGCAATGAAACCATCATTTTAAAAGTGCATTTTTATTTGCTCAGATCAGCTTTGTCTGAGATTCTAATTTGTTTGAACATCTGAAACATAATTGTGAGAATAAAAAAGTAAAAACTGAAGTAATCTGTGAGGGGGGAAATACTTTTTCTCAGCTCTGTATATTCAGTAAAATACTCCCCAAAGATGTGATATTTAGTGTTCAAACTGATGAACTCGATTGTTTATTTTTGTTAATATTCATTCATTTTGAAGTTGCTGTTGTAACAAATTTCTATTAAGTTGATTGAGGATCAATAAAAGTCGGAAAACTGAGGACTGATCCAAAAACTCTGGTGAACAGGTTAATTGGAAAAAGGGTCATGATTGGGCATAAAAGGACTAGGGCTGCAAATCACTTGTGGCCGCACCATACAAGATCATAACGATAAGTGAGCCACCATTCAATATTATTGTGATTTTGAACGTATTGCGATACAGTGAATATTGCAATACCATAAATTGTGATTTGCACAATTTTTTTCAACAGTATTTTATTTTCATGTTGCACTTCATGCAAAACTCATATGTCATGTCCCTCTCATTTGTGCCCTACTTCTATTCCTAATGTCCAGTTGCCGTCATGTTCGTTGTACGAACTTTCTCCTGCTCTATGATGTGACCTCTGCCAACCTCACTGGACAAACGATTGATTTTATTTTTCCATTATCATAGACTTGAGTTCATATTAGCAGTTAATTTGAAGAAATTGATCCTTGGTGGATGAGATGATAAAATATATTACCAGACAAAATATCATGATACTGTGTTGTATTGATTTTTTCTACCACCTCTAAAAAGGAGCATCCCAGAAAGACTCCTTCATAAGCAAGACTGTGAACGAATTCACCTCCAAAGCTTCAACAGTCAGTGTCCTCAGTTCACAAAAGCTTACTGAGTGTTTTTAAAGGAAAAGGTGATGCAACACAGAGAGAAAAATGACCCTGAACTAGGTTTTTAGGGTCAAGTTACAGCATCTAACTCTAAATGAATGAACAAAAACAAACAATTGTGTCTATCAGTTTGAGCATTAAACATCTTTGTAGAGTATTCAGTTGAATTTAGTTAGAGAAGGATTTAAAAATCATTGTCCTCTGTGTTTATTTACACAACCTCCCAACTTCACTGGAGTTGGGGTTTGTATATAGAAGCATTTTGGACCCCTGCGGTCTTTTAAACATATGACTTGAAATGTGTGACATTAGTAGCGATAAAGGGAGTGCAAAGAGGATAGCTGTAATTGCATAAACCTGTTTTTGATTCCCATTACTTACTCCTACTTACTGGGCTTACTTCTCAGCACTACCTGCCGCTGTTGGTAAATGTATGCACATTTGTTTATTCAATATTTTTTGCTTTTTTTTAAGTCAAACTTTGCAGAGCAGTTTGTGCAGGAGGGAAATAAAGATGAGAGTGTCAACAAGTCACTTGCAGCAGCTCACCATATTCACCACTGTGCTGACCGGTGGGGGGATTGGCACCATGTACTACCTCCAGCAGAGTGAGTACAGATGAGCTCAAGTTATGTGTTTTTCATAGGATGTGCTTGTTTTTTTAAATTTTTTTTTTTTTTTTTTTTTTTTTTTTGCCTTACTCCTGGTACAGATTCAGGCCCGGACTACACGTATATAGATATTTATTTATCGGGATATTTTTGTACTCCCGTCTAAATGTATCTGTCCACACGTGTTAGTTCTCAAAAATATCTGCGTCCACACGTAGCCTTCAAACTCAATCCTATCTGGTGCCGCTTAAAAAAAAATTAAGGAACAAAGCTACCTGATTGGCCGATGAATCGTAACAGCTTGATGCATCATGCATTGTTTGCAGAAGCTACGCTAGTGCGTCGGGTCCATGTGACGGTGTCATCTGCAGGCACAGCCCCTCTAACGAAGTTGTCCCACCACTTGCTGGTCCAACCGGGTTTGACCCAAAACTTACGCTTCTGGCGAACTCTAAAACGCCTAACATTAACGTTACGATTGCTCTCCAATAAAAGTATTTGGCACAGCAGACACCTCTGTGAGCTGGCTGACTGGTGGATGTAATTGTATAAAACAAGGTTCACTTGCAAAAAGGGCAAAACAAACGTAAAGAATACCCTGTATGTCCGCCATTGTTGTTGTTGTTTTTCTTTTTAATTCGCATGCGGTTTGACGTCATCGATCTGTAAAAGTTCAACCACACGAATCCACTTATACGGATAATATTTTGTTTCTCCACTTGTTTTTTCGTAATTAGATTTATCTGGTTAAGTTTTTCCTGCATCTTTTTACAGAAACTCACCACTTAAGTTTTCTAATTAATGTGGTAAAAACATTTACCCCACACTTGGCTCCAAAATGTAATCAATTATGTTTATCACCTGAGCCAGCCCTAATACCTGCTGACTGTAACAGACAATGCTGAGAATCGGTGTATAGTGTGCCTGCTGTTGATGACTGTTTGGGGTTTATTAGGCTGCTTTGTGCAACAGAGGGGAGGTGTGTGTGTCTAAGATGGGGAGTGGACCAAAGCTTAATGGGCAGATTGTGGTTTCCATGAGGAAATGATGTTGATAACAAAGCAGGAGTTCACACTGTTAAGCCACCTCTGCCAGCCATAACAAGCATAAAAATATGATGAGTATAATTTCTGTGCCATTTGAGAGGAAAAGTAATGTAGATGTGTGCTGAAATGTGAAACAGAGTCGTTGGCAACAGAATTATAACCAAATTGTGAGACCTGTGAAGACGCTGTGAAGAAGCCCCATTTCAGTCCTGCCTTTAATCCGAACACACCTTTGGATATTTCTGTGCTTCTGTCTGATGTTTAGTGTGGTGTAAGGGTTTCAAAGAGTTCTGTCTCTAAATGATCACCACTTATATTCATGTCAAATAGAGAGTTTTTAAGGTTTCTTCTCTGTTCTCTCCTGGCAGATAAAAACACAGCTCATACTCTTATCAACTTACATTTTAACTTCTTTCAGTTATGTATCAAGAAGAGGGCTGAAAAGGCTGACAACCATTGGAATCTGATGATTTTAATATGACTGATCCTCTGTCTTTCTGTTCTATATCAGAGAAATTCAGTCAATCAGATTATCATCAGTTGGCTCTGCAGAAGTTAGAAGACTGCCCTGTTGCCATGGAGAACCTTGGAGCTCCACCTTTAAAAGTGCACAACATCCATCTGACTGACAGATACAACCGGGTAGATCCGTACACTGCACAGGTAAAGTGGTGAAATATTCAGCATAAAGATTGTCAACCAGTCTGATTGTTGATTAGAGTACAGTCAGAAAAGACAAAAATCTCTGAAGTGATTTCAGTAATGCTGCATCAGCAACACTGAAAACTGCTCTGCAGCCTGTCTTCAGTATGTGACTAAAATATAAATGTTTGTTTGTTTGTTTGTTTCCAGATTAAGATCCCTGTTAGTGGATCAAAAAATGGAGGTTATCTGTTCACAACTTCAATCAGAGACCTAGATACCAACAAGTAAGTATGCTCCTGTCATTCAGCAGTCTGGTGCTGTTAATTCTTGAAACTCCTGTGAGGAACATTCATCTTGTGTTGTTTATGGGACCCCCTATAAACAAAATAAAACATAACTTATTCATGAGAGGTATTTTTTTAAGTATTACTCATTTTAAGTATTTGCAATTTAAAAAAGGATAAGGGAAGAAGACTCACTCCCAGTTATCACAAATGCTTGATTGAAGGGTGGAACGACCAGCTATTCAGGTTTAAGAGACAATGACTTTTTCACAGGTAAAGCCAGGCTTGATCGTTTTTTTCCCTTCATAAATGAAACCATCATTTAAAAAGTGCATTTGTATTTACTCAAATTGTCTTTGTCTGAGATTCTAATTTGGATGAAGATCTTAAATGTAAGTGTGAGGGACAAAAAGTAAAAACTAAAGTAATCTGTGTGTGTTTGGGGGGGGGGTACTTTTCCTCAGCTCTGTATATTCAGTATATTCAGCCTCCTCAAATACCTTTTCCCATGATTACGTGCACCTGTCTGTGAAGTTCAATGCTTAATGAGCTCATCAAACCAATTTTGTGTTCCAGTTAATCAGGGTTAAGTAGTTACAGGTGTTTAGATCATTTCTGTGAAGACAGAATAAATTACTGTGCAGTCTCAAAGGGGTGCCCAAACTTTTTAATGTGACTGTATTTAATGGTGGACAGGTCTGGACTGCAGGCGGGTCACTCTAGTACCTTGACTCTTTGATTCTGAAGCCATGTTGTTGTAACACATGCAGAAAGTGTCTTGGCGTTGTCTTGCTGAAATCAACAGGGACGTCTCTGAAAGAGACGGGACTCTGATGGGAGCAGATGTTTTTCCTAAATCTGTATGGCCCTTTCAGCATTAGTGAAGCCTTTACAGATGAGACAGTTAGCCATGAACATCAGCACACACCCAGACCATCACAGGTGCTGGCTTTGACCTTTGACCTGAGAACTGTCTGGATGGTCCTTTTTCTCTTTAGTCCAGAGGACACCACATCAATGGTTTCTAAAAACTGTTTGAAATGTGGACTCACAGCAGACTTTCCCACTTAGGGTCAGTCCATCTCAGATGAGCTCAGGTCCAGAAAAGCCAACTGTGTTTCTGGCTGTTGTTGATATCTGTCTTTGTCTTTGCGTGGTAGAGTTTGAACTTGTAGATTTAAAGATGTACTGTGTTCACTGACAATGGTCACTTAAAAGGAGAGGAGGTGTTTCAGTCTTTGTTGAAGCAGTTTTCACTTTATTCAAAGAGAAGATTTTGCCAAAATTAGCATTTATAAAATTACCCTAGAGTCCCTTCTTATCAAAATACCACGAATCAACTTTAGATTGGTGGGAAAATTGTTACATTGTGATGCTTTTATCATCCTCCCGGTACAGATCTAACTGTGTTCGATGATGTTTTGTCTTCCACTGTGTAGCAATAATAGAAAAACTTTCTTTCTTCTTGGTGACTTAAATATTGATTTATTTAACAGAGAATCAAATTTGACATCTGAATTCCTCAATATTCTTTGTGTATCTTTATCCTCTCATTTACAGGCCTTCAAAAAAAGAATGAATCTGCAACTTTGACTGTTAATGTTTTCACAAATATTTTAAAGATATTATTAAGTCTGGGTTTTTGTTAACTCCAATCGTTATTCTATATTTCAGTTTTCCCTCACCAAATTTGTCCACAAGATAAGCATATTAGGCAGATAAAGTATTGCAAGTTTAATAAGAAAAATGAAAATTTATCCAATGCCTTCAATAATAAATGTTTTTCACTTCTTCAAATCTAAATGAAATGTAAGCCCAAAAAGTAAAAGCCTTGGATCACTCAAGGTCTGCAAAGATCTTAAATTAAACCAAATAAGATGTATTTAAAAAGGGATTGTCGGCCCATTCCATTGAAGCAAATTAAAACACAACAACTACTTCACAAAATGTTGAAAAAAAACAACTTGTTTTTTTGTAAATATATGGTCCCTCCTTGGCAAAAGTCATAAAACATGAGAATAATTCCGGCCTCTCAAACATCACAAAGCAGTATCCCTGTTAAAGTCTGCTTGATCCTCTTCCCTCAAGGAAAAAGCACATCATAGAGGAAATGACAAAGTCTGCCGCAGGTCAGGATGAGATCAGATTTCATCTTGCTAAAAGGTAGCTCTTGTTTTGTAGGTTGTTCATAACATTTCTGCAAATCTAGACAATAAAAAACTGTCCAAAAAAAAATCTTTTAACTTCCTTTATTTAAGACTTCCCTTAATCAATCCACTCTGATATACAGAGGACCATCTATTTGAAACAATTTACCTCCATCTCTACAATCAGTATCTTCATCATCATCTTTCAGAGAGCATTTGAAAAGTTTACTCACTTCAATTGATCTCAGTTTTTTCCTTTTTAAAAGCCTGTAAGGTGAAGTGTTGTACCTGTACCACTGAAGACGTCACACTACCATCACGTGACATCTCTGATGAAGGCTGCAGAGGCAAAGTAGCTGAAACTTGTCAGGTACAACACTTCACCTTACAGGCTTTTAAAAAGGAAAAAAATGAGATCAATATTCATACGTAAGCCAAATGAACCTCTTTAATATATTTCTCACTTCAAGTTTTGCAGTACCTCTTGTCTTGTATACATATAACTTTGTCATTCTTCATGTGTTGCTTCTTGCTTTGTCTCTTGTATATTCTTGTGGGGAGGCATCTCCACAAGCCTTTTGGGGCTTCCAACCTCCCCTTTGCAATGTTTAAGCATGAACTTTTTTTTGTTTGTTGATTTTTTTATGATGAACAAATATAAAAAAAGTGTTTGATCAGTACTTTTTGTTTTGCAGCCTCTCTGACCTGTATTTGTCTCCCCTGCAGGTGGAGTCTCAAGTTGGCAGTACTGAGGCTGCGGGAAGGACAAACCATCAACCTGTTGGATCCTCCACTGGCTCAAGAAACTACAAAGGACACACTGGGGCTGGACACAGAACACTGGAACTGACTATCAGTATTATTTATCAATTAATACACCAAGAGCACAAGTCTTCCTGCTTTAACGGAGGCTATGTCCAGCTCTACTGAACTTGAATCAATGTTTAGCAGGTGTATATCAGACTCCAGCAGTGTTTGGAAGTGAGAGCAGGTACTCATAATTGTATAGCAGGCTGATCTGGAGTGTTTCTGTTTTTATTATAATATGTGGTCCGGATATGTTGTGCTGACTGTTTTACTCTTGAACCCAAATAAATCCCAAATAAATTCAGGCTGTGGTCTTTGAAGTCCCATTCCAATTGTATTTTTTTGCTACTTAAAGTGTTCTCAGTGGTCTTATAATTGTGATTATGACGGTTTTAGCCAAAATCACGTTATCTGTGTCATTTTTAAGGACTTTTCTCCCGCAGAGCTCCAGTAGCTTATTAGCAATTCGCCCCTGAGTTGTGGGCGGAGAGAGCTCTGCTTCGCACAGTCCTCTTCATGCTAGCTTGTAGCCTCACATTGTCGGTGTAGTAGAAGTTGTGGTCTACGTCTCCACGCACCAACCTCAACCAAAAAGCCACTCTATAGCCACAAATAATGCCCAGAACAGCACATAACTTCATCAACAGTACATATAGGGTCCCAGGCTTAGTACTAGCTACCAAACGTCTTTTAGCTTTGCCTGGTCACACTCATATCTTTGGGAACATGATGAAACCTATTATCATAATAAGCTTTCTTATAGGCATTGCAATCCGCTAACACACACGCTTGTTGCAGGATCATCCTCTCTACCTCTCTGGCCTGCAGAGCTGGGCGCTGGGGGCGAAGTTTGGATTTGTGACATAGAAAATCTCACTGTGTCTGAAGCTGCCATTTGGGTCTGCCAGAGATTCACAGCGATTTGAATGAAGAAATTCTCAGAAATGCAATTTTGCACTTAGTTTTCTGATGGCACATCTTCCAGCATCAGAAAGAGAGCCATATGAACATGTAGACAACAAGACAAACAGGATTTTCATCGGGGTGGATCTTATAGAAATGTAAGACCATTTGAGCAGAAATTAGGTCATGTATCAAAAGAGCTATCTGCCCCGTAAATATTAAAATTACCCTCTCGTAGTGAATGGCTGATAAAACTCAAGCTCCTATGATTTCTTCCTATTTGTGCCAGGGAAAGTTTTCAGCCCAGTTCATCAAAAATAATTCAAGATAATGTAATGAATCCAATTGTATGAAAAGGTGTGTTTAAAAAGACAAAGGAGAATTAAATCACTGATTAGTTTTTTTAAATACTGATCACAACTCATTTAATTTGTGGAAGAAAATGTTTGCATACAAAAAGCTAGTCCTGGATGACATCAAAAGTTTTTAATATTTTAGGGAGGAACAAAGCATTTATAATTAAGGTTAGGGTTCGATGTTTAAAATGAGAATCTTGCTCTGAGATTACTCATTAATTTAAAGGGATATTCCAGTGTAAATTTAAGTCATGGTCAAACACACCAGAACAGCACCTAACTTCATCAACATATAGGGTCCCAGCCATAGTACTAGCCATTAAATATACACTGTGTGCACAATTATTAGGCAAGTGAGTATTTTGATCATATCATCATTTTTATGCATATTTTCCAACTCCAAGCTGTATAAACTTGAATGTGTATTGGATATAAGCATATCAGGTAATGTATATTAGTGTAATGAGGGAGGCTGGGGCCTAAGGAGATCAAAACCCTATATCAAGGTGTGCATAATTATTAGGCAGCTTCTTTTCCTCAGGTAAAATGGGCCAAAAAAGAGATTTAAGTGACTCTGAAAAGTCAAAAAATGTAAAAAGTCTTTCAGAGGGATGCAGCACTCTTGAAATTGCTTAGATATTTGGGTGTGATCACAGAACCAGCAAACATTTTGATGCAAATAGTCAACAGGGTCGCAAGAAATGTGCTAAGAAAAAAAGACGCAAATTAACTGCCAAAGATTTGAGAAGACTCAAACGTAAAGCTACCAGGAATCGCTTATCCTCGGGTGCTGTCATATTCCAGAACTACAACCTACCTGGAGAGCCCAGAAGTACAAGGTGTTAAGTGCTCAGTGACATGGACAAGGTAAGGAAGGCTGAAATCTGACCACCACTGAACAAGACACAAGTTCAAATGTCAAGACTGGGCCAAGAAATATCTGAAGAGAGATTTTTCAAAGGTTTTATGGACTGATGGGATGAGAGTGACTCTTGACGGACCAGATGGATGGACCTGTGGCTGGATCAGTAATGGGCACAGAGCTCCACTTCGAATCAGACACCAGCAAGGTGGAGGCGGGGTACTGGTATGGGCTGGTATTATTAAAGATGAGCTAGCTGGACCTTTTGGGTTAAAGATGGACTTAAAATCAACTCCCAAATCCAATGCCAGTTTTGAGAAGACACTTTCTTCAAGCAGTGGTATAGGCAAAAGTCTGCATCTTTCAAGAAAACCATGATTTTTATGCAGGACAATGCTCCATTGCATGCAACAAAGTACTCCACTATGTGGCTCGCCAGTAAAGGCCTTAAAAACGAAAGAATAATGACGTGGCCTCCTTCTTCACCTGACCTAAACCCTGTTGAGAACTTATGAGCCCTTCTTAAACGGGAAATTTACAGTGAAGGAAGACAGTACACCTCTCTGAACAGTGTCTGGAAGGCTTTGGTTACTGCAACACAAAAAGTTGATCGTCAACAGATCAAGAAAGTGAAAGACTCCATGAATGAAAGGCTTATGACTGTTATAGAAAAGAAGGGTAGTTACATTGGTCACGGATTTTTTTTTATTTCAACAATTTTTATTTGTAAATTGAGTTGTTTGTTTATCATTCTCACTTTAACAAGTGAAAATAAACAAGTGAGATGGAAAATTTTTCATTTTTAATTTAGTTGCGTAATAATTCTGCACACTAATAGCTGCCCCCAATAATTGTGCACACATAGATATTCTCCTAAGGAAGCCAAAATCTCACTTTTACTCCCTTAAATTTTAAGGTTTGAGGTTTATTAACATTTTGGATTGACCAAGAGCACTGCAGTTGTTCAAAAATAAAGTTTATCCTCAAAAATACAACTTGCCTAATAATTGTGCACACAGTGTATTTTGTGCTTTGCCTGGTTTCTTTAGCAAAGAGACTAAACACAACTCATCCACTCTCCTCCAGCAGCCGCTTGTTTGTGGGGGAGCCCTGACGAGTTGATCACCGAGTGCAGTGAAATTATTATTGATTATTTTGATTTTTGATCATTTTTGATTACAAATCTCCACTACCACTTCTCCCTTTCCTCTTCCATCTCATTTAAATGTCTCAACCACTTCAACTACCTCCCCCCTTGACCACCAGTCCTTGTCTGTCACAGAAACAGGGGTGAGGATGGAGCTTGGAAGACTTTGCCTTGGCAAGGCAGCTGGCCATGGTGTGTGTCCAAGGCTGCTTAAAGACTGTGCTGCAGAACTGTTTCAACCTCTCCACAGGATCTTTAACCTGAGTCTACAGCTGGGGCAACTACCTGCTCTGTGGAAAACATCCTGCATTGTGCTAGTACCAAAAAAAAAAGTGAACTCAGTGACTACAGACCAGTGGCCCTCACTTCACACATCATGAAAACCCTGGAGTGGCTGATTCAAAGGTACCTGCCTACTGTGAACATAGAATCACAGTATGAATTAAAATAGAGATTTCTGATCATAATGGGTGATCCGTCTGAATTCGGCACTCACACAAACTCTACTCATGGTCAGGACCAAATGCAGCGGGTGATTTTGTGAGTAGCTATGATCAAATCTGAGCAATGTTGATGAATGCTAATTTGCCCGTAAATCTCACTCTGCTCAGTTTCATGAATGAGACCCATTGTCTGGATGGTATCATGTGTTGCTCCAGAATTTGTATTTTTTTTTTCAACATTAACAGAGCCTTCACAGGTATGATATTATGTTCTGTAGATGATGAAATCCACAGATTCTTTCACATTTGACACTCACAAACATTATCCTTAAACTGTTGAACCATTAGCTCACACAGTGACCTCTTCCCATCTTTCCCCCTGACAGTCTCAGTCTCTCTGAATGTCTTATACCCAGTCATGTTACTCACCTGTTGGAAATTCACCTCATTGGTTGGAGATGTTCCTACAGCTGTATTTTTTTATATAGCAATACACAACATTTCACCTGTTTGATTGTTCCTCTATAAAAACCTTTAAGAAACATGTAACCTTTTTTACCCTCTGCATTTGATATGTTGTCTTTACACAACACATAAGTAAATAATAATGTTAAATGATTTGCATGACCATGAAAATTTGTTTTTGTCAATACAGCATCCAAACTCTCTGGAGTGGTGGATGATGTTCCCTTCTTATGTGGTTTTGACTATTTGAATCTTGCTGATTGGTTTCTTTGAAAATGTGGATTTTCAACCTCTCTGTCTTATTTTGCTGCAGTTTAAATTGGAATTGTGAAATATTTTAACCATTTTTATAATGAAGACTTGCTCACATGAATAGATAACAGCTATTTTTCCCTTATTTATCTGACAACATATTTCTATAACTGTGCACAATTTCCAACAAGTATTTTTCTGGTTTGACAGCTCCCTGGGATTATTTGTCTGGTTGAAAGCCCAGTTACATGTTGCCGCCACACTACTGTCAATGTGACAGACAGGAAGTAAAACTCAGAGGACAACATTTCAAAATAAATCCATCAGGTCTTTAATCATTAGAAGTGGATCATTAACAGAATGTGAGGACATCATGGTTAAGGGAGTGTAAAACACACATCTTCATGTCAGAATGTGATTAACTATAAACTGATCTGTCCTTTGTCCTCATCTGTTAGGAATGTGAGTGTGTCAGAGATGCTGCCACCATCCTTCACAGGAAGCTCATAACAGTCCCCTTCTTGCCGACCTGATGAGGCTGCAGGGCGTGGAACACAATCACCACCCTGACAATCACAACAAACACAGCTGTCAATCATTTACAGTGGGCGGTTCTTCACAGATTATAGAAACAGACTGAAATGCACTTGATCACATTCCCATAATTGGTCCAAACATTCTAAAAACTCCATTTTAAATGTACATCACTTTGGACAAAAGAGTCCTTATCGCAGTGGTCTGGGCAGGAAATAAAGCCCCCCCACAATAACCTCAACAAATAAAGAGGAAGCTCTGCGAGTAAAATTTGAGAAAAAAAAACAAAAACAATAAGTAAACTGTCATCTTAATAACTATACACATACATACATACATATATATATATAACTGCTCAAAAAAATTAAAGGAACACTTTAAAGAAACACATCAGATACATCAGATCTCAATGTGAAGTTACATATCTATACAGATAACGACAGGGCAATGCCTTTGGAACAAAAGGATGTTTTTTTTAAAGTTCTTTAATGAAAATAAAAGTTTTCAGCCTACAGAGAGCTTAATTGTGTAGACACCACAAAAATCTGAGTGAAATAATGATGTGGCAGGCTAGTCCATTTTTTCAAAACTTCATTTCTGCAACTCAAAATGCTTCTCAATATCTTGTGTGGCCCCCACGTGCTTGTATGCATGCTTGACAACGTCGCGGCATGCTCCTAATGAGACTACGGATGGTGTCTTGTGGCATGTCCTCCCAGATCTGTGTAAGGGCATCCCTGAGCTGCTGTAAAGTCTGAGGAGCAACCTGGCGGTGCCTAATGGACCAAAACATGTCCCAGAGGTGCTATATTGGGTTTAAGTCAGGGGATCGTGAAGGCCATTCAATTGTATCAATTCCTTCATCCTCCAGGTACTGTCTGCATACTCTTGCCACATGAGGCCAGGCATTGTCATGCATTAGGAGGAAACCAGGACCTACTGCACCAGCGTAGGGTCTCTGACAATGGGTTCAAGGATTTCATCTCAATACCAAATGGCAGTCAGACTACCATTTTCTAGCCAATAGAGGTCTGTGCGTCCCTCCATGGATATGCCTCCGCAGACCACCACTGACCCACCACCAAACCTGTCATGTTGAACGATGTTGCAGGCAGCATAACGTTCTCGTTGTCTTCTCCAGACTCTTTCACGTCTATCACAAGTGCTCAGGGTGAACCTGCTCTCGTCTGTAAAAAGTACAGCGCGCCAGTGGCGGACTTGCCAATTCTGGTGTTCTCAAGCAAATGCCAGTGGAGCTCCACGGTGCTGGGCAGTAAGCACAGGGCCCTCTACAGGACACCGGGCCCTCAGGCCACCTTCATGAAGTCTATTCCTGAGTTTTTGGGCAGAGACATTCAACCCAGTGGCCCACTGGAGGTCATTCTGTGCAGTGCTCAGCCTGTTCCGCCTTGCACAAAGGAGCAGGGTTGAGGACCTTCTACGGCCCTGTCCAGCTCTCCTACAATAACTGCCAGTCTCCTGAAATCTCCTCCATGTTCCAGAGATTGTGCTGGGAGACACATTAAATCTTCTTGCTACAGCACATGTGGATGTGCCATCCTGGAGGAGTTGGAAAACCTGTGCAGCTTCTGTAGGGTTAAGGAATCGCCTTATACTGCCAGTAGTGATAATGACTCAAGCCAAAAACAGCACTAGTGGAAAACCAGCCAAAAAAGATCAAGAGGGAGAAACTTGAAATGACCTCCACATGTAAAACCAGTCCTGTTTTGGGGGTTTTCTCATTGTTGCCACTGTAGTGCACCTGTTGTTAATTCAATCAACACCAACACAGCTGAAAGTGATTAACAATGCCCTCTGCTGCCTCACCAAACAGATAATTATCAGACAGGTTTAATTGAGCTTATGCCAGGCCCAATAAAAGAAGTGTTCCTTTAATTTTTTTGAGCAGTGTATACACACACACGCACGCACACACACATACATTCATGTATATTCATTGTCTCCTCTGTTAAATCAGTCTGACAGAAGAGCCAGACATGATACTTTGGTGGTACGCTCACTCTAGCCTGTATGACCAGTGATCAGTGGTTATACTAGTTTGCCCTCTTGTGGACAGAAGGCACTAAGATAAATGCTGCAATAATCCAAACCTGTGTGTTTTTTGGGGGCTATCTGTAAATGAGTCTGACAGTGTGAGTGTGCAGACACAAACAGAGCAGACTGTAAGCTTGCAACAGAGACCATGTGACTCTGATATAATAGTCTCTGTGATAACTAAAGAAACTCCACATGATAAGACTTTAACTGAACTCGTGCCTGGAAGCTGAGCTTCTATCCTACACATTTTGAAACCACCTGAACCTCATACCCTGGGATTTAAGCTCCAAAGCGCTGAATAATGATTATAATAATAATGATGATAATAACCACAGGTGGAAATAGGTGAAGCACAGGAGAACTCTGTCCTGGAGCAAATGTGTGTGTGTGTGTGTGTGGGGGGGGGGGGGGGGGACTACAATAAATCTGTACACCACAGAGGAGACCTGACCTATTAGAGCTTTTAAAGACCTTTTTCATCACAGACTAGTCATGTTGTCACAGAATCATCCAGACCACCTGCAAGCTCACCTGTCCTCCGTCAGACTGAGCTCTCTGGTCAGAAACTCAAAGATCTTGGCACTGTGCTCCTTGTTCTTGTCGGCAGTGTCAGTCACAGCGATTGCAGACACCGTCAGCATCACACAGGGTGAGGTGGAGCCGGAGATCAGCATGGGACAGCCCGGCTGCACCACCACGTTCATCCTCTGGGAGGGGGACACAGCCATCGAAGAAAGGCAAGAACAACATGGATGTAACACAAAGGACATTCAGTGAACCTCATACAAGCTCTGAGCAACACATTAATCTTTTTTTGAGAATTTTCCAACATTGGCTGCTCTCTGCTTCTTCTAGATCACCATTTTCTGACTTGAATGCAGCTTAAACTGTAAATTAAGAGTCACAGAAAAAAAAATGGAGATGCTGAGCAGATGATAAGAAGACATTCAGTCACAAAACATTAGTTTCAAATTTAAAATGTTAATGACATTAAATCAAGTATTCAGGCTCATTTAATAATAAGGTGGGGAAAAACAAGCATTACATATGAAATCCAAATGTATACAGTTAAAAATGTCAGATTTTCTCTTATCAGATGTGCTGTTCTAACTCTGAAGTGAATCTATTAATGCACACCTCTGAGGGGGAAATTCAAATAATTTCAATATTTACCAAGTTAATACTTAGGTACAGAATCGTGGTAAAATGCTCCTATACTGGCGCTATACTTCCAGCCAATCAGAGTGGAGAAGTCAGGGGCGCAGCGGTAAGCGGACCAATAAGATTGCAGTATTAGTACAGAATCAGATAAAGTCATGTTACAGGTAAACTCTGATTTGAAGGGTTAAAGTTCGTGCTTCTCTACACGCACATACACACAAACACAAAACTGCACCACTACCATAGACTCCAACATAAAAGAAGGTCAAAAAAGGCCCCCGAGGTCAAAGGTTGTTCGCAGGTAAACTCACCTCCTCGGGTTTCCCCAAAGAAGCGGCGGCGCACGCGCTCAGCTTCTTCACGAAATCCTCCGAGAAAGAGCCAGGCGGCAAATTAGACCGGAGCTCGAGGAACGGCATGTTACTGTGGAACTGTGACCAGGAGAGAGGGAGGCACAACACGGAGGAGAAGAGAGGGAGGTGATGGTGATACAGGCAGCTACCTCCGGATTTTACTTTTCAAAATAAGAGCGACACAGAGGACGGCTGTATTACAACAGCTGTGAGGGCAAAAAGTTATCAGCGGGTCCCCTTCAAGCCATAATATAAAACTAAGATATAAAAAAATCGTAGCGTAAAAACCGGAATTTAACATCGCCTGACTGAAATACATAACTGGGGTGTGTATTTTACATTGCAAATATCTTTTAAAAGCATTTGTAATTACATTGTTGAAAAGTAAATGATAGTAACTAATTAATTAGACAACTTCAAAATGACCAGTGCACAGTTATGTCGTTTCACGTCCGTTTTATTTATTTGAAACGTTTTTATTTTGTATGCAGAATCGGATGTTTTAATAACGCAGTCAAGTCCATAGACATAACATACGTAGACACCTCAGAGGCTGACGCTGCTTATTGGAGCTCACGTATCAACGCGGACGCCATCTTGGATGGGTCTCCCTGCGCCTGTCACATATTAAAAACAACCCAAAAAATTTTCAATCTTAATACATTTCAGCCAAAATATAATCCTATGTGATCTGGATACTGCGTCTGTTTTTTTTCAACCGTAGAGTTCACAAATACGGGCATAGTTGCTTGTTCTCCATTGGCTCCGTTTGACTCATGCGCGAGCCTGGAGGAGACACATCCACTATGGCGGCGACGCTGGATTACGTTTCAGCACGTATTGAGGCGTCTACGTATGCAATGGTTTTGGTCATGACTGTCTGATCTGACATTTTTTGAGCCCCCTATTGGTTCAGGTTGGTCATTCAGAATGATAGTGTCGGTATAGATGTGTGACACAAGTTAAAGTAATCTAATCTAATACAAATGATCAGACAGGTAGCACTTTTAAACTATTTATTAAAATTTCATCTTCACTGTACATTAGCAAAAACACTTCATACATGTCACAGTCTTCCATCACATAGAATGGACCAATCACAGCCTGAGGTACAGTGTGCCCATGTTTACTGTCTAGGTCATGTTCACAGTCTGTGAGTTTCATTGAGAGCTATATTTATTGTGCTAATAGGTGTGTCCTGATGTTTAGTCTTCAAACCTTCAGACCAGAGATGTCACACCTGCAGAGACACAAAAACACACATCAACATGATAAACCCTGAGTGTAAGTAAAGAAAGAGCAATAAATAAAATTTACATTTAAAAAGGTACAAACTTCACAGTAAAACCAGAGCCAACACACTCAGACAGTGTAAAATAGAGCAAAACAGAAAAACCAGTTATACAAATATACAGCATGTCAGGCTGTCTCTCTTTCCAGTGGACTCAGTTTTTTGTAAATTCCTTTCAGGCTTTTTGTTCATCTTCCAAGTATAACTTCACAATAGGCTCAGTGTTTGTCATTGTAATGGCGACAGCTGCTTTTACTGTATTCCCCTTCACAATAAAATACAGGCTAACACTGAGTTTAAAATGGTGGTTAATCCCATAACTTAATTCCTCTATTTGACTCCATTTCCAAAATAATAAACTATTTTCTCTTGTAATATTGTGATATTATGACTTTATTCTTAATATATATTTTTAACTTATTCTTCTAAATATTCTGATTTTACGACTGATTTTTTTTAGCATTTAAACTTAAATTTTCATGGTTTTATTCAGGAAATGAAGAAAAATCCTGGAAATACTGAGACCTATTTGGCTTCAAATCCGTATACAGGCGGTAGGCGGAACCAAGTTGTCCATAGTATATACAGTCTATGATTCACACACAAAAATAGGTGCTCTAAGGTTTTTAAGGTAAGGTTTCTAAGGTACACTAGTTTTTTTTCAAAAGGCAAAGGCAAACATGGAAGTATTAAATCATATGTTAGCATGCCTTTTATCGTATTCTTCATTGCCTCAGGGATTGCTCTTGTAATGTCTAAATATTGTTTTCTGGTGTATCTAAAATAGAATTTATTAATGAACTCATTGTGATCAAAAAGATTTCCTTCTGTGATTTCACTATCATGGGAAATAATTGATTTTTGAACATTTTTAAATCATAATTGATCCTCACGTGCCCCATCATGATAAATTGAAGAATCGACGCATTGGACCACCCCTAATCTGAATACTGATGTAAATGATCATCTTTTAGGTAAATGCAGCACCCCTCCCGCTATGTCATGTGACCTATCTGTCACACTCACCGTGCGAGTACTTGCACTGTTTGAGCGCCTCACTGAAGCCCTCGCACAGACTCAGATCACTCTGGTTGGTGGCGCAGTCCAGGAACTGTTTGACCTCAAAATGACAGGGGCCCTGCTGGACCTGGGGGGGGCGGGGGGGCTCCTGCAGAGGAAACATAGCTCACAATTAATGTTGATAACAGGAACCGCTCAGAAAACAAGAAAATCCTGGAAAAGTCCAACATTTTTCCACCAGCTCTCTGAGGAGGTAAAAACAAACAAAGTGCTTTCTATTGTAGATTCGTTATCATGACATACAGCTCAAAAATATATATTTCAATAAATGGAGCGATTTATGAATTTATTTAATTCAGAATTTTAATAAATCACTACTGAAACAGTATCTCTCAGTCTACTTTAAAACACTGAGCCACAATCAGGGTGCTGACTTGACAGTTGTGAACATGACGATGAATGATGAGGCTTTGCAAAATATTTGGAAGCAGTTTTGGCGCTGTGGGAAGATGCTTTCTGTAAAATGCCCTGTAGTCTAGTCAATGCATATACAACCATGGATAAAGACTAACAATGATGTCAAGGAGACGTAGAGTGTCAATGGTCATTTTAGTTCCAGCACTGTGAGCTGATGCTGTGTCCTAAACACCATTTATCCCTGTCGAGTTCACAAAACTGACTGTTAAACTGACTGTGTAAGTCAGTTTAGTGTCTCGTTTAGAAATCAAGGTCCCAGAGTATGGAGGAAGTTCAGAGAGGCACAGAATCCAAGTGCTTGAAGTCCAGCAGGAAATGTCCACGGTCTGTGGTGGTTTGGAGTGCCATGTCACCTGCTGCTGCTAGTCGACTGTGTTTCATTAAGTCCAGAGGACCTGGGACCTGCCCACAGCACCGAAACCACCAGAAACTGGTTTGCTGACTGTGGTGTTACTGTGCAACAATACAGACCAGCTGAAGGAGTGATCAGAGACCTGGGGCCTTATTTATCAATCGTGCGTAGAAAAGGTTCTATATTCTTGCGTAGGAATGAAATTTAGAATGTGCCTAAGTACAAAAAAATCCATATTTATCAAACGTGCGGACACCGGTCGTACGCACACACGTAAGTAATCGGTGATGATAAATCCCACCTGTTCTTTACTACCGTGCTCGTGCATGGTTAGAGTAATTTGCATTCAGGAACGCCTCCAATTGACCATATATGGCATCAACAATCCCTTTAAAAATGCGTGTATGAATGTTTTACCTCCTCCTGGAGGTGCACACTCACAGCGCTATTCTGCAGAATGAATGAGTCGTGCGTTCCTCCAGGCCACCGGGCAACAACGTTTAACAGAATCAAATGTGCATCGCAGATTATTTGTGCATCGACTGAATGAAATCTTTTCCTGTTGACGAATCTGAATTTATTGTGTGAAGGTGCTTTTATTGCGATGTGGGTGCAATCTACGGCTCCAATTATGTTTGGGAATCCAGCGATGGCGTGAAATCCTTGTTTTATTTCGGCTTGTTGCTGATGTGTGTTTGGGAACTGGATGTAAATTGAGGCCGGAGAAATTATTACATCCAACTCTGCCGGCATGATTCTGTTTAGCGTTGGCTGCGAAATATCGCATATGTCTCAAATCTCATGCTGAAATGTTCGGGTTAAGGTGGACAGGAGCTGGATGTGCACTGGAATGGCTTTGGTGCGTTTTGTTTCTCGCTCAGACACAGATAGTAAATCACGGCGTAAATCCATTCAAATGTTTTGGGGAAGCGGTACCTGCTGAGAATCCACTCTGAGTTCTCACTGAACAGATCAGCACGCTCTTTGAAAACGCGCTCCCAGCGGAGGAGCAGACGCTTGTCCAAGTCCTCCAATAGCGCAAAATAAACCGTGATACTTTTATTTGTACTTGTAAGAATTCTTGTGAGGTTGTCCTGTCACAGCAGATTTTTATAGCTTGTCTCACCAATCATTCAAAATGTCTGCTAAACTACTAATTGATAAATTTTGTATAGAGGCAACGGGAACATGTGTGAAGCTTGAGATTGCGGAACGCTGTGACTCCTTTAATGGGTTCTATTCGTAGTTTTACTGTCCTACCACTAGGTTTTGTGTGTACGCATGGTCAGAGTTGTGCTTAAATTTACGCACGTTCCTAAGCACAAGTACAGGTTGATAAATTCCAGACTTTGCGCAGGAATGTTCGTACGCACTCTTTAAGCACACATCTGTGCGTACACACGGTTGATAAATGAGGCCCCTGGACTTCAACAAGATTCCAGCAATGACACAGACTGATCAGCTCCATGACATGTCACACTAATGCAGGAATTCACAGGAAAGGAGCCCCAAGCAGGGATGGAGGGGAGAAAGGACCAGACTTGACAGGAGATGGACATGTTTAGTCTTTTGTCCCTTCAAAACATTGATCATCACAGTCTTGATGTTGTCCCTTTGTGTCATATGGGAAGTTAATTCCCACATGACATTTGGCAGGACCAGCAATCTCCATTTAAGACCATAGAGATAATTCTTCTTTTAATCCCAAGTGACCTCACCCTCCTTCGCTTCCTTGTCATCATCCCCAAAATCCCATCCCTTCCTCCTTCTCCTCCTCTTACCTGGTGTGTAGGCTTGGCTGGCTCTGAGCTGCTGCTGCTCCCCCCACTAAATGCTCCGGTGAGGGCACTGCCAACCACGTGACCAACAGCTGAGCCTACAGCCACCCCTGCCGCAGTGGTTGCCATCTGGGCCATGAGCCCTGGACCCTGAGATGGGGCAGGAGCTGGGGCCAGGGCGGCTGGAGGAGGATGAGCTGGGGCAGGAGGGTGGGATGAAACTGGGCTGGAAAAGAAATGTTGATTCAATATTCATGAGGTTTCTGTGCTAAAACTTAAACAGGATAACTTTTCAATTTGTTTCTGTCTCAGCTTTAACTATGTTCTAAAAAAAATTGATATCAATGTCAATCAATATCAATAATGTTGATTTAAAAAAAACATTTTTGGGGGGGTTTCAAATCATTTAAAGTACATATTTAACAGAAAATAGTGCAAAAAGAACAAATCAAATGTTAGAACTGAAAAATGTTCATGTTGTTTCTTATAATGTTGTTAGAGAAACAACCAAACTGGTAAAAAGTTTATCAACAGTACAAAACCTCTGTACAAAAAGGACAAGGACGGCCCAATCCCAATCTGACCCCTACACACTCACCCTTCACTACTGAGTGTCACTTGTAATGAAGTTACACTAGCAGCTGCGCCTCAATTCAAATAGGAAGGTATAAAAAAGATGGGAGGGTATGCGATGCCCTCCTCACTCCACCGGAAAACAGAAAGACTGAAAGTGGACACATGCAGAACTTTATATTTGTACGTCGTTTCCTCCTCCCCCTCCATTTTTGCTGGCGCAAAATTGATGACGTCTCACTATATGATTGGCTGGAAGTTGGTTCGGATGACGTGGGAGATTTCGAGGTCAACTGAATAAACAACCTTTTGATCACATTTGACTTCGCGAGGGGCTTTTAGCCAAGCACATCTGACTGATTAAATGGAGTGCAATATAGTTTGTCCAATTGGACTTGCCGTAGTGTGATGTCTTGTTGCTGGGCAGCCCGAGCACATCTAGTACCTACGCCGCCTTAAGTGTGCATTGGTACAGACACGCTATTTATGGGCTGAATGGTCCACTCGCCCTCCGCACTTTGTGGTTTGGGATGGCCTTCAATACGGCGAAGCCTTCACAGGAATGTGCAAACGGAGGGTGAGTGTGTAGGGTGAGTATGTAGGGGGCGGATTGGGATTGGGCCCAAGACTGGATGGTGCAGATCTTCAGGCCCTCAGGCAGCACCGCATTAAAAACAGACAGGACTCTGAAGGGAAACTACTGGATTGACTTAAAATCACCTGACAGATCAAAATATAACATTCCTCTTGTAAATCATGGACACTGTATCCTTGGAGGATACAGTGTCTATGATAAGGAGTAAAGGGACAACCAAGCTTATTATCATCTTAAAGTCAGCATCCCTGAAAGTATGGGGATCATCAGAGTCCATGTGATGGGTAACTTCCACATCTGTGAAGGCTCCATTAAAGCTGAACAATATCTACAGGTTTATAAGCAACATCTGCTGCCATCAGGACAATGACTTTTTCAGAGAAGACTTTCATATTTCAGCAAAACAATGACAAACCACATTCTGACAACAGGGATTACAACAGCATGGCTCTGTAGTAGAAGAGTGCAGCTGACAAGATGGCCTGATGCAGTCCTGACTTGTCATGATACCAAAAATAGGACAAAGGAGACCCTGAACTGTTGAGCAGCTGAAATTCTCTATCAGGCAAGATTGGGGCAACATTTAACTGTCAGTGAACACAGTAGACCAGGTTCTGGAGTCTAAGGTCCACAGAGGGTTGGTGAAAGAAGAACTGATAACACACAATGAGAAACATGAGCCTTTAACTACTTTTTGTAATGTGTCATAAAACAATATTAATATCAGGTATTCAAACATACAGTGAAAAGTACTTTTATTTTCCTGCAGCTCTGATGAGGTTTAATCTTCACGTACTCAGACCTTTGCAGATCTCCCTGGACCTGTGCTGACCTTGACAGGATCTTACATCACAGCAGACCCGACATGCTCTCAGTGAGTCTGATGACGCAACACGTAAATAAGTTATGTGCATGTGCGTGCGTTTGTGTGTGTGTGTGTGTGTGTGTGTGTGTGTGTGTGTGTGTGTGTGTGTGTGTGTGTGTGTGTTGTATAAAGTTACTGAGGTTACTTGTGTTAAGCAAGTCTGACTATGTATGTGACCACAATATATATCTGCAGTCTTTGTAGCATGACATGCGCTCAAGAGCTGCTCACACTATCTGTAGTAGTCTGCGCACACACACACAGCTGTGAAGGTGATATGAAATGTGTACCTGGCTGGAGCAGCGGGCCGGCTGCGGCTTCCTCTGGCCATCTCTGACCGCAATCAGGCAAGATGTTCGTGGGGAGAAAACACAGACTCGAGGTGTTTCTGGTCCTCAGCTCAGGTCACCGTTGCGCGTCTGACCGCAGCAGATCTCACATGGAACGCTGACCTTACGCGCAATATCGCGAGACTTCACGGGCGAAACGTCGACAACTTCCGGAAAATTTGGAATTTTTTTAAAGGTTTTATTTAAAAATGGTCACAGAAGATTCTTACAAGACAACAGACAAGCGTCAATTAAAAAATTGCAAGAGGCAAATAAAAATGACGGTTTAAAATCTGAGTTACAATGTAAAAAAGAAAAAACCTCCTCACTCATAAAGTTGGGCAATTTCATGTTTGTGATTATTGACTCCCTTAGATTTTAAAGATAGGCTATTACGTTGAATAACACAGCTTTCGTCATGACTTTTGATCACGGTTGTCATGAGCAAGGGTTTAGTCATATTTGTAAGACACCCCCTTCAGCCCTTATTTAGCTAATTTACTTCATGTTCACATTAAAGCCCCTGTTTTTAAATTTCCTGTGAAGTCTTCTTTTTGTGTTTATGAGATACACCGAATAACAACAACAACAACAACAATAATAATAATAATAATAAAAAAAGAAAGAAAATGCAATTAAAAGGGGAGTCGAAAGTGGAAACAGGATAGTAAATAAGGCAAAAGGTAAGGTAGGCAAAATAAGCATGAGCTTCAGCCTACACCTTTTCGATTAGCTTTATGATGCTTTTGAAATTTACTATGTATCTGTTGTGGGTGGATTTTAAATGCTAATCGAATAAAATAATTGAATTGAATTGAATTGAAATATAAATGGCTATATCAACAATGATAATAAAATAATAACAGGTAATACTGATAATGATAGTAATGATAAAATAGAGCAACAGAAATGAGCAAGAGATAAAACAATAAAAGGCCTAAAAGGTTAATTAAGAAAAGAGTACAAGTATTACACAAGTTAAGAGGACAGAACCCGAAATAAGATACAGTTAAAGGAGATAAGAGGTGACAGATAAAAGATAAAAGACGGCATCACATAAAAGCAAGTCTGTAAAAGTGAGTTTTTGAATTTGACTTAAAAGAAGTGACTATCTCTGGATGCCTTATCTCCTCTGGCAGGTCGTTCCAAAGTCGAGGAGCTCTGATGGAGAAAGCTCTATCACCTTTAGTTTTGAGTCTCAACCAATTGTTTATTGAATACACCAAATTTATACTGTTGCCTTTAATGGTGTATGAAACAAACAAGACTATCAGAAATAAGACTAGCCATTTTTAAATCCTATTTTTTTGTGCTGAAAACTCATGTTTGAGGGTAGGCTAAGCAGCTGAAGACAGACACCTGTTTTACAACTATAAATAAAATATCCACAATAAATGACACATTTGATTTGACTGTCAAAATCCAGTAGGATGAGATAACAAAATAATCAAAGACTGCTTCATACATTAGGGGGCACCTAAATGAAAACAAACCAAAAGTTCCTCAGAGGAGCTTTAAGGTAACATTTGTATTGTGGAGTAATTACACATTTATAAGTACTGTTTAGAAACCTTATCTCCCGACTTTAACAGAGGGTTACATTCACATGTTTCAGAGTCAGTTACCTTTTTAACTATTGATAAAGCACATTTTAAATTGATCAAGTGGCCATATCACTCGCTCAACTCACTGACTCATTCATTCATTCACTCACGCACTCTCACACTACCTCACTTATACATGTGTATTGCAACTTGTTTGCCAACTGACACCTCAAGTTGACTTTAAGTATCGATTTATGATTCACATTTAAAATATAGTATATAATGCAAGATGTTAATTTTTTTTCAGCATCATTTTTGGTCTTTTTGCCTTTCCAGGTCAATATGAGCAGTCCAACGTCAGCTTTCCCACAACATATCAAACACATTTTTCCTCTTTCTTAATGGTCTTCAGTGCACTTTGATCCTGTCTCCATATTTTGTTTTTATTTATTATTTTGTTTTATTTTGATCTTGACTGTTTATGCATTTTTTCTCACATCCTATCCAGCATTTTTAGGTATGTTGTTGCATTATTTTGTATGTGGTTGCTCTTTCATTGGAATTTCATCAAATTTTTCTTGTCTTGTTGATTGTACAGCACTTTAGTCAAAATGTATCATTTATAAATCTACTTTACACATAAAAATGACTTGACTATAACAGAGGCATACTGCATTCACATTAAAAAAAATTGATATGTATAAAGAAATGAGGCAAGTATATTGTTCATTCAGAAAAAAATAGACAGGTTGTTTATCCTGGTTTCTTTTCCTGTTATACTGAGATGATTAACAAGTTATTTGAAAAAAAAACAAGACAGATTTTTTTTTCATTTAAAGACAAATGGTCTTGTAATTCTGAGATAACTGTTCAGATGTAACAATGTTAACAATGTCATTTAGCAGACACTTTTATCCAAAGCAACGTACACACGAGAACATTTTTTAAGTGGATGTAATCCAATTTTGCAGTTATTTAAGTACAATTTCCAAATTCTTCTCAGTAAGCGTTAACAATAAACACTGTTTTGTTGTTGTTGTTTTATTAACATATTCAACAATTTACAAAGCTCTCAATGGGAGACAAGTGCAATTCAGATGTACATCTTACTTTTACAGAACAACAGTGATAATATACATGAGAACAACATAATATAGAAAAGAAAAAAACACAAAACTTACAGCAAGGCCTGCCTTTGGAATTCATACAAACAGCAAATGTAAATATTAGATAATTAATAATTCATTCAGTTACAACAGTACATATTTAGAGACATCATCACATAGGTTTCTAGCCCTAGATGAGAGTCTTTAATTAGTGCCAAGGAAGCAAAATAAGATTAAAGTTCTGTTTTAAACAATGCGAGGGATGGATTTTTATTTTGCCATTTACTTTTATGGCTATGGTATTTACCCATAATTATCATTATATTGCAAATTTTAAAACATTTGTTTGGCATGTTGTAATTTCCATACAGCACTTGTTCCAATTTCAAGCGTGCAACTTTATCCATTTTAATTTTCAACCAGTCAACTAAATCATGCCAAAAGTTCTTAATTATGTTGCATGAGAAAAAAGGATGTTCAATTGTTTCCTCTTCTTGCGAGCAGAAAACACATGGCTCCACCTCGAAACCAAACCTCTTTTTAAGGATTGTTGCTCAAGGATAGTAACCATTGATTATTTTAAACTGCATTTCCTTGATTTTAGGGGAAATTGGCCAATAAACACTGTTAGATCCTGATGAAACTCCGAGTGACCGTGATAGGCGATATCGCTGCAAGATGCTGTTTCCCTTCCTGACCACAGGGTGCGCTGTGACTAGTTGGTCGTTTATATTCAGTTGAACCCCAGCTTCCTGTAGACATCAAATCAACAAACACTCCTCTCGCTGTGTAACTTTTTTTTCGTTATTTCTAAGCAGTAAAAACAGCTCGTAATGACTCTGGGATAACACACTTCCCTCTTAACAAATCGGTCGCTATTGTTTTTAGGACAGTAAGACGGACGGAGGGGGTTTTAAACATGTCTGCCGCCGTGGACTTCCACTCTCAGATCGCCTCCATCATGGAGGTCCTGGCTAACGCGGCCGTGGCAGAGATCTGTAAGGTGGTGGATGACGGCTATGCGGTGGTTCAGCTGGAGATGTCACGGAGCCAAAAGGAGAGCGAGTTTCTGCGGAGGAAGATCAAACTGCTGGAGCTGCAGGTCACCCGGTATCGAGCCGAGAGGATGAAGGCGGCGGAGGGATCTGCCAGCCGCTTCCCCGGGGTCCGCCTCCTCAGCCGGCAGCGGGGAGACTCATCGGCCGGTAAGAGGCTTCGAGCCGAGGCTAACACTGTAACAGAGACAGCGGGTAGACTGACGAAGTAACTTGACAACTCAATCGTATTTCATTCTTTTTTGTTTGAATTACTTATTTTCATTTGTTGCTTTTTTTTTATTATTTTGCTAAAAAGGTTCAGAAGCATAGTGCATTAACTCAAAAACACTCCGCTCCCTTCTTTAAATGAACGAGAATATTGTTTTAAAATTACGAGATTAACTTTTGTGATTATCAGTCTTATGCTATTTTGGAAAAGAAGAATATCGTCACCCTATTAAAATAACGGCCTATGTCATTTTTTGACGAAAATTAGTTTTTTGCCCAAATCCCTTGTAAATCTATAGTTTGGCCTAAATTCTTAGTTGAAAGGATTATGGCATGATCCTTTCAACTAAGAATTTAGGCGATTTTACCAGAGATGGTCAGCAAGAGATGATTTAGGCCAAAAACTCTCTTTTTTTCCTTTTCAAAAAATGACTTGGGGCTTTATTTTAATAGGGTGATGATGCAGTAATTTAATAAGATAATTACTTCATTCTTTATAATAAAACTGATTTTTTAATCCAGAAGTCCTTTAATTATAAAAGTATCTCATTCATAGTTTTAAAATTTCAGGAAATGAAAAGTTAGATTTTTACTGGTAAGAGGTGTTAAAGTTCAGAGAGCACTTTGACTGAGACATGTCTTGATACCTGATAAGATGCATACTGTCTCATTAGCATTCTTGATTGATCAATTAATTGGTTTATTTGTGGGTTTGTTCATTTAACATTTCAAGGCAGGGTATTATGTACATATTCACAAACCGGGTGGATGAAGAGCTGCAGGTTCAAGAACAATGAAAACAAAGGAAATGATAAACATGCTGAAGTCCAAAGAAACCAGTTCTTAATCCCACTGTTCTTTGCAATTTCAGGCAATTTTTTACCCACTTGGTAACATCATTCATTGTCACAATGTATCCCTCCATTGTAATGCAGATGACACACAGATATACCTGCGGCTGAGACCTGGTGATCCAAGAAGCCTAGATGCTGTCTCTTACTGTCTCTGTGCTATTTAATGTTGGATGGCTCAAAGTTTCCTTCAGCTTAATGTCTCTGAATTAGAAGTCATACTCCTCAATTACATCAACTTCTACACCCCACAGATAGAAAACTCCCTCAGAGCATTTTTCTCAAACATCTCAGCAACTGCAAGAAACCTCTGTGTAATGTTTGATTCAGAATTAACCTGTCATCATTACATTAAAAAAATTCCCATCTTGTTTCACTCAGTTAAGATCCATTTCAAAGATTGAATCAACTCTGCCCTGAGCAATCCTGGAAAAAGTCCTTAGTGCTGTCTTAGGCTACGTTCATACCGCAGGTTATGATGCACAATTTGGAGTTTTTGTTAAGTCCGATCTTTTTGTGCGGTCGTTCACATTACAACAACAAATGCGGCATCTAATGTGAACAGAATGCATCCGTGAAGTGACCTGCATGCGCACAAAGTACAAATTGCTTTCCATGCCTGTTTGTGTTGTGAAACAATGGTGACGTTTGTCGCATATTGATGATGTATAGGTCGGATGAATGCGACCTGAGTGCCACACAGCAGTCACATCAGATATATATCCGGTTTATATCCACATACAAAAGAGGCCTGGGTCGGATTTGAAAAAATCAGAATTGCACTGTTCACACTTGCATGAAAAAATCAGATATGTGTCACATATGGTTAAAAAATCAGAATTGACCTGCAGTGTGAACATAGCCTTATTCTCTCGATTAGATTACTGTAACTCCCTCCTCTCTGGTGTCACAAATCTCTCTCTGGCCTCCAACTTGTCCAGAACACAGCAGCTCCCCTTCTTACTGGTTTTAACCAACACCATCACATTGCTCCTACCCTCGCCTCCCTCCCTGTGTATTTTAGAATTAATTTTAAGATTTTACTGATCACTTTTAAAGCCAGTGGGTCTTGCCCAAAGTTGTAAGAGTCTCGAACAACTTCCCTGAGGTGATAAGGCATGCAAAATCGATGAAATCTTAGAAATCTCATCTGAAAACTCACTTTTACAGGCTTGCTTTTATATGAATTTACCAATAGTACATTTCACCTGTCGAAATTATCCTGAGCCACTGAGGTGTACTATATGCCGATATACAGTTGACACATCTTCCGTGCCTTCTTGTTTCCCAGCGTAAAAGAAACAGTTCAATAAAGTCACGTTTCTTTGTTTATTTTTCCTTACTTGTTAAAAAAGGAAATGCAAAAACAAAGACAAATGGCGACAACGCAGTCAATGTTAATGTTAATGTTCAGGTGTGTTTTCCCGCAGGTGTGCTTCACACCTGCCACTAATTGCATCTTTTTCTACTTATAGTGAACAAACATATGAGTAAACCCCACCTAGTGTGACACCAGGACAATTACAAATGATAAAGGTTTCAAAACACAAACCCAAAGAAAATACAACAAATGGCTCTGACATGACCTTTTACCAACATTTCAACTTTAACTTATTGACTTCATCTTATTTAAAAACTCATATTTTAGTGCTTTTATTTGAGCAATCTGTTTGCAAGTCTTCATTTAATTCCCTATTGTATTGTCTTTGATCATGTTTACTTCACTTATTTAATGTTTTATTAATTTAAACTTTGTTTCTTTATTTGTACCTCACAGTCCCTCATCTTCTAATCTGTATTTATTGTGATGTTGTGTAGCTTTTTCCCCTTTTCCCTTTCTTTCCCTTTTCATTTTGCTTTTTCTCTTTACTCATCCCTTGGAAATTTTTATTGCCTACTTATGATTTATTTCTCTTATGCTGTCATGGTTGTTATTTACTGTACTTACCCAAGAAACTTTATAAACTTCTGTTTTTAAATGTGCTATATAAAAAAGGTTAAAACATTATTATATGCAGCAGCAAACAACTATTAGGTGACAGGAAAAATGCTAAAAAGCCTTGAAACTGTGTAGTTTCCTGTCCCCCATCTGGTATAGCTGTTTATTCTGCCTTGCGAAAAAATCCTTGAAAATTTTGGTCAGAAAAAGTCTTGAAAAGGATGAATTTTTGATATTTAAAGAGGGAGTATGTTGCCTCCATCTGAAAGCTTTGTTTTAGCTTTCGCAGAGCTTGATGTTTTGCCCTGTCCCCCTCTATTGTGTTCAATCAGTAGGGCAGCATTACCCGCTCCACTGTGGATGTCACCTCACACTAGGGGTGGGCCAGTGCATTGATTCTTCAATGCATCGCGATTGCACACATAACAATCAATTATGGTTATTTATAACCATATATATTGTATATATGGATATATGTTCAAAAATCAATTATTTTCTATGATAGCAAAATTACAGAAACACCCGGAAGTAGGCTGTCACTAAAAAAGCCACCCAAAGGGACGGATTTATAACAGTGTTAGCCAACATAGCTGCAGCTAACTCGCTTGCTTCTGTCACAGAGTGTGAGGATCATGCTTTCAGACCATGGTTTGAAATTAAGCACGTGGAGGCATTTTATGTGGAGGATGATATTCATTTTGTTCTCATTCTGTTCATCAGCTGATTTAAAGCTGCTTTTGGTTGTGGATAGCAAAATGTTTGATTGTTCCAGGAATTTTTTACATTTTCTAAGGGGGCGCTATAGGGCCATTTTCTGTTGTATCTCCATTTTGACTTTGGAATCTTTAGGATAACCCCCCTTCTGATCTGTGAGCCAAATTGCCAGCAACCTTTGTGATGGCTGGTACCTGTGACTGCCTTTGACTGCCTCTGGAGATATTTTGCTATGGAGGCAGCCATTTGTTGGCACCTGCAAAAAGAGGCCAAACTAAGCCTCCTAGGAGAAAGTCTAACATACTTTTAAAGTAGACGATTGTGGGTACCTGTTACTGCAGTTTCAGTTTTCTAGCATTAAATCTTAAGGAGGAGTTAACTTTTGAAAAAAAACTTAAAAATGGGCAAAAATCTCAAAACCCAAATTTTTAAACCAATATGGCCGACTCCGGGTAGGGTGTGACCCATGGTTCCAAGAGGCTTTTTTGTTTTAAATAAATATTCCCTAGCGTTTTAATATGGCTTTCAACTACTGCTTTGCAGCAATGCCCTTGGCCCTAATAAATGATCATATTTTCAGCTTTGAATTACTTGACTTTCAGTTCTTCACTGAGGAATCTGTTCTGTCTGTTTGTGTTCAACCCTTTATTTACAAAATAGTCAAATGTTGTGAACGACAAGGATCACCTCCGGAGTGACTGAGATTGGAAAACAAAAAAGCAGGCAAGATTCAAGAGTGTCATGTAACACGAAAATAGATGACATACAAAAGTATAGACTTTTTAAGCCATCTGTCATGTCAAGTTAGAAAGTTCAAATAGAGTTTTCTAAGTTTGAGTCAAAAATGAAGGAACTGTCAGTTTTTTAGGTTAGTTTTGTTCAAATAAAAAAATGCTCACCAAATCCAAACATGTACGAGAATGGTATTAAATCATTGATGAATTTTAAAGTTATTGTCAGCGTATATCAAAAAGAAGTGATAAACTAATGTATTTTTTTAGATCAAGCTCACTGTTGAGTTTTGTTTTCTTCCCTAACGACATGATAAAATGTGCTGGAATCAGACAGCTTAGATATGGCATCATCAGTGTAAATCTAGATTTTTTTATCCTGTTGACCAGCATGTAGTGCAACTAGGACTCATGTGAATAAACCCTTAGAGGTGATTCTTATTCACAGAGCTCATTAACTTCATTTTTCTGATTATTCTTTCTCTTATGTCACGGCAGGCCCCTCTCTTCAGGGCAGGACTAGGTTTCTTAATCGAGGTCCAGGAGCCCAGCAGTCTGTGCAGAAGACGGCCCCTATAATCCTGGATCAGGATCCCGATCAGGAGGTCGTTACCACCACCAAAACTGAGGTGATTAAAGCAGATTACACAGACACTTGTCACAAATTGTACAGGTGCGTATCTACAGAGCTACAACCCTGCACACTCGGGTATACCAGGTGGAGGAAGACTTTGCAGAAGGAAGCAGACAGTACTGACTTGCTGGTATGAAAGTCCTCACATTAATTTAAGAGTTATGTAAATATATTTTCACCTTTAACCTCTTCTTATGGTGCAGATGACAGTTAAACTGACTCCATTGTAATCACATAATCACCACAAATATCAAAAAAGATTGCTGAAGTATCATACAGCTGATGTACTCCAAGATAAATCCATTGCCAAAAAATATCTTTATAATAGTAATAATGAGAATGATCGTAACTAGAAAATTCCCTCTGGCAAATTCTGAAAGGGCCACGAGGGCTACTGCCGGGGTGTGTACATTTTGATGATATTCTTCAGAGGTTTTAAATAGTTAATACTAGTAGCATTGTGATATTATATACAAGGAGCACATCTACTACAAACATTCTTTGAAGTATTTATTTGTACAACTTGAAAAAAAAAAAAGAGCCGGAGCAAAAGACATTAAAAAAACTCCAATAATCACACTTTTTGCGTGTCCCATTGACTTCACTGCCATAGTTTTTTGCGACTCTGTAGCAAAAAATTCACACACAACAGAGAAAAGTCAAAAATCGATGATCCCAATCAAGCAACAAGTTTTGATTTATAATTTGTCCTACAACTCTTCAAGCTGTTGGACTAGTAGTGAAAATTTGTCTGGAAGAGGAATACGAAATAATACCCAGTCTAACAGTAGTGCCTTGGTGCGTTTGCCCTGTGGCACTAATAACAGCACTCCTTTTTTTGGTCCTAACATTACAACCAAAACGCAACATGACAGATTTTTTAAATCCTTGGAGTGCACTGCTTCCTGGGGTGCTGCGAAAATAACACCAACATTCCTTCACATTAAGCTCTTAAACATTAAAAGTCAGCAGTGCAGGTTTATCTTAAGTATTTTAACATGTTTGAAGCAATATTAGTAAACATTGTTTGTTTTTTGAATGACTGAAAATAACGCTGTTCAATATAAATGTCTAATGCAAAATGTTACATTTTAATGTGAACAGTCAATACTGACTGATTGATAGAAATGTTCAGTCTTGGTGTGAAATGTTCAGTTTAAAGAAAATCTAATCTAATGTTTAGTTTTAAATCTAAACTAAATAATAATGTCCAGACTAAATATTAAATTCAGATGTTAATTTTTGAAATTGAATTTTTAACCTTGCTGTTAGATATGTTAGATAAACTAAAATGTTGAACCTTGAATGTAAAATGTTAAAATCGGAGTGTTAAATGTAGAGTCTGAATGTAAAAGCTCAACCTTAATGATGAAATGAAATGAAATTCAATGTTCAGTGTTAAATCTAAAAGTTAGATTTTTAAACTTGGTATTTAACTATTTTAAATACTAATTTCAAAAGTTTAGTCTAAGTATTTAATGTTTAATGTTAGTTTTGCATATCAGATTTTAATGTGAAGAGGTTATTTTAAATGATCAATGTTGAATTTTAAATGCTAAATGTTTAAAACCCAAATCTCAGTGTTGATCAATAAATATTAAATCCAAATGTTTAACTGAACTGTTTAAAGATTATATGTCAAATTTTAAGGATTAAATTCTCACATTAATTGTCAAATTTAGATTTTATACGTAAATCTTAATGTCTGCTGTTCAATCACGTTCAAGTTTATTTTTTCAGCATAAATAAAAATCTGCAGAAGAAACAGAAACTGTAAATAAACAGAGAAACAGTCATCTGCAGGTTTGATCTCCGTGTGCTGACCTCGAATCAGGTCCTGATCAGTCTGTTTCTCAGTCTGCAGAGCCAGAGGGGGAGGAGGAGGGGGAGTTGCGTATCGTGAAGGTGGAGGGAGCTGCAGAGACCATGCCCACGCACCAGGGGGCGCCATCAGAAACAAGCAACAGCAGAGGAGGCGCCAACCCCGCGTCAACGTTACCCACCGCCACAGAGGACGACGTCAGACGACTCAGTGAAACGGAGGTCAGTGGATCTGACGTCGTCACCTTTGTTGTCAGCAGGACACCTGAGACTGACAGCTCTGACCCTGCACACTGCTCCCTGCTAACAGGAAGTGATGTCAGAGCAGGGGGGGCAGACATGACAGTTTCCTCTGATGGTGTCACGGACGGCAGGAGGGAGAAAGCGTCCCCGTTAGAGGTGATAGTAATTGACGGAGGGGGGGCATCAGACAGGGAAGGGGAGGGTTCAGAGCAGACACAGAGAGACAGACATCAAAAAACCACAATTCCCATGATGCGTCAGACTGGTCAGATGACAGGGTCAGTCCATCCTCCTGGTGACCTCCCTGGGACATTTAGAGGAGGCTCTGCCTCCAGCATTAGCTCCGCCTCCAGCATCAGCTCCTCCAGCGTGTCTCTGCACCGCCCTGCAACCCTCCACAGACCAGCCCCCAGTGGCCCCCACCTGGCCTTTTACCACGCCGCCACCATGGAGCGTCCGTACGGCTGCACCCGCTGCTCAAAGCGCTTCTTCCTGGAGTCAGACCTGCAGAAACACGCGGCACGGCACACCCGGGAGAAACCATACACCTGCTCTCTGTGCGGGAAAAGCTTTGTGTGTCAGAGCCAGCTGGACATCCACCACAATGTTCACACGGGGGAGAGACCCTTCAGCTGCTCCATCTGCAGCAGGCGCTTCTCCCATCCCAGCAACCTGAAGAGGCACCAGAAGATCCAGCATTGAGCCAGGACCATAACCCACAGACCACCAAAGACCCTCAAAGGAGGAGGAGCAGAATGCTCAGTTTAATGAGTACAATTCCAGCTCTTATTTTTGAGGACTGTCACAGGAAGAGAGAGAGACAGAGGAGAAGCAGAGATACCAAGATCCAGTGTGTGCAGTTTGTTCAGTTTGTTTTATCATCATCAAAAGTGTGAGAGCTCAGAGTCTGTGGCAGAAAAAGGGGGGGGGGCACGACTCAGTAATATTCATTAAAGTCCCACTCCGATCTTTTTTCTTTTTTTACCACTTAAAGTGTTCTCAGTGGTCTTTAAATTGTGATTATGAAGTTTTTAGCCAAAATCACATTGTTTTCAAGAGCTTTTCTTCTGCAGAGCTCCAGAAGCTCATTAGCATTTGCCTCTGAGTCGCAGGCGGAGACAGCGCTGCTGTGCACACTCCTCTTCATACTAGCTTGTAGCCTAACATTGACGGTGTAGTAGAAGTGGCAGGTAACATAGGAGTTATTCAGCTCTCAGACATTAATGTCTTAAAGGACATGATGAAAGTAAATATCATAATTAACTTTCTTACGAGCATTTCAATCCACTAACGCACACACTTGTTCAGCGATTGTCCTCTTTACTTCTTAGAGTCTGGTCTGCATAGCAGGGCTCTGGGGGCGGAGCTTGGATTTGTGACGTATGAAATCTCACTGCCCCTCAATTATCAATCTTGCGCAGATCTGAGCACAAGATTCATCCTACGATAGGACACACGTGAGATTTATGAAAGGGTTAGGGTCAGGTCTTGATAAATGTGGCGGCTGAAATCAATCGTCATTAACATGTTCACACCCTTAAATATTCATGGTTCAGAAGCCTCGCCCACTGAGGTCAAGCATGAAAAAGGAGAAATATTAGAATGATGCGAAACTTTTCTGAGCTGAAAGTGGATATCCTCACATCTGTGGTGGAAATTAACAAGGATTTTCTCTTTGGAAGCATCAAAACTGGTATAAAAGCAGTCCAGAAAACTCCTGTCTGGAGCAGGATTATGGAGGCGGTGAACAGCGCTGCAGTGGAATAGCAGACAGTGGCTGAAGTTTGAATAAATCATTAGTCAATAAGTTGCTCATGATGATAAATTAATATCTCTTACATGCCTCATATTTGTTTATTGCCATGACATAGGGTATGTTGCTCCTATTATTGAAAGTATTTAGTTTTAATTTGTTGCGTCTTTGTAATGTAGAGCAGACTGGAGAGTCTGACAGAGGCTGAACAAAAATAATTATTAACGTCACCAAACGGTGTGTTGCTGCCCCTGAGGCACATTTTTATGGATTTCTATTGGATTTTTATCACCGATTAAATAGCAAGAGCACTTTCTCAACTGATACTTTACATCAGAATCCATCAATAAGGTCCTGTCTCCTCTGTACAGCACCTTTGTGGAGTCTCTCCTTGTTATTGTTCTCCGGGCATCGGGTCCTCACGTTACACCGGCACAGCTAACAGCACTCCATTCACCAGTGCAACATTGTGCAAAACTGAACTGGCCCAAATGATGTCCCACATCCTTCCAGGAGTGTACAACAACGTCCCCGCTGCTGGGCCAAGACAGGGACACCTGCCTTTAGGAGTCAAACGCAGCGCTCCACAGTGGCGCATGTGTGCGCAATGTTGAAATGGCGCTCCTGCTCTGTGGCAGTGTTTTTGGGCAGAGTTATCAAATAGGCCTATTCGCTATAGACATAACACATTTTTTTAATTTAATGTATTTACGTCTTAATCTTTAATAAAATCCAGCTGATTGTGCGTAATTACAGGTTTGAGGTGTGTTTATCAATTATTTTGAGACAGACATTTGCTGAACTGCAGATCCACACTGACTCAAACTTGCGTACACGATGTCAGACCTGTCGTAAGATTTGGTCGTAGCGTACGCTCACGTGCAGATTGATAAATGCCGATCCTCACAACAAAATTGTCCTACGCAAGGTGTACGCAAGTTTTCTGCCGTACGCAAGCTTGATAAATGAGGGCCACTGTGTCTGAACCTGTGGTTTGTGTCTGCCAGAGATTCATAGCGATTTGAATTAAGAAATACTCAGAAATGCAATTTCACACTTATTTTCTCCATGATATGACCTGTAGCATCAGAAAAATGCCATATGAACATGTAGACAACAAGAAAAACAGGATTTTCATCTGAGTGGGTCTTTAAAAAAGAAAGTTATGATCATGAACCAAATATATAAAACTTCATCATTACTTCTTTTAGTGTAGAGTGTTTCCTTCAGGATTAAGCTGTTCCTGTGGTTTAGAGGGAGAAATATTAAAATATTTCAATACATGATCCTGTTTATAAAATGTTAGGTCATTTATTTATTCTTTTTACATCCATCGTGCTTATTCACCAGTGTTTTTTGGTGTGTTTTCACAGACAGTTTAACTGTGCACACATCACTGTCAGTTTTATGAACACACACCTGACAGCTTTCCTCTCTTTGTACACACAGCTGTGTGTCCTGCACAGCCCTCTACAGCTCAGCTTAGCGAAGGTTAAAGCTCCATTCAGCAGTTTAACTGGACCGCTTTTGTCTGTCCCAGTTTTCAAATGAGGGTTGAGACAGGAATTGTTCTGGATCACAGTATCCAGAATTTTGTCCAGATCACCACCAAAATGTAATGGGATCCTCCTGGGGCTGAGACGCACCTCTGGTGAAAATTTCAGGTCAATCCATCTGTTACTTTCTCCGTAAAGTTGCTAACAGACAAACAAACTCACAAACAAACAAACAAACCAACACTACCAAAAACATAACTTCCTTGGCGGAGGTAATTATGTCCTCCTCTACAGTCAATGGCGATATGCCTTCTTTTAGCTAGTTGCTAACGGGCAGCCTCTTGGTCCACCAATCAGGTCATGTACAGAAACAATCAAACCCTTCAGCAAAAGGCTAACACATTCAGAGCTGACCTGGGGAAAATCTGAAACTCTACAACTCTGTACGAGGGGTTCACTGTTACTTACGGCAGATACCAATTATTGGGGTTGATAAGACCAACAATCAATATTAAAAACTAACGTGTATTGATGGCAAAATGAACAAAAAAATCTATAAAACTGTAGATTTAGAGTTTTTCAAGCACAACACTTTTGCCTGGTTTGTCTGTTTTTTATGCGTTCTTCTTCTTGGTTTTATTTAGTTCCCGGCGTACTTCAACATTTATGCCGTTCAGCCTCTGAGTCAAACCCGACATGAACTGTGGAGCGTGCTCAGAATGGTTCGGAAAGTTTCAGTCAGACAGAAGCATGTACATAGGAGAGATTGATGCCCAAACACATTATTCAGGTATTTCAGTCCGACTGTTGGACGAATGTGTTTTCATGTGTGTAAACATTTTTAGTCAGACTAATCAATCAATCAATCAAATTTTGTTTATATATCGCCAATTCACAACAGTCGTCATCCCAAGACGCTTTTCAAAGAACAAGAGCAGGTCTAGACCACGCTCATTGTTTGATGATTAAGAACCAACCTAAAATGGGTTTTGGCCCACCTCATCTAACATAAGTAGCAGTGGCAAGGAAAAACTTCCTTTTAACAGGCAGAAACCTTGAGCAGGACCAGACTCATGCCAGACAGCCACCAAGCCGCTGCTGGGTTGGGGAGGAATACAGAAAGAGACAGGGAGAGAGAGAGAGAGAAGAGGGGAGACTAATGCATTAAACAGATTTTTTGAATGCACTGACCATTTGACGATATTCATCAACAGCTTTATTTATAAACGGCATGTTTCATTTGGTTAGAAAAAATAATTTTCTCCATTAGTCTAACTGAAACTGGACTTTTAAAATCATGTAAACAAGCTAGTCTGACTGAACTTTCTCTCACTCAGACTTCTTATCGTCCAACAGTCCTGGTTAATGTGGTTGGGGATTGATTTTCTTTTCTATGGATACGCCTCAATCAGACTTTTAGAGACAGCAGCTAAAATGAAGCATTTTAAACGGAGGCTGAAAAATAATGATTTAATTTTACACCAGAGTTAGAAACAGGAGGCTTTTATCGATCTGAAAATCTTGTAACGATATAAATGAGGTATTGGAAAGGAGGTATAGAGTCTGAAAAAACGCATAATAACCTCTTTTTAATATAAGCTACTTTGGTGGGATTAAGATTTAGTTTACAAACCTGGACTGAAATCCACGAGTGTGTAATTATTCCCTATTATAACAATTATATCAATAAATCATGAATTGCAGAACACCTTCCATGCTTACATCCAGCAGAGTTTGTGCGAAAGGACAAGAACTGAAAATAAAAATTAATATATAAAATCAATAATAGATAATAGTTCAACCCACACTGATCAAAAAATGTCTCTTAGATTGCTTCTTACATGTTTTCATAGGGGAACTTGGAAACTTTGTGAGATCCGAGAGCCTGAGTCGAAATATGACATAAAAGGCCTTCATTGATATCAAAAAGTGTTAATGATTTCTGTTAATTCATGATCAGGTGCTATTCTGCTGGATTTTTATGAAAGAGCTTCTGTGGAGTGATGAGTTTTATGTGGTAGTATCAATCAGCTATCTGAGCCAGTGGAAGCAATTATTTTCCTCAGGCATTTTATTCTACAACCTAAAATTTTCATTGAATCTTTTTTTTTTTTTATTAGGACAAAAAAAACTCACTGAGCCAGCGCAGATGCACACAAGATTAGATATCTGTAATAAACTCCTATTGGACAAAGAAATAAGATGAAACACATGATAAAAGGAAAATCCTCCTCCCAGTTAAAGTCATATTAGATAAGATAAGAAGAACTTTATTTGTCCCTGAGGGGAAATTCAATAATTAAATATGATATAAAGATATAGATAATTTTTGCATCAAGCGGAACACCTACAGCAGACATGCTTACCTCCAGTTAATTATAATTGATAAGACTGCTGCAGAGAAGGAGGAAATAAGGGCAGTGGAGGGGCAAAGACATGCAACAAAGGGTGACAGCAGGGGTTAACGCTGCAGCTGTGATTTTCGTAAAGCAAAACAAGCTGCAGTTATTCTGTAGTCAATCCAGATCATCAGACAAACGTTCAAGAGGGCGTAACCTTCAGGCACTTAGACTATAAGGCCAGTGGCACTCCATTGTAAATATACACCATGAGTAAATAACAAAACACTGATTTATTGTATTTTTGCACAACTTCTCACTTAGAAATGTAACATGGGGTGTACCCGCCAACTCTGCCCAGCTCAGGGCGCTCATCTTAGAACCACTCAGAACTGGTCCCCGTTTGACATGCATAAAAAAAAATAATTATAAACATCACTAATCAAAAAATAAATCAATGTTAAATGATGACTGTTATTGAAAATTATGGCTGATGTTTTCACAAAGGTTGTTATTTTAAGTGCACAAGATAAAACAGATCACAGTTTGGGAATTCATTAGTTTCCCCTTTCCATATCTTCTGTAAACAGCCAGAGCTGCTGTCTCCTCAAACTTTTAATGATGGTAACAGTATGACAGCATGATTCATCCAACATCTCCCTCACCTTTAGCTGTCAGCTCTGAGTCCGACTTTATGCTTTGCTCTTACTTAACATGTGAACTGATGAGAATGTGTTATAGATAGAGGACTCCCCCTCTGCTGAGAGACTCTCTGTGACCTTCTGTCAGGACTGAATGAAACCAAATGGATTATGTATCTGTTTTTTTTTTTTTTTCATTTTCTGTACTTGTTTTAATTAAATTTTGAAATATTTTGATACTTTACCTTTTATTCTTTGTTTTTCTCTTGATAAAATGCCATTAGAGAACATCAGAGCAATACTGAAGTCAATTCTGATCTTGTGTTCTCCACTGATTCCTCCCTTCACTTACATTTTCCTGATGACTTTGCCATCTCAGTCTCTACTTCACAGTCATTATGGTCCATTAAGGGTCACACAGACCAGAAATCAAGGGAGGATCTATCTGAAACTGGCAGATTTCTATCTAGGAACCTTTATATTCCGTTATTCAGTGTTTGTTCTGCATGACATCCTGAATGATCCTGTTTTTGAGGTGACTTAGGCCACTTTTAGACGGAAATGGTCTCCATAGAAAATGGAAAAGTGATGTTTCGTTTTCAGTTTTTATGCTGTGTTTACACAAAACGCAATGTGGTTGAAAACGCTGTAATGTGCATGCCAGGTCGCTAGGTGGCACATGTCGGTGTGACCGCGCTCCCATATCCAACAACGCATACGTAGAACAACTTCCATTCTACATTAATTATTTGATGCAAATAATTCTGTACAGGTCGAAATTGAGCTCCTGCCCGTTCAATAAATAACGACAGCGTGACTCTAATGTCTAGCATGGCTGTTGTCATTTTCAAGGAAGCTGCGCATGGCTTTGATGTCATAAACGTGAGCCGACGTGAGCCATGGTGTAACAGGTTTGACCGTTTTCAGCGTTTTTGTACTTTAGACAAAAGCGGGACTAGCAGAGCGTTTACAACATCTCCACTCTGGAGGGGGTTTTCACTTTGTTACGTTTTCATCTCCTGAAATTGCAGTTGCCATCTAAACGGAACCCCCTAAATGAAACTAAATTTTTCCGTTTTCTATGGAGACAGTTTCTGTCTAAAAGTGGCCTTAATTGGAGGCTTTTCAAAGCTCGAATGAGCATCAAAGATATGGCTGTCACTGTGAATTACAGATGCATGTAGCTAACCCAAGATACACTGTAGTGGTGCTCTCAGATAGAACCCGCCCCTTTTTAAACAAAGCACTGTAATTGGGTTGGTAAACCTGGCACTGAAGACAAAATGTTCATCATGACTGTAGCTTTGGCCCACATGCCTGCTGAATATTTATAAGAACATAATGTGCAAACGCTTACATTTTCAGTTAGTTTTGTGGCTTTCCACGACCATGTCCTCCATTCTCATAAAATAAGTACATGAATGGGTCAGGTAACGATAAGAGTGCCCTCTGTTGGATTGTGTTCTAAGCTGCTTCAGGCAGCCTGATTATACTGGTGTACTGTATTATATGTTCAAATGGCTCATAACGGTTCTAATATGAACCTTTACCCCAAAGTTAAAATAAAGGTTCTGATTTCAAATAAAAAGTCACAGCCCTACCACCAGATTGGTCTAACATCAAGTCTGGCTTCTGATTGGGTTTTCAGAAATGAACCGATCATAACTGCAGCTTCTGATTTTTTATCATTAAGACGGCAGTTCTCTATTAGCATAGTCAGCGTACAACAGAAATGGCTATTTCAATAAAATGAATCCATAAATCATCACAGATTACCTTCAGTTTTGGGAGGTTGGATCATGGCAGTCTCTCAAATACACTGGTCTTCTCTGAGGGATAGAAACGCTCTTGGATGATGCAAAACCCCCACTATGTTTATTGTCAAAAATCAGCTGGTCTCAATGGTGCAAGTGGATTTTACAGTCAGTCATACTGTTCTGTTTTAAGTGTTGATGCTGCACATACAACAGTATTTGGCTGAATATGAAATCTCCCTCTGTTGTTGTTCATGCTGACTGCCTCTCACGATGCCGGTATTTTGTAAGGCATGCAGATCTAAGTTGGAGGCATAGATAAAGAACTAAAACTGATGAGCATGAAGAAAAATGATGTCAGTGGCCTAAACATGTTGAATCTGAACTCTGTTTAAGATTCCCAACCCCACTCAGGTGTTTGTTATGTTTCCCTTCACCTATCCTCCTCCACTCTGAAAGTCCAGTGCAAACAGGAGCCTCACTGGTTAATAGAGCTGTCAGTCATAGCTAATAACTTTTTAAGTAGCATTAAAAAAATTGGACACTTTGACATAAACCAGCATTATAAGAGTGTCTTGCAATGGCAGAGAGGCGTTTGTTCGACCTGCATTGAATCTTAGGAGGCAAAGCTAAAGATCTATCTTGCAGGGGGAGCTCTGAATGTTTTGGCTTCACTTTTGTGTACCTGCCATGTCATGCAATTTTTAATGGCGGTGAACGGTATTAGGTAGTCCCTGTGGCCCAGTCCACCTTTAGATTTATTCACTCTTATCACTTTAAACCATTATTGACTTTTTATGTTCCATATAAACATGTGTAGCATGTTCATACAGTATGAGAGTAGCATGTGGTCCATCATTGTGTGGGTACAGACACCTGGACTAAAATTGAGAAACACCTGAGTCCATGTGGACTGATGTCACAGCTCTGGCCATACCCTGTGTAATCCTTTGAGCTCATCAAAGAGGAACATTTAACACAGATTTATACTCATAAACTGTTGTGTTTCAGTGCTAATAAATCATTTTTTCTCACAGCTTAGTTTCCGCGTGTTATTTAAAGGTGATATTTAAACTGATAGGTATTTAAACTGATGAATCAGCAATGTAAATATGTTTTCTGATGCAGTTTGGAGAGGAAATGACAACATTTATATCAAATATGTAATAGCTGAACAGTCTCAGCTTAGACTGTGTAAGAACCTTAATGTGTCTCTGTGTCCTCTAAACTCTTCCCTCCTTTTTCAGGCCCAGAGATGTCCCCCACACCTGAGGGACCATCAGAGTGGGCAAGAAGAGCTGAAGGAAGAGACAGGTATCACTCTCTTTCTCTCTGCCATCACCTTCTGCAGTGAAAGAAAAACCCCTGCCCAGGCACATAGACTGCAAATAAAAGGGTCAAACATAAATACATATAAACTGTTTTTTAGCAATATCCAACAACTTTATATATGTGTGTATATACACTACATGCCAAAAGTTTGGAAGCAAGATCAGATTTGTACAAAAAAAAATCATAGTTTCATATATGTAATTTGCAACACAATAAACTTGACTATTGTGTAAAGAGTAACTTATCAGAAGACATTTTGACTATAATTATTAGGTATTAGAGTTATTGTTGCTTAGACTTCGCTTTCTTTAAAGTAACCTCCTCTGGCTTTAACAACAGCTTGGCATATACCAGGCATTCATTCCACAAGTTTTTTAAGGTATGTTCCAGGGATTGCATTCCAAGTTTTCTTAAGTTCATTAATAAAGAGACTGCTGAATCGTGGGATGCGTTTTTTCTGACCGATCGATCCAATTCATCCCCCACAAGCTCTATTGGAGAAAGGTCTGGAGACTGAGGGGGCCAAACCATCTTTTGAAGAACACCTTCCTCTTCTTTTCTGTCTAGGTAACCCTGACAGAGTTTGGCAGAGTGCTTAGGGTCATTGTCTTGCTGCAAAACAAACTTATGAGCCACAAGTCTGAGTCCAGATGGAACAGCATGGTGCTGGAGGATGGAGTGGTACTGTTCCTTCTTCATGATACCCTTTACTTCAAACAAATCTCCTACTCCATCACCTGCAAAACATCCCCATACCATGGAACTACCACCTCCATGCTGAATTGTGGGTGTAACACATGGTGCTTTCAGACGTTCACCAGTTTGTCTGCAGACTTAGACTCTGTGTTTTGAACCAAACAGTGCAAACTTGTTTCTATTGTTCTGTGGACGAAGTACTGTTTTTTTTGCAGGTACACAACCCTTCAGACCAGCCTTTCTCAAATGTCATTTCACGGTTGTCAGAGATATGGGTTTCAACCTTGTCATGTTGATTTCCTCCCTTATTTGTGGTGCTGTCTTTCGCCGATCTCTCTTACTTGTGACAATGCTATGTTTATCCTCTGCTTTTGTAGACTCTCTTTCGTCCAGGTCTTTTTCTATCATTATAACTTCCAGGTTCCTCTAGTCTCAGAGTGTAGTGGACTCCTTTGTTAAACACCTTTAGGCGTTTTGCAGTTTCTCTTTCTGTGTATCCTTCTTTCCTCAATCTACAAATACAGTTGTGAGTGAAAGTCAGGGCACCCCTTTAAAAAAAAGCATAGTTTATTTATTAAAAAATTAACCTTGAGATTTATAGTCTCTCTGGTAAAAAGGAAAAAAGACAATATTATCAGAAATCATTAATGCACAGTTAATTTTTATTTTATGTAAAGTACAAAATTACAATAAGAAAAAATCATCTTTTTGGCATGTGCAAATGTCAGGGCACCCTTCAGCATCAGTACCTTCAGTACTTAGTAAGACCCCCTCTGGCAGATATCACAGCTTGTAAACGCTTTTTATAGCCAACTACAAGTCTCTGGATTCTATCCTTTGGGATTTTACCCCATTCTTCCTTGCAAAAGGCTTCCAGTTCTGCAATATTCTTGGTTCGTCTTGCATGCACAGCTCTTTTAAGAACAACCCACAAATTTTCAATGATGTTTCAAGTCTTGAGACTGTGAAGGCCATTCCGAAACCTTCAGCTTGCATTTCTTGAGGTAGTCCATGGTGGATTTCGAGGTATGTTCAGGATCATTATCCTGCTGTAGAAACCGTCCTCTTTTCAGCTTCAGCTTTTTTACAGATGCTGTGATATTTGCCTCCAGAATTTGCTGGTATTTAATGGAATCCATTCTTCCCTCCACTCAAGCAATGTTTCCTGTCCCATTGGCTGCAACACAACCCTAAAGCATGATGGATCCACCCCCATATTTCACAGTTGGCAAGGTGTTCTTTTCATGAAAAGCTGTTCCTTTTTTTCTCCAAACATACCTTTGCTTATTGTGGCCAAAGAGTTCTATTTTAACTTCATCAGTCCACAGCACTTGTTTCCAGAAGTCATCAGGCTTCTCTAGATGTTCTGTTGCATATTTTTGTCATTGTATTTTATGATGAGTGGAACAGTGGAAGGGTGCACCACCACTCCTGCGTCTGCTTAATATTCTTGCAGGTCTTTTGAAGTCAAATGTGGGTTTTGATTTACTTTCCTGACCAGCAAACGAGCTGTTCTCTCTGAGATTTTACTTGGTCTTCCAGATCTCATCTTGAGCTCCACAGTTCCCTTCACCTGCCATCTTAATTATACCTCGCACTGTGGAAACTGCAAGCTAGAAACGCTTTGCTATCTTCTTGTAGCCCTCCCCTGCATTGTGGTTTTTTCTGTCTTACACAGCTTCTTAGAGGAACCCATGGTTGCTGGATGAATGCACAAGGTTTGTGGAGTTGAAACCCCTTAAATTGGCACCAGCTGGCGCTCCCTGATGAGAATTGTTGACACCTGCTTCAGGACTAACGAGCTGGTGAAAGTCTCAGCATCTTAAAAAAGAATCTTTAAAGACCAGACACTTTAAAGCTCTCAGGGTGCCCTGACATTTGCACATGCCAAAAAGATGATTTTTATTTTTGTAATTTTGTACTTTTTATAAAATAGAAAGTAACTGTGCATTAATGATTTCTGATTTTTTTTTTTTGATTTGATAATTTTATTAAGTGTCATACACCAAAATTTGTGCCCAGCCCACATGGGCTTATTAGACACTGATCAACAGATTCATAACAGCCACGCAACATAATATACAACAACAATAACAACAAAACTCCATTAAGAATTGTGACACAAACAATGAGAGTAATGAAAGAAAAACAAAAAAGTTCATCCTACAGGGTACAAAATACTTTGCTGCATAGGCCAAGCCTTTTCAACAAATTTTGCCAAAACAAAAACATCCTTTTCAAACAAGCAACCCAAAATCTCACCTTCACCCTTCCAAAATAAATCAGGATTTTTAAACTGAATTGATTCAAAAATGACATTTCTTAAGTCATCGTACAAGGGACAATTGACAACAAAATGAAATTCATCCTCAACAACCTGTAAATCACAGAATTCACACAAATGTGCTTCTTCAGGTAAGCCTTTAAATTGTCCCACTCCTACTGCCAGAGGTAAGGTACCTGTTCTCAACTGCGCAGAGAGAGATCTCTGTCTTCTCTTTAAATTAAGGAAAATATAAGGTTCTGTAATATAATCCTTCTTGAACTGAACATAATTTCTGAGCTTTGGTTTCTTCCAAATATCCTGTTTCCATTGGTCTTCGTGCTTCTCAAACATTTTTTGTTTTACAGAATTTATATTATTATTTTATTGATAATATTGTCTTTTTTTCCTATTTACCAGAGAGACTATAAATATCAGGGTTAATTTTTTAATAATAAACTATGCTTTTTTTAAAGGGGTGCCCTGACTTTCACTTACAACTGTATGTACTTTTGTTTCTTTACTCAGTTGCTTTTTTCTAGCCATTTTTGCGGTAGTTTGAACGCAGTTGAGATTTATTAGGATTTTTGTATGCAGATTCTCAAAAGCCAAAAAGTTGAAGTGAATAATCCAACTGTGATTTGTTTTTTTGCTTTTGCACTGAAGTTGTGACTCTTGCAAATGTTTTCAACCCTAAAACTAAGCCCTTATTATCTTTTGCTGACATATATTTAGCAATGGTCTGTTAACATCAATGTATATCTAAAGGTAAATGGAATAAAATGGTGCATTTCCATGAAAGCAACATCTGATCATGGAGTGAATACATCCCAAAATACATAAAACTCATGCTGGATTTAAAAAATAGCATTTTGAACAAAAACTTGAAGTTACTCCCAACTGTTAAGCCTGTAATGGCCTTGCTTCCAAACTTTTGGCCTGTAGTGTGTACAGACAGACAGACAGACAGACAGACAGACAGACAGACAGACAGACAGACAGACAGACAGATAGATAGATTCTAAGAAAGAATTAGAGAACAAAAAGTTGTAAAAAAGTACAGTTGGAGGAACATCTTCAACTAATGAGGTGAATTTTTTAACAGGTTAGTAACATGACTGGTTAGAAAAAGGAACATTCAGAGCGGCTGAGACTGTCAGGAGGAAACATGGAAAGAGGTTCACCATTCTGTGAGAGACTGTGTGAGCGAACAGTTGAACAGTTTCAGAATAATGTTCCTGAGTCAAAGGTGAAAGAATGAATGGATTTCATCATCAACATAGCATAATATCATTCAAAGATTTAGAGAATCTTGAGAAATCTCTGTACTGAAGGGACAAGGACTAAAACCAGGACTGAATGGTTCTGATCTTCAGGCCCTCAGGCAGCACTGCATTAAAAACAGACAGGACTCTGGAGTGGAAATCACTGCATGGGCTCAAAATCACTTAAAAAACCATTGTCTGTGAACACAGTTCATCACTGCATCCACAATGAGGTTAAAACTAAACCATGCAAAGAGAAAACCAGATAGAAACAGGATCCAGAAACACCAGAGACTTTTCTGGACCTGAGACCATTTAAGATGGACTGAGGGGGAGAAGAAACTGTCTTAAGGTCTAAAAAGTCAAAATCTGACATTCTTTTTTGAAATCATGATGGTTGCATACTTGCCTCCTTTTTTAACCAGTTCTTAATGAGTCTTAATTGGCCGTTGTTACTCTTGTGTTCTAAAGAGAATTTAGGTGGAAAAAAAACTCCTCTGCTGAAATATGACAGTCCCCATAGAAATCAGCGAGAGCCTCTGCAATGCTTCGGTCGAACCAGTCAAAATATAACCTTCTTCTTGGAAATCTAGGATGCTGTATCTTTTCTCTCAAGATGAGAGAGACCACTTTACTCAGTTTGACCAATAAAATAATGAACGTGTTTTGAAATCATGGACATGGCACCCTCTTGTCTAACAAGTAGAGAGTTTATGAGCAACATCTGCTGCCATCCAGACAATGACTTTTTCAGGGAAGACCTTCATATTTTAGCAAAACAATGACAAACCACATTCTGACAACAGGGATTACAGCAGCATGGTTCTGTAGTTGAAGAGTCCTGCTGATAAACTGGTCTGCCTGCAGAAAACATTTGTAGCTTCTGTTTTCAGCAAACATGTTTTAGCTTTAACATTTGATATATTGTTTTTCCAGAATGACAACAAGATTTGCAAACTATTCAGTTGTGTCATTTATCAACACTAAGCATCCAAACTTCTCTGAAATCGGGTTGTATCACTCACATGTGTCAAACTGAACCAGAAACTGAAAACAGCAGTGACATTGATTCTTGCATCCTCATTCCCCAGTAAAGAGAAAAGCAGGAAAAAAAACCCTCAGATCAACAAACACACATGCTGATGGAAAAGAATCTGTTTACGCCAAAGTAAACACTAATTTGGTTTTCTTACTCTTCCTCTCTCTTCAGGTGACCTCACAGACAAATTAAGCCCCTCCCACTCTCTGCTGGACTGGCAGGACTGCAGTCAGGCAGGAGACACAGTGCAGCCATCTTGTTCATCGTACAAAGCAGACTCTGTTGCAGGAAGTTCATCTTTTAGCCTTATGGGAGCAGTAAGGTCACTTCCTGTCTGTGCAGATTCCAACAGACCTCACAGAGACCTAGACCAGGACAGATCTGAGTCTGAGTTAGATGTCGTATTAATCAACTCCAGACAGGGTGGAGCAGGTGGAGGTGACAGAGCTGAAGGCCTGACCAGGTCTCACTACCCCCGTCCCACATGGGAGATCTCCACCTACAACAGCCCCTCTATCAATACAGCGTCAGCAGACCCCCATCACCAGCAGTCCTGGTCAGGGGTCCAGCAGATGGACCACCTCTCTGATCAAAACCTCATCTTCCAGGCACCCAGCACTCAGAACCAGGAGTCTGGAACCCATCAGCCCCACCTCCCGTTTGCCTGCCCTTTCTGCCCTCGTCGCTACTCCCACCAGTGCAAACTCCGCATCCACCAGCGCGCCCACACTGGCGAGAAACCTTACCAGTGCCCCCAGTGTGGGAAGAGGTTTGGACAGGTGTGCAGCGTGAAGCGGCACCAGATGGTCCACACAGGGGAGAAACCGTACCCCTGCCCCCACTGTGGGAAACAGTTCTCCACCTCTACCAACCTGAAGGTGCACCAGAGCGTCCACACTGGAGAGAAACGCTTCAGCTGCTCAAAGTGTGGGAAGAACTTCTCCTTCCTCAGCAACCTCATCAGACACCAGGCACTACATAGCAACAGGTGACCCAGACACAAAGATACAATGAGACAAAGAAACAGACAGACACAACAAAGACTAACGTGTCAACAGAGATCAAGAACTTCTCGTTCCTCCGTTACCTCATAAGACATCAGGCACTTCACAGGAACATGTAACAGAGACAAAAAGATATCGACATGAGGTTTAAGCATAGACTGTATATACTACGGACAACTTGGTTCTGCCTTCCGCCTGTATACGGATTTGAAGCCGAAAAGCTCTCGGTAATTGTGTTTTTTCTCCATTTCCTGAAACCAACATTGCGCAGTAGCATGGTACGCATTCAATGGGAGAGTTGCTGTCAGTCGCTATCATGACACTTGGCTCAGACAGTGTATCCCCTGGGTGAGCTACGCAATCTTTGTACGCCCATGGGCTGTATCAGGTGTCAATCATAGAAAACATGAACCCCCTACTAACTTTTAAAAATGGAGCTGCACAGAAAAAAGAGGACTTGAGCACAAACCTGTCTTACAATAACTACATGTCAACATCACAACCAGGGAGGAGAAAAAATTATATTCTGTATAATTAATTTCTAAAGTTTGTCCACAACTCCAGAAGGATGGCTGGAGGAGGCGGGATTTATGACCTACACTTGAGCCTGTCACCAGAGTGTGCTGTTCTTGCGGTGGCTTCACCAAGTGAGGAGGCAGACGATGTCTATTCTATATACAGTCTATGGGTTAAAGACACAGGGACACTGAGAGACAGGTAGACAAAAATGCAAAAATACAGAGTGACAGGGATGTACAGACTCAGAGGCACAGAATAACAAACACAAATTTGCAAACTAAAAAAGAGCCTTCAGCTTTTGGCAGCCACATACTATACCAGACTCGACAAAGCAACAAGTGAGCGAGAGAAAGACTCAAGACATGAAGAAACAGAGATGCAGCACCACAAAGAGACCAAACAAAGAGGACAGAGATGTAGATACCCAGCCACACCGGGACTAATCTGAAATCTTGTATAAAAAACTTCTAAGCAGACACTGCAAAGCCATCAATGATGCAAACACCAAGACACAAAACGACAGCGGAAAAATATGGCAAAGTTTGCATGCTCTGATCAAACTGATGAAGAGACACATAGAGCTTGAAAAAAGATATAGGCAAATGAAACCAATAAACTCAAATCAGCAGACATTGCACAACATCGAGAGATGGAGATACAAAGATACAAGGATGAGGGACACAGAAAAAAAAAAAACTGATGCAAGGAGACAAAGACAAAGATACAGAAACATACACAAGAATATGGAAACAAAATGACAGAGACAGACACAAGGAGACAGATACAACGAAACAGAGACAGACACAAGTAGACAGAAAAAAAGAGACTGACAATGAGACAGAGACAAGGAGTCAGAGACTGATACAAAGAGACTGACTAAGAGAAACTTATACAGAGAGACAGGTACAGATACACAGAAACAGAGAAGACTGTTGAAAGAGACAGAGACCAATACAAAGAGGACAGGGACAGGTACAGATACAAAGAGACATGGACACAGATGGATATAAACTGACTACACTTTAGACTGAAACATTCAAACTACAGATGTGATTCAACCGCCAACCGTCCTACGTTTCTCTGACATAAAGCTGTCCAGGTGTGGATCTCACTGTGCCTTTACAGACTGGAGTTACAGAGGGACGACTGTTTGTCCTTTGACTTCTTTTCAAATTTATAGTTTGCGCCCTCTAATGTTCTCTGTCTCTGATGACTGTGGTTTCTTTCTTAATATAACTGTCTTCTTCTTCTTTGGATTCATTTTGTCAAGAGCTGGAGAACATCACGGTGCAATAAAGGATCTCTGACAGCTCATTGGTTGTCCTGTCACTGTTTCCTTATTTTGATGAAAAATTTAGTCATTTTGTTGATTTTTGGCAGAAGTAACAGACTCCTGGGTGAAGACATGTAGAGGCCCCTACCTCTCCCATACAACTTTAAACTGGAGGAGACTTTGACACAACCCCTGTGGACTTCAAAGTTGATATGTTGTCGTGTTTTAAATACCGTACTTACTATTTAATCCAATTAAAATCTGTGACTCTTTAAAGTGTTTTAAAGCCATGCTTAATGCAAAAGCTGAAACTAAAACACCACATGAATGCATATCATGCCAAAAGCCTGATATGTACATTCAGCTGATGTATATTTAACACACATCAGCGCATTTAGTTTCTTCTAAAGGAATTGGATGAGTGTCCTGCAGAGCGTCAGATCATAAATGAAGGAAAAATTCTGAAACATAAACTGTATATACTATGAACAACTTGGTTCCGCCTAGAGCCTGTATACGGATTTGAAGCCAAAAAGCTCTCGGTATTTCCGGGATTTTTCTTCATTTCCTGAAACCAGCGCTGCGCAGTAGCAATGCGCGCATTCGGCCGCACAGTTGCTGAGAGTCGCTGTGATGACGCTCGGCTCAAACAGCGTATCCCCCGGGAGAGCTACGCAATCCCTGAACGCCCATAGGCTGTATCAGGTGTCAATCATAGCCAACATGAACCCCCTAATAACTTTTAAAAATGGAGCTTCACAGAAAAAAGAGGACTTGAGCACAAACCAGTCTTACAATAACTATATGTCAACATCACAACCAGGGGGGAGAAAAAATTATGTTCTGTGTAATAAATTTCTAAAGTTTGTCCACAGCTCCATAAGCTTTGCTGGCAGAGGTGGGATTTATGACCTATACTGCAGCCCATCAACAGAGGGTGCTGTTCTCGGAGTGGCTTCACCCAGCGAGGAGGCAGACTCTGTCCATTCTATATACAGTCTATGGTCTGAAATCAAAATTTAGGAAATGCACTGAAGGCAGAAGTAAAAAAAATCTGATTGTAAACTGAATAATGCATAAAATAAAGAAATAATAAATACTAGGCCGTTAGTGAGAGGAGGACCAGGTCTAAATAAAAATTAATCCGGGGCTACAAAGATTATCCATTGCACTATGTCTTTAAAGCTCAATAAGTGAGCGACTTGTGATGCCTCGGTTCTCCACTGAACAACTGATAAAGTCTTTTGCTCCAGCAGCAGTGAGATTTTTTAATAGTATATGCTAGGATCTGACTTGGCACTGCTGTATAGTTTGTAGAGGTATTTATTTTAGTTTTTATTCATTTTTGTCAGGTTTTTGTTGTATTTAATCATGTCCTAAACTTTTATTGTACCATTTTTAAATCAGGTTTCATCGGCCTTTACTGTGTTTGTTGTATATCTGATGTTGAGTCTATGTTTTTCTAATGTCTCCATGCTATTTGTTGTCAGTATGAGTCTTCTTGTTCTGGTGGTGAAATAGTTTCCCCCATGCAGGATCAATAAAGTCTACCTTACCTTTCAAGGAAATTTTAAGCATGTTTTGAGGAGCACAAGTACTTATATTTCCACTAGGGGGCAGCAGAGACAGCTGTGAACATACAGTATCCCTTGTCAAAATGTATTCTTAAATCGTGATCACATCCAGGAGTTCACTTACACATCCAGCTAACATTGTAGCTCTTACCTGTCACTCAAAGGGACAACGTCCCCGAATTCACTGTACCTTTGGGTCTACATCTAACATAAACAGCTGAGTTTAATCCTAAATCTGATGCCAACAGGAGAATTGATCCTTAATCCAATGTAAACAGGTTAGCTAAATCCTTGATCTGACGCAAACAGGTGCATTTAATCCAATGCAAAAAGGTGAATTTAATACTTAATCTGATTCAAACAGATGAATTCACTATAAATTCTGTCTGTACAGTTGTCATGAATAAAGAGATGACTTATAGAGACCCAAACGGTTCTTGCACCAGGCCTCGATCATGTTTATTTCTGCTTGAAAGTTTTAACATAGGGTCTATGGGCTCTGACTGACTGCAGGACACAGCCTCTAGTGTACATAAGGGAATTGGCTTCATATCTTGGAGGTGTCTGCTTGGTTTGATAGTTTGATGCCACCTTAAAGGGATTTTCCGGGGTAAATTTAAGTTTTGGTCAAATACACTGTGACACCGAGTTAGACACCCCTGAGAGAGATGAATCTTGCCGACTGCTTGCTTCTTAAGTTATACCAACTTCAGCAATGACCGCACGATAGCAATACACAGTGGTCTATGTCTCAACACGCAATGCTCAACCAAAAAGCCACTCTATAGCCACAAATAATGCTCAGAACAGCACCTAACTTCATCAACAGTACACATAGGGTCCCAGCCATAGTACTAGTCATCAAACATCCTTTCAGCTTTGCCTGATTTCTTTAGCAAAGAGACTAAATACAACTCACTCACTCTCCTCCAGCAGCTGCTTGTTTGAGGGGGAGACCTGACGAGTTGATTACCGAGTGGAGACAAAAATTTATGATTATTACTTAATGGAAATGCAATCAGACTGAGACGCTAAGGCAAAAGAAGTACTGCTTCTGCAGTGCACATACAAAATACACAAGAACTCTGATTGCATTTCCATGAAATAATAATCATAAATCTTCTTTCAGCTGCGAAACTTTGCTGCACTCGCTAAAAAGCTAAAAAGATGTTTGGTGGCTAGTACTATGGCTGGGACCCTATATGTGCTGTTGATGAAGTTAGGTGCTGTTCTGAGCATTATTCATGGCTAGAGAGTGGCTTTTTGGTTGAGGTTTGTGTGTGGAGACATAGACCACTGAGTATTGCTATCATGCAGTTGTTGCTGAAGTTGGTATCACTAGAGAAGCAAGCAGTTGGCAAAATTCATCTCTCGAGGGGGTCTAACAAAGTGTTACAGTGTGTTTGACCATAATTTAAATTTACGCAGGAATATCCCTTTTAATCCAGAAGAGAGAAGACTCCAACTGTAAACCAAGAACCTGTTAAGACTCTGCTTTAAATGTCTCAGGAGCTTTAAAATCATCCAGCAGGGGGTGTCACGGACTTGCTTACAGTTTGGTCACATTGTTGTTTAATATTTATCATGTAGGAAAACCTATTTAGAGTTGCAGCTTCAGGCTACTAACAATAGGCATGGCTATGGAACCCGGCATGCCTTCAACGCTTATTTCACCCTGCTTTTACCAAAAACAGAGGCTCTAAAGAGAACTGTACTATACAGAGCAGCAAATGTTGGAATCGACTTCCACCACATATGATTAATACTGAAAGCAAATGGAGATTCAAGAAGAAAATTAAAGAGACCATTATTAGTAAAAAAAAAAAAAAAAAAAGGTTGTTTCGCATTTGTAAATTTCTATTAATGTAATTGTATTTTATTGTCTGTAATTTCTTGTACTATGTATTGGCTGTTATGTGTCAGTGTCTGGACCCCAGGAAGAATAGTCCTGACTAAGGTCAGAACTAATGGGGATCCATAATCAACAAACAAACAAACAGCCCCCCAGAAAGACCTCAATTTATTGACTACTCGTGTGGAGACTGTTGGTATGGAGCCAGCCAGGGTATGTTAGTGCAGAGTTATTGTTTTTAGAGATGACTGGCTAAAACCATCCATCCTTTACAGGCTGACTGAGCAGTGATGCCCCAAAATACAACCACACTATCAGACAAAGTAAGCTCAATCAGAACCTGTATCCTGAAGTGATTACCAAAGATTTGCACAGTTACAATCTGATCAAAGTTCTCTGTCTATTTGCAGAGGGAACTGTTTGAACTTAACCCAGTAAGGTAAAACTGACAGCAAACAATTACACACACACACACACACACACACACACACACACACACTGATAACAGCCTCATCAGCTGGATTCAGCTTGTTGTTTTCTGCCTTTCTCTGTCTATGCTGTGTTTTTTTAGCCCACAGATTCACCAGAATTCCTCATAAGTGTATGATTCACTGTTTATTCTAGGCCCTCTGAGACCATAAAACAAACATCATCATAGCGTAGAGCTTAAAAGTAGAGCTGAATGATTTTACCATGATTTTTATTCTGTTAAGACTTGTCTGACCCTGGTTTTAATGAAAAGAGTCACCCAAAAACAGCCAACAATGTCCACTTTGAGGAGGAGGTGGGGTCATAAAGGGTCAGTGTGTAAAAAAAATCCTCTTTCCTGCAGTTAGACAAAGAGGGAGACAAGAAAGGAAGCTCTGTAGAGGGACAGGAAAACAAAGGTCATAAGAGGGACAAGATTCGAACCAGACCCTCTAGATCACTGGTTCTCAAGTCCAGTCCTCGAGGCCTACTGTCCTGCATGTTTTGGATGTTTCCCTGCTCCAACACACCTGATTCAAATGATCAGCTCGTTATCAAGCTCTGTAATGGCTTAATAACGAGCTGATCATTTGAATCAGGTGCGTTGGAGCAGGGAAACATCCAAAAAATGCAGGAGAGTGGGCCTCGAGGACTGGACTTGAGAACCACTGCTCTAGATAAAGCCCAAACAGTGTCAGTTTCCAAATATTAAATGTCCAATTTAACTCAACTATTCGCATCAGATTAGGGAATAAATTCATCTGTTATTATCAGATTAAGGACTAAACTCACCTGTTTACATGAGATAAAGGATTAAATTTACCTGTTTACATCAGATTCAAATAGAGGGAATTCACGCTGACATCACTCGACTTCCGGATTACTTCCAGATCAGCGACTGCAGAGTAAAGGTGGCAACATCTCTATGGCATTTCTATGCAGAACCAGACCAGACCAGAATCCATCTCTAAATTTGAAAGGTAATGTAAACATTAACACTGTTTTCTGTTTACTACCCCTTTTCTAGGTTATATTATCAATCATTTATACTTTACCATTCGGAAATTATTTTATATTCGGCTGGAAATGTATGCTAGTGCAGCTAGTGATGCTGCTGCTGTCTGTCTGTGTGCATCACATCACAGATGTCTCCGAAATCTCCCAGAACGATTTCTGGCTTCATTAAAGACAAAAAGAACAAACAGGAGAAGAGTTTTTTGGAGACTGAGACATCACTATATATTATTAAAAAAATGAGGACGCTAACTCAATTCAGGTTTCTCAAAATGAATAAAACTGTTATCAGTGGATTAAGGATTAAACTCAATTGTTTACGTAAGACTAAGGCTTTCAATTTAGCTGTTCACATTAGACTAAGACTTTAAATGCACTTGTTAAAATCTTGTATTACGGATATTTCTGTCCTTGTAGTCTACTGTGGTTTCATCAGTATGAGGGGTGAGCAAGGGAGTATTTTAATCCAGAATGTTTTAACAGGATTTTGCAAAGTATTCCTATTTCTACGCACCGTTCCTTTGTTAAACTACCCAGCTGATACTTCTATACAAGCCCTCAGAGGGTCTAAGACCAGATTAGATCAGATCTACTCAGTGTGTAGGACTCTTTTTTCCAAAAATTTCCTTGTTTCCAATTATCTTTAAAAAGTTACTTTCTTCTTTGACTTTATTGATTCATTTTCCCTAACTGTGAATCTATAATAATTTGTAGATGCTGGCATGGGTTCAAGCACTGTCTGGAGTGATGAGGATTGTGTTCGGGTTGCATCGTACTCACCTGCCATGATGATGACGACTCAGGTTTCTTCTTCTGATAGTTGTACTAGCACTTGCTTGACTTTCACCTGTCTTCATCGTCTCCAGTCTATCTCTCTCTGCCTCCCCTGACACATTGTCCCTCAGCAGCAACACCAGGAAAACAGTTACTTTCAAGACTAGCAGCACAGTCATTTTAGGAGTCTCTTTCATCAAAAGTCATGCTTCCCTTGTTTTTTTTTTTTTCTTTCTGGGCAGTCAGTGGTAGATGATGCCACATCATATTGCCCTCATCTTGCACTGAAATAGGTGTTGTCCGGACCACAGTGTTCAGGCCTTCTCTGTGTTGTTTGTGCCACTCTCTTTGATGTATACCTGGTCCTCTGGCTCAACTGTCCTCTGCACCTGTTGACTAGGATCAGATTTTGGCATTTCTTCTGCAGATCAATAGAGCTTTGCATTGTAGTAAGCTGCCTCTTATATTTAACTTGCTCATTTTCCAGAGGTTAATGCAAAGAGCTTAATAAAGTCTTCCACCCGCAGAGTAAAGCATTGTTGTGCAAGTTAGCATTTCATGCAGTAAAAGATTTATTACTCTCCAATCATAAAGGTTTCAAGCAAAGCAAAGAGAGACACGTCAGCAACTTAAACACCAGACTGTTGCAAAGATGCTTTTCTCTTTGTGTTTTATCAGTTTTTAATCAACAAAAAAGGAAGCAGTTAATTTCCCATTTCACACCCCTTCAAAATAAAAGCATTTATGATATGTGAGGTGGATGTTTCTGCTGTTAGTGCTCAGTGTCAGTGACAGGAAAGATTTACACAGACACGACTGTTTGTGATCTCGGCACTCAAGTTACTGGCCGATTAATCATTCAGTGTCGTTGTGTGTCTGTGTGTTTTGGACTCACTGTAGCTGCGTGTAGTTAGGTTATTGTGTAATAACTCTGTTTGAGCTTGAACACACTACAACAAACACTGATGTACAGCTGCAGAGAGAAAACATCTGGATCTATGATGGAAATCTTTGTTTTCCATGACGTCTGATCACAGTTATGAAGCACAACTCTGAGTGTGTGTGTGTGTGTGTTTGTATTTTGTTGTTTTCCTGCTCTTGCACACACACACTGACAATCCTACTTTGCACACAGGGTTCTACAAAATGCACACTGATCAGGCATGTTTGCCTATCCAAGAGAGGTTTGTTATTACATACTTCAGTTTGAACATCATCAGTATTTCCCTGTTCCTCTGTTTATATATGAGGATAAACAGAGTTACTTAAAGACCCACTCCAATGAAAATCATGTTTTTCTTGTTGTCTACATGTTCATGTGGCACTTTTCTGATGCTAGTGGACATATGCGAAAACTAAGTGCAAAACTGCATTTCTGAGTGTTTCTGCATTCAAACCGTTGTGATTCTCTGGCAGACCCAAATGGCAGACTCAGATACTGTGAGATTTTCTATGTCGCAAATCCAAGCACCACTCCTGCAGCCCTGTTCTACTGGCCAGACTCTGAGAAGTAGAGAGGATGATCACGGAACAAATGTGTGGTAGGAGATTGCAAAGCTTGTAAGGAAGCAAATTATATTAGCGTTCATCATGTCCCCAAAGATGTTAGTGTCCAAGAGCTGAATACCTCCTATGTTACCTGCCACTTCTGCTGCACCAGCAAGGCTAAGGTCTTTACACACCGGGCAATAGGCGGAGCAACACGAATAAGCAATGTGAAAAGGCAAATGTTTCGCCAGTGATTTTTTTTTCTGTACACAACAGGCGCAACGAAATTATGTGAATGAAATCCACTAACTGAATAAACTGAATAAAGTTTGGTGCTTCTATATCTATAAAACCATATACAAATGTTTACTGGACTTTGAAAAAGTTGCTCCGAGCTGGTTAGTTAGCTAGATTAGCTTCATATTATGCTTGCTACATTAAACATCTATGTTTGAGGATTGACAAAACATCAATCTACTCTCAAGGCAAGTTGAGGTCTTCTTCTGTTTCCTGCCAATACATTTTCTTTGAGGAGAGTGTCATGGAATATTTTAAGAGACTTGTCACATAAAGCAGGGCGCTCCTGCACACTAATGATGAAGCGCTCAGTCATGGTGAATGAATGCAGACTAGGGCTGATGCTGTCAGAAAAGTTTGGATGTGACATCATCGACATAACACCATCATTTTGATTGGTCAGAGATCTGGCCATTTGCCTTTTTGCCACTGCAAAATTCAACACAAGAGCGAATAAATAACAGTCGCTTTTTTGCTTCGGGAATTTTGGGGAATTTTGTGTAAGGTCGCATTGACTTCAATAGGTTTAAAAAAAAAAGTGATTTGCCTTGAAAAATCACTCCCAGTGTGTAAGGACCTTTAGGCTGCAAGCTCGCATAAAGAAGGTTGTGAAGAGCAGCTCTGTCTCCAACCACGACTCAGAGGCTATTTGCTAATGAGCTACAGGAGCTCTGCAAAAGAAAAGTCCTTTGAAATGACACGGGTAACGTGATTTCTGCTAAAAAAAAAAAAAAAAGTAATGATCACAATTTACAGACCACTGAGAACACTTTAAGTTGTAAAAGAAAAAAAATGATTGGAGTGGGAATTTAAGTGATTAGAGAACAATAAACCTAACAACAGTGGAAATGTGTCCCCATGCAAAAACAGGGAAAGTGAATTTGATGGTTTGAAACAGAAAATGTTTTTGTTTTATGAGAAACCTCTGCTCATTTCAGAGATTTTTGAGATTCAGGGAGAACCTAAGGACAGAACCTGCCCTTGAGAGAGAGGACCTCTATTAACTGAAGTGTAACTGTCTTTGTCCAGTCCATCATTCAATCAGTATTTATTTTCTAAAAGACTCCTTTTAATCCTTTAAAGAAAACATAATTTTAATTTTGTCTTGACAGTTTTGACAGAACAAATAATCAAGGACTTTCAAGAACAACAGTACAACCACAAACACGCGCACAGTAACGTGTCTGTAAATATTTTATTCTGTATAAAATAAACTTTATCTGAGTTAGTACAAAAGACAATGAAGGACACACCTTTAACACCACTGTGTGAAGTTAATGTGAAAAACAGTGCACATGATATTGTTATCTCTGACATACTCACACACAAACGAGCACACACACACACACACACACACACACACACACACACACACACACACACACACACACACACACACACACACACTTAACAATGTTCAGAAAAGCATGCGATCAGATGGGAGGTGCTGCTGAGTCCATTGGTTTCCTCCTAACCTGATCAGTCCAAATTTTTCTCATCAAACAGATTAAAAGTACATGTTTACAGTCTCATCATTTCTTTTTTCTATTTCTATTGTTTTCTGTTTTAATTTATTGTTTTGATGTTGAAAAGTTCATCTTCTCTGAATCAGTCCTGTCTGTTTTATCACCTGATTGAAGTGTCAAAATAATTTGACATTCATAAACATATTTTTACATCAGCAGCTCCTCAGCTGGTCAACTGACACACACACCCACACACACAGGTGATAACTATTGGTACAACTGGAAACACTTAATCCAATCATCAGGTGACCCATCACCCTGACAATAGCTGGTCCAATCAGAGATCAGTTCAGATCTGGGGGAGTCAGTGATGTGGGGGTGGAGGGAGCAGCCTGAGAGAGAGACTGTGAAGGAAAACAAAACATCTGATGATGCGACCAGGTACAGTGGGGTAAAGCATTTACCATTCACAATAAAGTTTACTCTCTCTAACTTGAGTATTGATAACCCTCACTTTTCTGTACATTAGTTTAGATTTCACCCCTGCTGTTTAAGAAGTTACACAGAGAAAAATGACCAAACCTGTAGGAGAGCAAAATCATACTAACTTGGATACAAAAATCAATCATGATTTCCCATTGTCAAGCTCAGCCAAATTTATTTTAGGTAACAGACTGACTTAATCCTGAACCAATAAATTAATCCAGGATCAAGCCTGTTTTAATCCTGAATAAATCTTGAAAATTTATCCTGATGAAGCTGAAAGTCAATGTTGGGTCAAGACTGTGTAAATTCTAAAGTAATCTTGGACAAAGTCTACTTTAACCTTCATGAATTCTGATTTAATCCTGGGTTAACTGTGAGTTATCTCTTAACCTGAGAATTTTTTTTTATAGGTAAAGCTAATAGAAATCCCAAGTTAACCTGGGTGAATCCTGAATTTGTTCAAGGTAAAACCTGAATAAATCCTGAGTTATTGATGGTAAAGTCAGACTATCCTGAGTTTCTTCTTAATTTATCCAGGATCAAGACTGTGTTAACACTAGGTTTATCCAAGATGACACCTAAATGAACATGAATTTTATCCTGTGTTATTCCTTATCTTAGTTTGGGTAACCTCTGAGTTAATCTGAAGTTAATCCCAGATAAAATTTGTGTAAATCCTGATTTTTGAAGCCTATGTAACTCCTGTATTAATCCTGATTCAAGCCTGAGTAAATATTCACTTAATCCTTCAAAAATCTTTGATTTTACCACAATTAATCATGTCCATACTAAAAAATCCTAACTAAACATGTTATGAAACCTTGGTCTATAATACGTTAAACCCGAAATAGAATTATGTATAAAATTAGCATAATTCAGAGTTATGTCTGAGTTTAACCTGATTTGAACCTGAGCTCAGCTGGCAGAGATGATGCCCCATACAGTGTATCAATCAGTCATTTTTTTCATAACACCATATATAAAGTTGTTATTTTAGAGGAGACCAAACTTTTATTATGTTTAGCTCTAAATTACACATTGATCTGTGAGCAGCAGCTGAAAACATCACGCTGACTGTGGTGATCTCTTATTAATTTAGACTCATTAAAATCTAATCTCTGTTTCCCAAACATGTCAGCGCTATCTGTCTTACAGCGTAATGAGCTCCAGAGTTAGGCAGGTGTGCTGACACTGTGGCTGGTTTTACTCTGACAAATGTACCTGATAGTTCCCTGATAAAAACTGTTCATTTCTTACAGCGTACTGTCCGAAGCTGCGTCTCTGCCTGAAGAGGAGGAAGCAGACAATGGAGGAGATCACCATCTGAGCCAGAGTGAAGAGGAGAAGGGATGACTTCACCCCTCTGCTTAGCTTCTGTTTACATAAACACACACACACACAGAAACACACACACAACAGATATTAGCATCAACATTATCACATCAACATAAGTTTCCAGGAAAGGTAACGTTCCATTATACTGCTGATACCATGGTCAATTTATCAATACCTTTAAATCCCACTTTTATGATCATGTTATGGCCTGGATGGGTGTCTTAATCGTTGCACTTATTCCTATCTTTTAGACAGTACCTGAATTTCTCTGCTCTCTGAATTCTCTGAATTGCTGGTCTAATTGATGTACTTCTAAAACTCCTCCCCTCTGTGAAATTTTGGCCCAGGATCTGCCATCTGTTAGTGCTCTCGACTTCACTGATGACTCCTTTGTAAACAGAGGCCAGTATGAGCTAAACTTGTGAAAGAAAAATTGTATGTGTATGTTAATCATCATTTAATGAAACTCACTTGGTGTGAATGCTTGCAGAGTCATATCTGTGTCTTTTTAATGAGCATGGGAAAGGAGAAGTATGGCCTTGGAGTTGGGACTGATACTTTTCTGCTGAAGCCATGCAACTAGATGAATGCTACAATTTCACTCACAGGTTGTTTTCCCAACAGTGTGACATTGAACTGATAAGCAGGAACCTGATGATGAACTAAGCTGTCTTTGTTCTCCCAGTACAGACCACAGCTGCAACCTGTACCCTATTTGGATACTGTTGTAATGTCATGCCAATTGTGAGATGATGTTAGTGGGCGGGGGGTTGTGTTTCTTGACTGCATAAAGGATGTGTAAAATCTGAATTCCTCAGTCAGAAGAAGCTGCCTTTGTTGTAAGCTGCTGACTCCTTGCAAGTAAAAGATATCCAGGAAAAATAAGTCCACTATCTCTGTTGTTCTTCTCAGATGGCTGCAAGTCAGATGCAGTTGAATTTTTCTGACACTTGAGTCTCAGCTGTTCTGGAAAAACCTAGAGCTGTTCATCTATAAAGACCTTCATGAAGCTCATAGCCACAATCTAGAAGACACATTACATTAGCAAATAACAGGTTAATAACAGATTATGGGAAATAGTGAAGTTTTGTTTTCAGTGTTTTCACACAGGGACTTGTGATTACTCTATGTAAGGTAGGAACCTTTGTGTCTAGGTAGGTCCTCCGCCTGAAAGGGGAAACAATTTTTCGAACCACACAAATGCTGCTGCAGTGAATGTGTACAACATGGTTCTTGTCTTCTTTAACTGTACACTTTTGAAGCCTTTAGGAGTAAAATAAGCAGATGGTGTGTTCAGCAAGGACTTTCATGTGGACTTCCATTCGTCAGGCGAAACTTTTTATGTGCATCAAAAAGTAAATCCAGATACAGCACTTCAGTGGCTTCAAGTGTCAGCAGCTTGGCCTCTATAATAGGACTATGGATAATACATGCAAATGTGGCTAAACGAGGAGCTAAATTGGTGCTAATGAGTAGCTTCAGGCATTTTCTGCTCAGATAAAAGTTTTAGGTTGTTTCATGACTAAGTAACATCACAAAAGCATGTAAGGAAATGATTTCTGTGGCTTGATTTTTGATTATTTTTTGATCACAAGGCTGTGTAAAAAGTGACACCCCTGGCTGTGTTGTTTTCTAGCATTGTAAAAGCAGCCAAAATGAAGCAACCCACGCTCCATTTATATGGAAACTAATTCAGAAGTACACAGAAAAGTTTTTTGTTGTATCAGTGTTTCATCAACATGGAAATGGTGTGACTGTGACTGTAACAATACTTTTTGAAATGGAGTTGCAGGATGCATAAATTTGTATACGACTACCATTTTGTCTCCGTGTGTACACTTATCCGCATTTCTCTTGAAATAATTATGTCACACACAGCGTAACTTTCTTAAGGCGCCTGTGCATGTCCCTTTACACTCGTGCTCCGTACTCTTCTTCTGTCTTTTGGTGCATTTCCGGGGCAGCGTTAAAGCGCTACTTACTGGCTTGGCATATTCACTTTACTGTTTTCAGTGTTTTCGTGTTTACGCAGATATTTCTGTCTTTAGAGAAATAAAGATGATTCTGTCTTTACAGAAACTTTTCCAAAACAAAACGGCAATATATCGTTTTTGTCTCTGCGTGGACAAGGCCTAATCAGCAAATCTTGCTAAACTGTCTTATTGGTGTCCCAGACTGACAGACCTAAGGTGAAAATCACATCCCATACTTGCATCCTCAAAAAGTGTCTCAGTCCCAGCTAGCACAGATGCATGGACAGATGTGACAAAATGAAATATGTTGCAACAAACATTTGACATCCTTTCCTTTGTGCATAACATGAAGCAACTTCCTTTTATGATCATTCCTTCAGCTGAATCAGGAGTTAGCCAGAGCCTCTGTGTTGGCATAACTGTACCCTGTATTGATAAAACACACAGAGGCTATTTTTCTGTATATAACCTGTTCAACAAAAACAATAACCTAGAGTTTCTTTCATTTATGTCCAGCTTTGAACCATCGTTTTTACCAGAAAACAGCACCATTATTTGATATATCATTCGTTATTCAAGTTTTCATTGATGTTTGCGATTATATTTAGTGACCTGTGAGTAGATGTGTAGAATGTGCATCTTATAAGGTTATACATGCAGATATTCTGCAGATCAGGCTATTCATGCAGTAAGGGACAGTACATGAAAAACAGACAGGTTACCTTTATATCTGCTTATTTTATATTTAAATAGACTTGAAACTCACATTGAATGGATACAAACACATGCTGTGAGTAACACAAGCAGGAGATTTGACTCATCAACAGGACAACAATGGGACAGAAGTTTCAGAAACTAGGTATTTGAATTGGAGTAGTTTAAAGCTCCCTGATTGTTCTCAGTTTGACCCACACTGAGCATCTTCATTATTTTCTTTGTGCTACCTAATGTCTTAAAGAAAGAAACAATAAATAAGTCCATGTGTTCTCTTAATGTAGAAATCTACAGTGTTTTCTTGTAAGGCTTTTACAGAAAAGATAATCATGTTAAGACAGCAAGGTCAGCATGTCTTATCCCATCACACCTGCCCTTGCCTCTCTCCTCTCACTCTCAGAGCTGACTTTTACGTTTTGGTGATCCCTTTAAAATTCTTCTGGACCTCATCCAGAGCTACATTGCAGAAATTCAGGCCCTTCAGTCCAAAGACACCCACCACTTCATTCTTGGAAATGACCCCACACAGGAAACAACAGGATAAACTAAACTTACTCAACTCCCCATGAAAGGAAGTGTTGTTTTTGTCCTTTTTACTCTGTCCTTCCTCCTTTTTTCCACATTAAATCAGCGACATCTTTGTAAAGATGTAAATGCTTCACTGGCAAGTCTAATCTCAGCATGTTTCTTCCAGTAAATCACCCGTCTACAGTGAGATGTTTTTAATCTAATCACACACCCATGCTCATATTTAAAATGACTCACACACACACAAAGCTTGTTTCTGAGGAAAGTGTGATGAAATATTTTTCTTTCTGTTCCCTAAAAGTAGCATGTCAGGAAGTAAAGTCGTTGGGAATAAAGCTCAGAGTCAGCGTTTTTTCTTCTGAGAAAGGTCTTGGTAAATCTTAATTTAAAGTTACTTCTGTGTTGAATGCACCTATAGAAACACTGTGTCTCTTTTAGTATTTCTGATATTATCCTGGGTTAATGGTGAATTAATTTTGAGTTTATTTTGGGAAAAGCCATATTTTCTTGTTAGTTCTGGCTCAAGTCTGAGTTTTTTCTTCTAAGTTAATCCTAAATTTATTTTGGATAAAGCCAGAATTTGAGCTTTTCCCAAGTTAAAACTAAGTTAATCCTCAATTACACCTTTATAAATCCTGTGTCAAAGGTACTAAATGGCACACCTGAAATATAAAAGAAGACCTGGAAAATTGGCTCAAGATGCTGCAGACATCCAAAATTAAAACTAAAAGAAACCCTTAAGCATAAACAATAAAACAAAGGATTCAAATGATTTGCAAACCACTGAAATCTGTTTTCATTGGCAGTTTATACAGCCCCCTGTCTTTTCTGCAGTCATGATTAAAGTTGGCACTGTATCTCTGCATCCTGACACTCACCATGGCGTAGTATTTCTCACTGCAGTCTCTGTACAGTATCTTGACACAGGACCCCTCTTGGTTCCTGTCAATGTCCACTGAGTAAATAATGACAGCCACCAGAGACAGCAGGGCAGACGCCAGGCTAACCAGCAGACACACTCGCAGCTGGAAAAGAACACACACACACACACACACACACACTCACAAGGTCAACAATACAGCAGTTAAAGGGATATTTCAGTATTTATGAAAAACAGCACACAAGCTAGGCTACAGTTTTCTGCATACAGGATCACTGCCATGTAATTTGGAGACTCCGACCCACACACATGGAATGACTATTTGCTTTTGAACTGTTTACAGAAATGACAAACAAACATGTCCTTTTTCTTGATCAGCTGTTCTGGTCTACTGGCTTAAAAGAGACAAAAATTCTAAGTAAATACTAAATAAAGACTGATTCTAGCAGTGCTGATAAGATGCCCTTTACTGCAGACAATCATGGAGAGGAGTGTAATTGAAAAAGAGAGATTAATCAGAGGGATGTCAGAGTGTAACTAAAAAGGGAAACAGTTTGTATTGAACCATGTACGTGGATACAGTGTGTAGCTAAGTGTGTGTTCAGACTCACAATTTTCATGTTGCTGTGTTTGTCCAGGATGATGGCAGTCACTCCTGCTGTGATAAACTGAAAAAAGAGTACTTTTCATATCACCAGTTAAAGGCAAAATATGTATTCAAAAGTTGAGAGCTTCTCATCAGGACCTGCTTTGAAATGACAAACTCTGTTACTAATAGCCTTTTAAAGTTTTAAGAGCTGCAGTTTCCTTTTCTCTAAGCGACTAACAGCTGAGAGGTGAGATAAAACTGAATTAGCAACATTAAAACCAAAGAAGATTAAATAACTTACTGTCAGTCCGCTCCACCAGGGCACACCCAGCAGGACGACCTCTGTGACCTCTGTGAAGAGCAGAGGGATGGAGTACGACATGACCATCAGCCCCAGCATCACCTGACTCACCTGGACCACACACACACACATACACAGAGTTAACACCAGAGATGATCTTTCCAAAGTCTGCTAGTTTAAGACTAAAAGGAAGGTCACACACAAACATCAGTAGTCCCTCAGGTTCTTATAAAGTTCACTGTATGATTTCTGGTTCTAACAAGGTTCACTGTATAGTATGTTCGGTTCTTATAAGGTTTTTTGTCTGGTTTCTAGTTTGATAAATGTTTTTGTACAGTTCCTGTAGTTCCTATAATGTTCTATATGCTGGCCCTCTAGTACTTGTAATGTTCTAGTAAGGTTCCTGGTCTTTAAACCTCTGTGTAAGATTTCGGGTCTTGGGCTGGTTTCTGTTCTTACAGAGTTCTCTGCATGATTCCTGTGGATCTTGGACTCTACAGTTTATGGTCCCCATTGTTGCCATTATATATTCTATATGTTCCCTGTGGCTCTTACTATAATCTTAGAAAGGTTCCTATGGTCCTCTCAGTGTTCTCTGCATAGTTTATGGTTCTAACAACTTTCTTAGAATAGTTTCTGTGGTTCTTATGATGTTCCCTTTATTGTTCCTTTGGTTCATAGTAGTCCAAGGTTTCCATGGTTCTTGTAGAGTGTCTGAATGATTTCTTTCTTTCTGTGTGGTTCCTGCGGTTCTTATAATGTTCTATGTGTGGTTCCTGTGGTTCTGTTTATGTCATTTGTTAGGGTCTTGTGTTTTTTCAATGGTCTTAAAGTGGTTCTATTGGTTCATATCATGTTTTCTGCATATTTCTATGTCTTTTTCAGTGTTCTCAATACAGTAATCAGCTTCTTATAATGTTCTTGGAATAGTTCCTCTGGTCCTTCCTGCAGTTCTGTGTTCTTTGCATTGTAGCTGTGGCAATTACAGCTTTCCATGTATAGTTCCTGTGTGGTTCTGGACTCACCCCCAGACTCTTGGGTTCTCCTTTCTGGATGGCGGCCCGCAGAGCCTGCTGTCTGTCTGACAGCTTCATAGCGTTCACATCCTCCAGCACTCGCACCGTCATATCTCTGGAGACCGCGACTGCCATCACCTGCAGGCGGAAGCAGAGGTGAGAGTCAAAACCTGCCTTGGACTAGATCACTAGATGGAACAGGTACCCCTGGACACTTTTAGGCACTTTTGACAGATTCAGCTCATCCTTCAAAACAGCCACAGAATATATAAACCTACCTGTCATTTCATGGTTCTCAAACTATGCCAGTTTAATGTCAGGACATGCTGTCATGTTGCTTCAAGCTCAAACTATCATGCGGTGTGTTTTCTAGAAACAACATCATCAACTCAGACATCCAACATCTTCAGTGGCCCTGAAGGTCAACAGCAAAACTATTTCAAGACCGCCAAAAGAAAAGATGACAATAACACAAGAACACACACACACACACATTCCCCAGAATGTATTTTCTTTTCCGTAAAACAAACATATACTCATAAAATAAATAAAATAAAATAAAATCACAAAAAAAAACAAATATTTTTATATTTAAGGGAAATATTTTGGACATAAAAACATACATGAATACAATGAACATACAAAAAAAAGAAAAGAAAGGAAACTCACAAAAGTGAAGAAAATAATATTACTTAAGAAACATAAAGATATTTGTGGAAAAATAACCCATAATAGAAATATCCGAGAATGCCAATAGAATAAAAATATATAAATGTATTACAAAAAAAGAAATAAATTTTGAGAACAATAAAAAAAATTGTTAAACACAAATATATTTTTGAAAATACATTTCAATTATATTCTTTATGCACTTTACCAAAGTTGTTTTATTCTTTCTATTTGTTTTGGACATTTCCTGATAATTTAGGTATTCAGGGAATATTTCTGTGTGTAGTGAAATGTTATGTGTTCTTTCTTTTATCAATTTTTCATGGTTTTAACAGATTTTTTTCCGTCTAAAAATATTTGTGCTTTTAACCTTTAAGGCCACCATAAACACCCGAGGTAAAGCCCCCTACACGCGCGCGCACACACGGACTAAACGCGCGCGCTAATAGCCTCCTATCCCACTTGTCTGTATCCTCCTGCAGTGAGTTTATCAGCGGAGTTCGAGAGAGTCCGTAAAAGTTGATACGAAATGTTTGAATATTTGATGACTTCAGGTCTGAATAACACCCGAACATAGACCAGAGTCTGAAACAGGAGCGGGCTCTCATGGAGCAGTTAATGGACCCTACATTGTACCAAGCTCCTGACAGCTCAGTAAACAGCCGCTACCCCCACCCCTCTCTCTGACGGGAACAGGGCATATCCTGGCAGTCCTCCACAGAGGAAAAGTCCTGTTCTTACCGTGTCTCTGCAGATGTGTCCTCCTATTAGACTCGTACTTCTCTGTCTTCGACCTCTCCTGCTTTAAAGACTCCTTGACTCTTTATTGTGCAGCAGGCTGAGTGACTGGATGTTTATCAGCGGGAAAAGAGAGGGAGAGAATGTTTCTCTGTCTGCGTGACATCCAGCAGAGCTCCTCCTTCTCTTCCTCTGCTGCTTTCCTCCTCTTTACTAATCACTGTTTGCGGGAATTTCTCCCGTCAAAGGTCACCAGTGAGGACTGAAAGGACGAGGGCGTTGAGAGGCTCAAACTTCGGAGGATCAGAATTTCTGCTCAGATTCAGAGTGAGTGACTCTGCTTTTTGTTCTTTTGTTTTGTTTTGTTTTGTTTTGTAACGTTAGGAGGTCAACAAAACTCATGCTGACACCGTATGTGCAGACAGAGCGGTTCAATCCTAGCCTGTAGACTTCAGACAGATTCTGTTCCTGTTTAGCCCAGGAAAGGTTTGAGACAGCTGATCCTAAACCAAATTGAACTGTCTGATCTGATATTAGATGTAAAAAAAAAAAAACCCTCAGGGTGTAACAAATGGTTAACCACTATCAGTTTTCTAAATGCCAGTGCTGATCTCAATAATTGCAGAACAGATATGCAGATATTTAATGACACGTTTTTGTTGTATGCTTTTGTTAAAATAGAAAAAAAGGGGGAAACTAACAAAAGAGAAACAGAAATAGATGAAGTTCAGTGAATTCCTCTGTTAAATTAAGGAAGATAGAAAATGTAGGCTCTGTGAAATATCACCTCTCGGTTCAGCTACCTAAAATGACTGAGAGAGAAGACAGGAGTCCAGGTAAGAAAAAACAGAGCATCGTTTTTAGATTTAACATGCTGTCAGTGGTGATAGGGAAGATGTGCTTTCACAAAGATGTGTGAGGGCCGTGTAGATATGATGCTGATTATGTCAAAATCGGCTCAATTGATTGGCCCTGGAAGTGATCAGTCTATCTGTCATAAATAAATCCTGCCTCCTTCAGCAAAGCTTATGGGGCTGTGGACAAACTTTAGAAATAAATTACACAGAATATACATTTTTCTCCCCCCTGCTTGTGATGTTGACATGTAGTTATTGTCAGACTGGTTTGTGCTCAAGTCCTCTGTTTTCTGTACAGCTCCATTTTTTAAAGTTATTAGGGGTTCATGTTTTCTATAATTGACACTTGATACAGCCTATGGGCATGTGAAGCTTGCATAGCTCTTTAGGGGGATACGCTGTTTTAGCAGATCGTCATCACAGCAACTCTCCTGCCGAATGCATACAATGCTACTGCACAAGTGGTGGTTTCAGGAAGTGGAGAAAATCCCGGAAATGCTAGAAGCAATTTGGCTTCAAATTCTTATAATGACAGAAGGTGGTGTCGCTACCTGATCTGTCCCGGAAACCTGATTTGTACTGTGCATGTGCAAAATGTAAGTCACTTTCTCAAACATCTTTGTTACAGCTCAGCAATTCTTTGCCCCTTGCAGTTTGTGACAGCTTTGACACTTGTTCGGCAGCTTCAGCATCAGCGAGCTCCCTACATTTAGGAAGGATGCTTCAGTTTATCGATGCTTCAGTTTCTACGCGCTTTTCTTTTCTCCTAAACAGAGTTCTTCCCCTGAGTGAAGCAGAGCGCCGAAAAGTCAAGAGAATGGCACCCAGTTTCACGATTGAAGGTTCCTACTCCAGCTAAATTGTAAAATTGCAACGTAGTTATAAAAGGCTTGAATGAATGTGAATATTTCAGGGTTGAAATTGAAATGCTGGATAAAAATGCTGAAATTCATTGTCCATAATGTATTGGCTTCTTGTTAATAAATTTAATTTCTAAAATAAATAAAAAATCCCCCCTTGATACTTTGAAAAGTCAGAGAACCATGAATTTGACTAGGTGGTGGCACTCTCTGTGGCCTGGGGAGGGTGCACCATAGATGGCCACACACCTCCAGAGCATCCCTCCTTGATACTTTGAAAAGTCAGAGAACCGTAATTTTGGCCGGTCGGTGGTGCTCTCTGTGGCCCAAAAGGTTTCACCGTGCTACCGAGCTGGGCAGTAGCTCTGGTGAATGCCTTGTCATTAGCTCTGGAGCCTCCAGCTAGCTCGCCTGTCACATTGCCAGCTTGTTTCTGAATCGATCTGTAGTTTAAATAAAGTTTTTAAGGTGAAGTAAATTTGCACTTGCGCAATACAGATCGGGAAGGTAGTGACTGCCGTAAAATACATTGAAATGCCAAGAGAGGAAGTGTTGTATGTTTCGCACATGCGCAGTACAAATCAGGTTTCCGGGACTGACTGGGTAGTGACAGGTGGAACCAAGCTGTCCAGAGTAGCCTGTATACAGTCTATGGTCTGAGTACACTCTTTCCATAGCTGCATATCACCTGGTAGTGCCCGTTAATGCTGTTTATTTACATTTGTATGCATGCTGTTAAGCCTTTTTATACACATTATGTTGTAACAGACTTAAAGACTTAATATGTGTCCTTATTTACCCTGTGTACATCTGCACATACCCTGATATACTGCATAGCCTACACCCTGTGTGCACCTGTGCACATTCATATCTGTGTGTACTATTTCATGTCTCCATGCCCTTTGTCTATTTTTACATTGTTTAAGTTTGAACATCAAATATCTTGTCTTAGTAGTGTATTCAATTGATATAGATGAGAAAGGACTATAAAATATTTTTTTTCTGGTTTTATTCTCATTTTACCCAACGTCCTAACTGCATCTGAATTGGTGTTTGTACATAACCTCTATCTCTTTGTACCTTGTGCCCCTGTGAGGCTTTGTACCCTGCACTATGTTCATAACTCGAAGTACCTTGCCTGAGGGCTCATGTGTGCTCCCCAAACATATTGAAACAGTGCATCAACCAGAGCGCGCTGCTCTGGGTCTAAAGTTGTCCCAAAAAGAAGAAGAGTCAAACAAAAAAGGCGACAAGATATCAGTGATGCATCTGTTAAAAAAGAGGCAAAACTAAAGGCAGCTTTGCAGGTGGTGATGTTTGTGACGTCAATAAATATTTCACTACTGATAACAACAGACTGAATTTTTTATGTCTTTATAATTCATGTTTTATAGACAGTGGTGTGACTTATCCAATGACAATCACTTTCCCTGTGGTTTTCAGTGGTACTGTACATTTATAGTTCAGAAATGTAAGTTTGCAGAAAACATGCAGAAATACAGATGAAATTAGCACAAAGTGCAGACCAAAGGCTTCCTCTGTATATGCTTGCATGAGCCTCAAATCCTTAGAAACCCTGCACATACCTGTGTGTGCTTTACTACACCTGATCTGTCTGTCCCTGTGTGTGGGTACCATGTTTGTTCTTAATAGCAGATAAATGCTACTTGGTGTGTTTTTATGTGTACATGCCTGACCTACAGGAAGAAGGAAACATTTAAAGCGTGATCACATTGTTCAGTGCTGCAGAAAGAGCATTAAGTGTGGCACAACTGCTATAAAACAAAGTAAATAAGCCATAACTCAGTTTCTGTGCCTGTCTTTTTGCAACATGTCACAAAAATACTGTCTTTTGACCACTAAATCTGCTGTGATTTTAAAATATTAATTTGATTTATTATGATATATTTTCATCTTTTTGAGGTGTTTAACGTAAATGCAGAACAGTATGGTTTATATAATGCAGTTCTGATCATCACCCTGCAAAAAACACCTGTCTACCGACATGTATTCTGTCAGCACCTGTATTAATAGACAGAGATAGGGCCTCTCAAAAAAGAAATATGCAGGAGAAAGAGAGTGCAGTCGAAAAGTGAGCAGCAGGGAGTATGCAGCAGAGATAGCGAGCTCAACGTAGAGTATGCAGGAGGAGAGCATGTGCAGCAGAGACAGTGTGAAGTAAAGAGTATGTAGCAGAGACGGCATGGAGTGAAAGGTATGTAGCAGAGAGAGTATGCAGCAGAGAGTGTGTGCAACAGAGAGTCTGTGCAGCAGAAAGTATGCAGCAGAGAGTGTGTGCAACAGTGAGTATGCAGCAGAGAGTCTGTGCAGCAGAGATAGTGTGCAGCAGAGAGTATGCAGCAAGGAGAGTGAGCAACAGTGAGAATGCAGCAGAGAGAGTATGCAGCAGAGCGCGTGTAGCTGAGAGTATGCAGCATTGAGAGAGTGAAGCAAAGAGTATGCAGCAGAGATATGAAGCAGAAACACTCTGCAGCAGATAGTGTGAAGCAGAGAGATTGGCATCAGAGATTGTGCAATAGAGGGAGTATGCAGAAGTGAGAGTGTGCAGCAGAAAGAGTATCAAGCGGAGCGTATGCAGCAGAGAGAGTTATCAGCACAGGGTGTAAAGCGCAGAGTGTATGCAACAGAGTTTGAAGCCACAAAGGGTATGCAGCAAAGAGAATGTGGAGCAGTGTAAATGCAACAGAGAGCATGAAGCAGTCAGAGTATGCAGCAGCGAAAGTGAAGCAGAGAATATTTGTTTATTGCAGAGTCTGTACATTTGGGCTGAAGGTCCAGCTGGTAGTGTCTCAAAGCACTTTTTATCACTTCGCCTTAATAGAAACAGTTTATATTTCCTTCTTAGACCACTTCTTAGCACTGCCTTTTGTCTTTTCTACGTTGCATTTCAGGGAAAGTTTTTAATCTTAATACAGATAAGTGTCTGTATCAGTGTTTCTTTTATGATGAGCAGCATCAGTCACTGTTGAAGAGATCCATGGAGAACATATGGCCTTACAGAGAGGCTGAGTCCTTCTTGTGTAGTTCTCTGCCCTGGGCTGATCCATCTGCTATTGAATAAACATGATGTACTTTAACATTTTAAGTATTTGGACAGCAGAGAACTTACATGTGATAGCTGTAAATAAAACTGTCTGTATGTCTTTGAGGATGAGGATTGATAACAGAGGTGTTTAACTCAAAGATCTAATATTAATAGATACAAAAAAGTAGGGTCTATTTTCGCTTTGTGTGTGTATCTGCACCTTCAGTCTCTCAAACATTTTAGTTGCATTTCTCGCATGTTAATCCTCTTAAGAAACACACACGTACGCACACACACACACACAAACACACACACACGCACACACAAACACATACACACGCACACACATAGTATATAAATATACTCTCCCTTTTTGCAGTGGTTTAACATGTTGTTCATGGTACTTGTTCTGTACCTTGAGCCTCCTCCTCAGTGTTACTCCTCTGATGACTCTTTGTTCTGAGTGAAACCTGTTGATGTGATACAGTGAATGTTGATGAATGTCTGCACACAGAACCATGAACGATGTTTCTGGACTCAGTGGACACAGTGTTCCTCTTACTCTTGCAGGGTCCTGTCATTATGTTTCATCATTGACCTATCTACCCCGTGCACACACAAAAAACACACAAAAACACACACTCTCCCTCATACTACACTGTGTTCCTACCTCCCCCATTCTCTCTTCCTCCCCCTCTCTTCTTCCTCCCGCCACATCTGCTTCTCATCCTTCTACATTCTTGTTTTTCCTTAGAGGATTTAGACATGTGGTTTTGATGAACTCTCTCTCAGTTCCCCTTTTCTCTTTTTTCATTACCTCTTTTTTTACACATTGCTCAATCCCTCCCTCCCTTACTTCCCCACTTCTCAAACAGAAACACGCACAAAACACACACACTACTTAGTTTGATAGGTTTCCCACTGTCCTCTGCCCTCATGAGTACTTTCTCTCTCTCTCTCTCTCTCTCTCTCTCTCTCTCTCTCTGTCTCTCTTGTTGCTCAAACATTACCCTCAGATGACTCCGCCCTCTATCTCAGTAGAGAAAAAACTAAGTCTGATCAAACTTTCATGGTTTGTTCCTCATCATGCAGAATGAGGAAACAGCCTATACTGTACTGTATATAACACTGTTGCACTTTCCTTTAGCCTTGCAACAGGCAGAGTATCTGACTGCATGTTATAACAGAGAGCAGGAGGCTCAGTATGAAACCCACAGCATCATGTCTGACTGCTGCACATGAACCAAAACACCAGCGTGCTTGGACTGGATTTGAGCCTCCAGATTTGATTAAAACTGTGTGAAATCAGAAGGGCTGTAAAGTTCGAGTCGACTGGTCGACTTATTGGGCGATATGTACCAAGTCTCACTAAAATTCTGATTGGATAACTCGATAACTTTTTTCTGTGTCAGTTTACAGTCTATGGTTAATTTCATCAGGAGGAACATACCGAGAGCTAATGGGGGTGTTTTCAGAGCACCCTTGTTTCACAGGTAAAGCCTGTCTCAGAACGCGTCCCTTGTTTTCACCATGTTTGATTGCCTAAATAGGGCTGGACGATAAAATGATAATGATATATACCAAAAATTAATTTTCCTCAATATCAATATTAAACATGGTCATTATCCTTTTTGATAGTTGGTATTCTGCCATATTTTGGTAGGTTATACAAATAGCTAGTGAAAAGGGGAGTTGCCCCGGTCCGCTTTGCGCTGATCCAATCATGTGCTAAATTAGACCCAAGCAGCAAACAACTGCGTAGGATCAGGCTGCAGCTACATGCAACAATAGCACTTTAACATGTGAAGCTGACAGCACTGTCAGTGAAAAAAAAAAGAAAATAAATAAAAGATGATGACATCGTCAACAACACTGGCATGAAAACGTCGGTGGTGTGGAGGTATTTTGTTTATTTGAGGTTGGACATGAATCAGAGTAATGTGCACTGCTAAATATGTTGAGTACATTTTTCTTGCAAAGTCGGGGTATACCTCAAATCTTTTTCACCACCTGAAGCAGCGCCACGTGGCAGAGCATGTGCAATGCAAAAGGTTACAAACCCTGCGCGGAGCAAGGAGCCCATGGTGCCGACCATTTAGTCCGCTTTCTCTAGCGCAACACCTTATGACATAATGTCTGAGAGACACAAGGACCTCACAGATGCAGCGGCTTATTGTTTTGCAAAAAACATGCTACCAATAAGCACAGTTAAATTTCATTTTTATATGATGATATATATCAAAATCGACTGATATGAAAAAAATACATTGTGATAAACTTTTTCAAACAAAGTATCTTCACCTAAATTTGGAAAAAGGATTTCACTGAATACTACCAAAAAAGCATTTCAGACAGTCTGACGTCCCTGTTGTCAGTCATACTTTGTGTGAAAGTGATGTATGGAGCCAGGACAGGAGACAGGGAGTTATTTCAGGGTTAATATGGACTTCAATCTGAAGTATTTGTTCTTGCATTTATTTTCATCTGTAATGCTGCTCTTATCTGACTGTTCTGTAGCACCATGTCCTCAGAGGGGGGAGGACCCAGGTTACACCGCCCGTTTGCCTGGTTTGACCCTGAAACAGCCGCAGTGAGTTTAGGACACATACACCTAAATATCTTCATCTGAATGTACCGTTAGACTTGTTTAAAACTGCTATCTCTCTCTCTCTCTCTGTGTTTACAGGTGGTTACCATCCTGTTGGGGTTGTTCCAGGTGCTACTGTCAGTCCCTCTGGCGTATGCTGGCCATACTCTGCCCACTCTCTTTGTCCTGCCGCTGGTCATTGGAGTGTTTGTACGTACCTGTAGCCTCACCTGTTGCCAGTTTGTACCTGCAGCGTCATTTGTAGCCAATTTGTACCTGCATACTCATTTGTAGCCTTATAGTCTAACTGGTCATATTCAGTACAGAGCAGTAAAAGAAACATGCTGACATGAAGTTTAGGTCCTGTAGAGGACTTTGTGCTCACATGGAGGATGAGGAAGATGAGCTGCTTGAGGCTGAACTAAACTAAATTAAAAGTATTAATCAAAATATAAAGGGAGTGAAATTTCTGTTTATGGGAGCTTTTTAACTGTATCCTGTTCAACTGAACTGTTCTGATTTGATAAGCTTTTGTCAGAGAGCTCCCCCTACTTGTGAGCAGCAGATCTTACATGAACTTACATCCCATTTTAGGAGGTAGTCTGAGACTGCAAGTGCATGTTGCTGTCTGTTCTGTGTCAGGGTGCCAGTATGATATTTTGACCCTCAGTAACACGCTGACATAACAGATTATTTATAAGGAAATCCCAAACAAACTGGTGTCAGCTGACCAATAGGAGATTTTTCTTCTTTATGAACAGACTTAATTAATTTACAATATTCCTAAGCAAGTAAAGTCTTTGGCACAGTGAGTGTAATGCAAAGTAAACAAAGTGTCTTTTATTTAACCAGCAATTTGATTAATATGTGTGCAGTTATTTTAATGAAACCTGGACATGAATGAGAGCCAAGATGTTTGTGATCAACATCAGTAGATGCTCCTCAGCTCAGTATATTTCAGCTCAGTAAATTACTATGACAGATGTCAAAGGTACAACAATTCTTGTTTAGGGTAATGTCCATGTTAAAAAATGATTAAAATAGTAACACCTTAAAAAGTGGCTAAAAATTTGATCCTTAAAAACTGATGAGATATTTAAAGAACAAGATACATCATCCATTAATCAAAACTGTTTAAAGGTTGAAAAGTTTGGGCTTAAAAGATAACTGATGGTGACTTAAAGAATATGTGTGTGTGTGTGTGTGTGTGTGTGTGTGTGTGTGTGTGTGTGTGTGTGTGTGTGTGTGTGTGTGTGTGTGTTTTACAGGTAGTTGCAGGGGGATCATTCACTGTGGCCAGTGAGAGAAACCCGAGCAAATTGCTGGTATGTAGCAGGGCAAGCTCTCCTGTATGTTATTGAAGTTTTTATCACAACAAGGAATATTTATTCCAAAAATTTGGGATTTTTTAACAATTTAAAAGTTTGTCTTCGTTTCCATTTCTGCAGTAAAAAATTGGAAATCTGTCTGCAACAATAAACAAATCTCAAATAAACTGATTTTTTTATGCAGGAGTAAAAACTTCATATTTCAGTCAGATAATGCTTAATGTAAGGATACTAGTTATAGACTGCATTAAGTATAGACAACTTGACTCTCCCTCCCGTCACTGTACGAATTTAAAACCCAGAAACCCAGAAACCCTCCTGGTATTTACAGGAAATCTCCATTTCCTGAAACTGGCTTTTGTGCAGTGGTACACAATCTTCTTAGACCCACTCAATGTATGTAAGTGTCAATCACTGAAAAAAGAGGACTTGAGCATAAAGCAGTCCTATGATAACTACATGCCAAAATCGCAACCAATGGCAAAAAAAAAAAAAATTATGACTTGTATTGAATTTTCTAAATTTGTCCACGGCACCATTTATTTAGCTGGAGGAGGAGGGGTTTATGACCTGTACTGCAACCAGTCACCAGGTGGTGCTGTTCTCACAGAGGCTTTACACAGCAAGGAGGCAGATGGGGCTCTATTTTGGTGCCTCGCCAGAGATCTGCCGCAAGCGCAGCGTCAATCAGATCCGCCGCGCTGACAAGGCGTTCCCAAGCACATTTTGGTATTTTGGTGAGCCGCGCAGCCCGGCGTAAGTATCCCCCCTCCCTAACTCAGCTCCTCCCATCAGCATAAGTCGTAGACAAGGGGGAGAGAGGGCGTGTAGTAGATTTAACACAGCCGAGACCTGTTTTCACCAATCACATAAGCTCCTCTCCTTGCCTTTAAATCCGCCACCGGCGAGGCGTATTACTATTTTCATGAAGTAGTCAAAGAGATCAAGAGATGTCTGAAGACAGTTATGCCACACAATGGCGACAGAGGGCAGCTGCTCAACAAGTGTCCTCCACACTCTCTCATCTGAGCACAGATGGATTTGGTGTGTGTAATGTTGGACCCACTGGTAAGACAAACACCCTTTTCCACAAATAAAGACACTCACATAAAGTTGCATATATTCAAACCTCACGTGACAAAGGTGGGTTTAGCGCACAGATCACAACTTAAACTCCAAAAATGGCATTCAAATCGGAACCATCTGTGCGTAAATGACGCATCGCGCTCCGTGGCCTGGCTCTTTCTTTCATAGATGTTGGCATATAAAATAAATTTGGCCCACAAAACTGAATATTATAATATCCGTATGTCGGCTTAAAGTAGATCACGCATCTGAGCACTGAAACAAATCATCTGTTCAGCCGCCGCAGCAAGCAAGACGGACAGAGGACACGGAGACGTGTCCAGGTCGAGCTGTGCGAGAAATAAGAGGAAGAAAGAAAAGGAGGGAGACACATTACATATCTTGTTAACTTCATCATGTGTGTTTATTTACTAGATATTTAATTTAATTTGATGCAGTTTCAGCTGTATTGATTCGGTCAGGTTGTGTGCCCAAACGCGTGCCAAACGCGTGCCAAACGCGCTCATCAGATCAGATATAGATCAGAATATATCGATATAGATCTAAATGTATGTGCTGACTCAGATTAATAGTTGTTGATGATTATTTATTGCACTGAAATGTGCCTGACACTGTGGAAACCTGCCGGTGAGGCATCAGTGACGTATGTCAATACGCCGCCGGTCTACCAAAATACTACTAGACCAGCTGCGTTCCGCCTTGCGCTGAAAGCTGACCAGGTTTGAATCGGCGAGCTTTCAGCGCACGTTACACGCCGGTGGCGAGCACGAAAATGTCACTGCACCAGCTGATTCTGTCAACACCTCCCCCTGCCACGCCACCACGCCCAGCTTGGCGGATCTCGGCTCGCCTCCGTGCGACTCAGTCCACGAAAATACCAAACTCGCCTTACGCCGGGCTCCGCCAGACGAAAATACAACTGCGCGGGGCTCGCCGCCCTCCGCCGCCTCACTGGCGCGAACGAAAATAGAGCCCATGGTGTTTATTCTCTATACAGTCTATGATACTAATGCACAGTGTATACAACTGACCCAGTTTTCTTTCTTAATCATCGAAACTTTTGTTGTGCTTAAGTAAAGCAGCAGTCGGCCTGACTGTCTATCAGCTGTTTTAGACTCTTTAAATCTTGTTCAGAGTTTTTCTACTTGCTCTCTGATGATCTTCATGACCTTCACCTCCACAGCTGCAGGGCTGTGCATGCAGTAACGTGGTTGGCCTGCTGGGGGCAACACTGGCCCTCTGTCTATACAGCTATGGCCTGAGCTCAGTGCAAAACGTGGCCCCCTGCCCCCCCTACTCCCATGACCTAGACTACAGGAGCTCCAGCTACAAGTGTCCTGGGGACCTGCTGGCAGTAAGTGAGACCTTCTTCCTGATTAACTGTAGACTGAGAACAGTTGGATTACACACCTGTGAGCTAGAGTAGAGAAAGGACAAGTGAGGTTGATGATACTCTGATAATTCTATGGCGGCCCTGAAGGTCCATCATTCCATTCCTTTTCTACCACTTATCTGGAGTCAGGGGCAGCAGCCCTCTCCCTGGCCATTTTGTCCTGCTCTCCCTGGGGGATCCCAAGGCGTTCCCAGACCAGCTAAGGGACAAAGTCTCTCACAGAGTCTCTCCAGCGTTTCCTGGGTTTTCCCCATGGTCTCCTACCAGTAGGATGTGCCCTGAACACCTTACCAGCGAGGCATCCAGGAGTCATCCTGGTTAGATGCCCAAGCCACCTCATCAAACTCCTCTCAATGTAGAGCAGCAGTGGCTCGACTCTGAGCTCCTCCCAGATAACTAAGCTTCTCAACCTATCTCTAAGGGAGAGCCCAGCCATCCTGCGGGGGAAACTCATCTTGGTTGCTTTTATTTATGATCTTGTTCTTTTAGTCATTACCCACAGCTCATGACCATAGGTGAGGGTAGGAATATTGAGGGCTTTGCTTTCCTAGCTTTGACAGTAACCTGAGGTACTGGAACTACTCCTTTTGGCGCAGGATCTCATCTTCAACCCTGAAGGAAATGTTTTTGTTCTGTATGAAAAGATTTTTCTCTTTTTTCTCCTTCATTCATTTTGATTATATTTGCCAAATATTTTTGGTTTCCTAATTTATTTTGTAACTTTTGTATTTTTGCCCTCATTATTACTTTCTTTGTTTCAAGTGGTTTTGTATTTCTCAAACTGATTCAGCTTTTCACTTCATGTTTTTGTGTCTTCCAAATGTTTTTAAAGGTTTTTAAATATAGGTTAAGTGATCTGCATTTAGTTTTTTCTCCTCTTTCAATTTCAGCATTTATGAAATGATTTTAGATTTTGCAAATTACTTTTAGGGTTTTTATTAAATATTTTTGTGTACATGACACTTTCATGAGGCTGAAATCATTTGTGTTTCATTAACTGATTTTGTTACATTTTTTATATTTTTGTGTGATATTTTGGGGTTTTAGAGTTTCTTGAATTTCCCTTTTTAATTAAATCTTTTTGATTATCTTGAAATGTTTTTGCATTTAGAGACATATATTTTATAACAGTTAAATATTGTTGTAGTTGACCGTCACAGCCACTGATAATCTTGTGCACACAGTGCTACAGGGGCCTTGTCTTTGTAACATTGAATTAAACTTGTCAGAAAATGAACATTTAGACAAGAATCAGTCTATGAACTATAATGACTTGATTTTTGGCTTTAATACCTTTATTGGAGAGGAAAGAACAGAAAATAGAGCAGGAAACTGTGAGTGAGTAATGGGAGTGATGTGTGGATGAGCCAAACCTGGGCTGTGTACATCTGGGGTGTTTCTTTAACCACAGGATCAACCAGCACCGCCAAGAACCATCCATGTAAATCCTTTATATTTTTAAAATGTACTTTCACGTAGCCCTGAAACAGTTCCTGTACACCTCAAGTTATCCATCTTTTTGTTTAAGGTTTCAGTCATGTGACATCTTTGTTTTGGTCTTCATTGTTATGATTACAGTGCAGCTTTAATGTACAGATATGGTGTTCAGTTTTTTGTATGAAATGCTTGTTAAAGTTGAACTTAAATAAGGATGTTATCTCAGGACGCTGGCTGTCACTCTGATCTTCACTTTCAAAATGACAGAGTGAATCCACTTTTTCCTTAACTTTTTACTATTTTTTGTGTCTTCATCTTCAAACTTTCAAAGTGTTGGTACATTAAAGACAGCTATGATTTCAGTTAAAAGTATAGGAAACTTTAAAGGGGTAGGATTAGATAAATTTTTACTTATTCCTACTCCTTTTGTAAACTAACATGAGATGCTTTAGAATTTGCAGAGGAAAGTTACTGTTTGTTTTCATTTCTTAATGTTCACTTATTCTTACTTTTTTAAGTTGTCATTTACATGATAGAACCAAATAGATAAACCAAACCAACATACACCTCAAAATCCATTTTTTTCATGTTAGGTGGTCCTTATACTCCTTTGTTCACAGCATAGCAGATACTGTAGCTCTTCAACGACTGGTCCCAGGTTGTTCCTAATAATGCTATTGTGAATGCTGTGTGATACTAAACCCATAAACATAGTCTGTGGAGAGGCAGATAATCAAGATAGGAGAAACAGGTGCACAAAGAGGGACAAGGTCCTAAAAATAATGAAATATTTATTTTAAATGAGTACAAATATACCTGTTCTTTATGTGAAGTGTCCTAAGGAAACATTTGCCATTAAGTTGTGTGTTGTAAATGGTATTTGATTAGTTTATTGATTGATTGATTATAAGTGCATCTTTTATACCTGTTTTATGGACATTTGGATAATTGTGCTGTTTTGTCTCCTGCAGGCTCACAGCTGGAGTTTGCTCTTTCTGCTGCTGCTGTACAACACTGGAGCTGTACTGCTGCACTGCATCTTGTCTGTGTCAGCACTTCGAGCACTGAAAACAAACTGACACAAACTCTCTCTCTTACACACACATAAAGGAAACACACTTCTTTAACTATGTTTATATCTATACCATCAAAACCCACATTGTCATCTGTTGATCTTTAAAATGCCACCTCTATGGGTCTCTGATTTTGTCTTAGTCACACTGATTGAGAACTGTGTAGTGATATCTAAGGGTGAGGTTACCGATTGCTGCCAATTATGCCCCCCTTTCCACACACACACAAACACACACGCACACACAGCCTTCCTTACTCAACAAGTCCTGTAGGAGGCTCACCTGTACCTGTGTCTTTAAACCAATCAGAAACGTCCAGAGCTAAAAAATAAAGCCAGCGCAGATATGCAAAACTGTAGTTCTCCAGCAGCCCCAAGGTGTTTCTCAAATTAAGTCAGTCCCCATAGAGCCCCATGTTTAATAGTGTAACTTTGCACTTTGTTTTTTTTTTTAGCTCTTTATTACCAATATTCACTATGTGACACAATGATCAATGATAAAATTGAGTCTCATTGTAAGTAACATCACATAGTTTGCTTTATGCCTGCTTTATATTGAAAGACAAAAAAACTTAAGACACTGATTTTTACAGTTTTTGTGTTCTTGTAAATTTTAATGCATTGCTGACTGTTAGTAAATTGGATACTCTTCATTGTATAAACCTACAGTGTGACACAAGTGTGTTTTATCCAAAAAAAAAAAGAAAATACTGCTGTGTTCATTTATAATATTGGATACTCTTCATTGTATAAACTTACAGTGTGACACAAGTGTGTTTTATTAAAAAAAAAACCTGCTGTTTTCATTTATAATATCCAAAGTGCATCAGACTAAAATACATCTGGGCCTTACAGAAACCTCTGGTATTCAAAAATAAGCCCATGCAAATGAACTGTAATGAACTGTAGTTCTTTCAGTGTCTGCTTGAAGCTTTTAAGTAGGTCATTTTCCCAGAGCTTTTTGTTAAAATGTCCAATTTACAATGATTTTTACACTTTATGTTTGTCACCAAGTGTCCTGATAAATGAATATCCTGAAAGAATATTTTGTGTTGAGTTTTTGTAAACATGTGCCCTAACAAATACAGTGCCTTGAAAAACTATTCATACCCCTCGAACTTTTTCACATTTTGTCACTCTACAACCACAAACATGAAAGTATTTTATTGAGATTTTTTGTCATAGACCGACACAGAGTAGCACGTAATTGTGAAGTGGAATGAAATGATTCATGGTTTTTCAAAAATTTAAACAAATAAAAATCTGAAAAGTGTGGTGTGCATTTGTATTCAGCCCCCTGTGTCAATACTTTGTAGAGCCACCTTTTGCTGCAATTACAGCTGCAAGTCTTTTGGGGTATGTCTCTACAAGCTTAGCACATCTAGAGCACAAGCTCAGTCAGATTGGATGGAGAGCGTCTAAACAGCAATTTTCAAGTCTTGCCACAGATGCTCAATGGGATTTAGGTCTGGACTTTGACTTGGCCATTCTAACACATGAATATTCTTTGATCTAAACCATTCCATTGTAGCTCTGGCTGTATGTTTAGGGTTGTGTCTTGCTGGAAGGTGAATCTATTTCCCACTCTCAAGTCTTTTGCAGCCTCCAACAGGTTTTCTTCCAGGATTTCCCTGTATTTAGCTCCATCCATCCTCCCATCAACTCTGACCAGCTTCCCTGTCCCTGCTGAAGAAAAGCATCCCCACAGCATGAGGCTGCCACCACCATGTTTCACAGTGGGGATGGTGTGTTCAGGGTGATGAGCAGTGTTACTTTTCCGCCACACAAAGCGCTTTGCATTCAGGCCAAAAAGTTCAACTTTGGTCTCATCTGACCAGAGCACCTTCTTCCACATGTTTGCTGTGTCCCCTACATGGTTTGTGGCAAACTGCAAACGGGACTTTTTATGCCTTTCTGTCAACAATAGCTTTCTTCTTGACACTCTTCCATAAAGGCCAGATTTGTTGGGTACATGACTTAAAGTTGTCCTGTGGACAGATTCTACCACCTGAGCTGTGGATTTCCGCAGCTCCTCCAGAGTGACCATGGGCCTCTTGGCTGCTTCTCTCACCAGTGCTCTCCTTGGTCTCGGTCTGTTAGTTTAGGTGGACGGCCATGTCTTTGTAGGTTAGCAGTTGTGGCATACTTCTTCTATTTTTGGATGATGGATTGAACAGTGCTCCTTCAGATATTCAAAGCTTTGGATATTTTTTATAACCTAACCCTGCTTTAAACTTCTCCACAACTTTTTCCCCAACCTGTCTGGTGAGTTCCTTGGTCTTCATGATGCTCTTTGTTGACTAGTGTTCTCTAACAAAGCACTGAGGCCTTCGCAGAACAGTTGCATTTATGCTGATACTAAATTACACACAGGTGGACTCTATTAACTAATTAAGTGACTTCTGAAGGCAGTTGATTGCACTGCATTTTATTTAGGGGTATCCAAGTACAGGGGGGCTGAATACAAATGCACACCACACTTTTCAGATTTTTATTTGTTTACATTTTTGAAAACCATGTATCATTTTCGTTTCACTTCACAATTATGAGCTACTTTGTTTTGGTCTATGACAAAAAATCTCAATAAAATACTTTTAAGTTTGTGGTTGTAAAGTGACAAAATGTGAAAAAGTTCAAGGGGTATGAATACTTTTTTAAGGCACTGTATGTATTTCAGTCTAAAGTTTAATTTTCATTTAAAATGTGATTTTCATTTCCAACCAGTGACCTGAATGTCAGGTGACCTACAAGGCTCAGATTAATTTTGTAATGTATAATACTGTTTTACTGAGAGATTTAATCTGGCCTGATTCAGGACCAGCCAATTGCTGCCATTTGTCTATCTACTGCCCTCTGTAATGCCCATTTAGAGGATCAAATGTCCCTCTGGTTGCTCCATTAGTTGAAAAAAGTGTAAACAAAGTTTCACCACATAGGTCTTTCAGTTTTATCCAATGCAAAGTTCCTTTGAGTTGCCCTCTTAATAGATCAAATGTGAACCAAGTGACTTATGGTTGCTTTATTAATGGATCAAATGTAAGGTTTGTGTGAAGAATATTAATAATTTTGATTTCAAAGTCTCTCATTGCATACAGCAGGTGGCCTAAAATATCCTGAGTACATTTTAACCCTTGATATCCTCCACATAGTACCCTGCTGCTCTTTATTACAGTGGTTAGCATCATTGGTGTTCGATGGATTCTGGTCAAACCACTACATGTCTCTCTATTACTGATTCAGCCTCTTATGAGTCCTCCATGCTAACTCTGGCTCCAGTATGAAGCTGCTCTGTTCGTTAACAGAGCTCCTTTATTGTGTCCGGGTGTGACTCAGCGGTCCTGCTCTGCTCTGAAAGCTGTTGTGAGCTCAGACAGAGCAGATGTCGCTGTTAGCAGAGAGACTGCAGTACTCTGGCATCTGTACATGGAACAGAACCGTCACATAGGGGTTTCCCTTTATATCAGCTGAGACCAAGACTGAACCATTCCGTAACCGTGTGGGGGGCAAAGGCGAGAAAACGGGACCACATATGACAAAGTACAGATTAAAATATGTCTAAAAATATAGGCGGATTAAAATGGCTCCGACTTTAAATCTGGAGTTTATAACAGCCACGCCCTGCTGTGTTCGAATATTTCGATCCGGCCTCATACCCCCTGTAAACCGCGAGACGTGGATTCTTCCTAAAATGGCGGCGGTTCCTATCAGTGTAGAGTGAAACTTTGCTAATTTTAGCGGAAATTTAGTCATTTTTCCCCACATTTGATCGGTTGTAGTCTGATGATTTTTACAGTAGACGTTGTTGGAACTCTCACACGATCATTTTTGATCACCAGGACCAAGCGGACTCGTTTAGGGCTCCGGTTTTGACGTCTGGTCTGTGGGCTTCCCTCGAAGTTGACGGTTGCTGAGTGCCTGACATTGCTCTCATACCGACTGTTGTTGTCACCTGGCTGCTGAACGCGGAACCGTTGAGGCTGTTCGTCGGCCGAGCAGAGAGCTAGCTAACCGGAGAAAGCTCAGAGGAGTGTGGGGTCTATGCTGATCCGGATCCAGTCGGTTCGGGTCTGAGAACGTGTCAGCTGTCAGAGATCTTAGGTGTTGGATGTCACTTGCAGTCACAGTCAGCCTCAGTCTGGTTTGCAAGCATCGTGTGAGTATCACTGTCTGAATGTGTGTGTGTGTGTGTGTGTGTGTGTGTGTGTGTGTGTGTGTGTGTGTGTGTGTGTGTGTGTGTGTGTGTGTGTGTGTGTGTGTGTTTGTGGCCTACACTCATTCACACACTGTCTAACTACAGTAACAGATAGTCTTTAAATTAGCCAACTGTCATTCAGCAGGTCAGGGCTGCATTCAAAGGGGGGCTGGGGTACCTTGCCCATTAGTGGCCCTCCCACTCCCTTTTTGTGCAAAGCAGCCCATCTAAATTAAACAGTGGTGACAGGAAAAACAGGAGTAATTTGGTAATACCATAGTTTGAAATCAGATGATGTATGATGTAATGGTTATAGAGAGCCCAGACTAAGGGACAGTAAGGCAAATGTGTAAGTCATCACTTTTTTGATCAGCCATGGGGGACATAACTTGTAAACAAACAAAGTTTTGATGGGTATGAGAGCTCGGAGACCAGGATAAGAATATGTTAATCTAGCTGTATAAGAACAAGCAAACATATAACATTCATTTTTATCAGAAATTTTTGGCATTGTACTCACTTTTATAAATAAGAAATACGTGAGATATTTGTTGGAATCCTCCATGAATAACCAACCTCAGCTGTAAGAATCAAGTTATTAAAAAGCAGCAGGGCTGTGAACATAGCTAGCTGTTGACCACTATGTTGCTGCCCTGTATGGTTCCAGATATTACAGTTAAGAAAGTGATTATCCGACTCACGTGAAACTGTTGAAATACAGTCTGAAATAACATTGTACCAGTTTGTGGGACCTCCTTTGTATCACATTCATCCAGTTTGATGAAGGCAGACTGAGAAGATCTTCCCAAAAACCGTTAAACATGGATTATTTTTTTTCAAACTTTGCTGATCCAAAATGACATTTTTGTTTGTCTCACAGGGCATTAAATTTGAATTCTCAATGACAGGGGTGAACTTATAATTGGGTCAGGAAAATTGATTTGGCTGTTAAAGGTACCTTGAAATGAGCGGCATTGGCTGATTTCTAAGCTGTTTCAGGTGGAGAGTATTTGATTGTAACGTTCATGGAACCATTCATCCATCCATCTATTTTCTACTGCTTATCTCGACTTGAGTAGATGCCCAAGCCACCTCATTGATTCCTCTCAACGTGGAGGAGCAGTGGCTCAGCCCCCCTTCAAAAGAAACTCATTTCAGTGGCTTGTACCTGCAGTCTTGTTCTTCATCATGACACAGAGATCCTTGAACCCCTCCACCTCCCCTCATCCCTCATCTTGAAAGGGCACCTTTTTCAAGATTATGACATGTTTACCTTGTAATTGGAAACTTTGCATACATGTTGTCTGGACACCAAACTTTGTAACTTCTTACTTTTTGTTGTAAATGTGGAAAAGCATGATACCCTCCTTTAATCTAACAGAGATTGTATTGACATAAAGCATGTGTTGTTTGAAATAACTCAGTCATCTAAAATCAATGGGAATCTTAGCTACAGGGCTTTCGGCAGTTCATTATGGCTCAGTGTCTCTCTAAGTTTCTGAAAAAAATATTTTGCAGCTTTAATTGATTGGACGAGTGGGAAGGAAGAGAGTCTGTCTGTCATATGTTACAGGAAAACTCCTGCACACAGTCTAAAGAACCTTTTATCAACAATGATTTCTATTGACAGTATAGACAATTGTGCTTATCGTTTCTGCAGTTGTAACTTTTGTCAAACATCCTCTTTGGGTCCTTGGAGACAGAGAAGAACATTGAGACAGATCATGGTTGGTAGGGACAGATAATTTTTTGTGTGTGTGCAGCCAGACTTCATGCCACCCCACTCAACCAATCTGGACACTGTCCTGCTGCTGGATATGTGATATAACACAGTAAATGTGTAACTGTCATCCTTCTTGATGTAAATGATTCAGCATATTGTTTAACTGTGTTACACTATAGTAGAATAAATGCTTAGCAGATGACTTGTTTAGTTTGAACTTGTCTCCTGCTGAGTCAGTGATAGAAACATTTAAACACAGGAGTCAGACCTCTTTCTGCTCACTTCCCATTTCTAAATGACTTGTATTTCTGTTCTTGTTTCCTGGTTCCATCATGACGAGCAGCAATCTTGGCAAATCAAATGGAGAAGCTCCAGGACCTGAGCCAATCAGAGCTGCAGGAGCTCCTGGACACGCCAGAGAGGGTGGAGTCTATGGCTCTCGAGTCTGATGAGGTAAAAATGATCTTCATTTTCCATTTGGCTGACATGTTCCAGAGGCAGCATTAAGTGGCTCTGGTCATTTAACTGACTCTGGCTCTGCTGGTTAATCTCTTTAGAACTCTGCAACCAGCTGAGTGTCTGAGGACAAGGGCAGCACCTTCCAGCTCGTGTAGACTCTGTACAAACTCTGCTTTTGTTGTGTAGACTGGTGGGAAAAGAAACACAGTCTCTGTGAGCTGCTCTAATACAAACAGAGGAGTCAGGTGAGGCCGTGATGACAGGGAGGGGCTAAGGACGGTTTTACACCACAAAAGAAGCAAAAAAAAAATACTCTGTTCCACTCAGTCACATTTTCCGCGGGAACAAAAGGAAAGCTTATGAAAGAAAAAAACTGTTTATGACTACCTCACATGTATCTGAGAAATAAGATGTACACTGGCAGCCACCCTAAAATCTTGGTTTACAAAATAACCAATGATCTGAATGCTTGTTAATCGCAGAGCATCAAATTACAAAATCTAATGAGCTCAGGTATATTTGTCATTGAAAGACAGTAAACAAATAAAATGATGAGGCACAGATTACGATCACAGTAACGATGGCTGGAGGGAAGGTTCGCTTGTTATTTTTAATGAGAAAGAAAGACAGTGGGGTCCAATCAGGGAGGACAGGTACAGGTACAGGTGAGCTGTTGAGCAGAGGGGAAGGTTTAAAAAAAAACAGATGATGAAGTTATGTTATAAGGGCTTGAAAGTGCAACCGTTTCACTCGCATTTGCAACTAAAAATAGAAGTGTGTGAATTGTAAAAAAATCATCTGAGGCAACAAATGTTTTTTCATGTAAATACCACGGTGAAGTTAGTTTTAGGTTGGATATTCGATGGACATTCACGGAGGATCTACTGGTGTCTTCTAAAACTCTCAATAACCAGGAATGGCAAGAGCAGCGTGGTTAAATCTGCTCGGCATCCTCGCTGTAAACGTCAGATGTTGAATAAGGGACCATCAATAAATTACTGGTTGATGTTCTCAAAAAAGGCTGTTTTCCCTCAATAGTTTTAATGTCATATGACCAGAGGGCCTTAACCCATTAAGACCTGAACCCTGTCTAAGACGTGCCTCCGAAATCCTGAGGGCAATTTTGAGAAGGGCCCCCAGATCCTGAAGTGTTAAGGTTTACAAAAAAGCTGCTATCTCGGCCTCTGTAGTAGATAGAAACAAAATTCAAAAAGTATTTGAGAGCTTACACATGTGGCTTTCAAGATAACTATCTTTTATTTTTCCGAACCTTCATCGCATTATTGAAAACCTTGAACAAACAAACTTAAGTGAAACAAAGCTGCTGTATAAATAAAAGTAAAGGCTCTGCATTGGAGAATAACAAACTATTTGCTTTCTGTAAAACAAGTGGCAGTCATGATAAAGTGTCCATTCAACACAAATGTAAATATGAAAAATAAAGTGTTGAAAAGGTATACAGCTGCCCCAGTATAGTGCCAGGACAAAAGCAGCACTAAAAACTAAAAAATAAGTAAACAAATAAGTGTCTGACAGTGTGTTCATCTCTGTGCACACCCAAAGTCATGCAACACTCACAGAAAATGCTGATAGTGTGAACCAAAGCACTCCATATGAAGAGGTTGTTCACACTGTTGGATGTTTCTTCTCCAAAGCTGCTCTTTGCCTCCGTCACTGTTTACTTTCCTCACGAAGCATGTAGCAAGACCCGAGCATGGATCCGATCGCTTTATTAAGCTTTATGAGCCTATCAGAGGCAGACAGGTATGATGACCCACGACTCCAGAAATGATTGAAAAACTAAAGAATGTTACAAAATGACGAATCTGCGCTCCCAGGTTGGAGGGTAGAAATGCACAGCGGCGCTGCTGGCTCCAAAGATTGAAATATGTACACACTTCTCCCGGCTTGAAGGGTTGAAATACCTACATGCACCCGGCTTTCCAAGTAGAAATGTGCAGCCGAGCTCCCAGCTTGGAAGGTTGAAATGCGTGCATGCTGTCCCGGTTTAAATGGGTTAAATTGATTTCAAATAATAGTACTTACGTCTACCAATAAGACACGCATTATTTGATCAATTTTCATTATGCCCCCAAAGTTCTTTGTGTGCTCCTTACTTTTTAAACTTGCTTTAATAAACGGTATGATATGCTCAAATCTGGCTGTAAACTCTACATGTGATAGATCTCTTGTAGGTAGAGCTACACAGCTGCACAGAAATTGCACATTGTGGACTTTGCTGGGTGAAATGGAAGTGAACAAACAGGAGGACAGTTTGAGCCTCTGGACTCTGGAGACCTCCTTTTAATAGACTGTCTTACATACCGGAGTGACCTATATTACAGATTTTACAGTAGATTGGCACAGTCCTGCTGTGATCTCATATGGAGAAAGCAGGAAGACTGTGCAGAAGTGTGTATCTACTGGTACATGTTATCTCTCCTGTGTGTCCGTGAACACATCCTACAGATTGTCAGCGAATGTAACACTGCAGCCTGAGCCTATTACTGGCTTAATATAGTACTTAAAATACACCTGATAGCATTAAGCCCTCTGCTTAAACTGTGGAAGAGTACAGCTCCACCATCGTCCTGAAAAAGGGATAATCCTGTAAAACACAGGTGCTGCTGTCCAAAACTTTAAAAAAAAAGAAAGTTTTTTTTCATACAATCTTAACAGGTTTGTTTAGACTGAGAAAAACAGATCCTTATGTTATAGGTCATATTATTGACCTCTGTCAGTGGAAAGTCTGAGATGATCAAAGCTGTCATTGTTTAGGTTCTGTCTAATCAGCTGTAGACACACCCCCATAACAGAAACTCCAGAGACGGCACAGTCAGGGAAAGATCACCTGTGCAGAGTCAGCACAGTGTTCAGTCACTCATTAAAAGTTTGAATGCAGTCAAATATCCACAGTCTCACAATGGTACAACTCTCTCTCTTCTCCCACTTCTTTGTTTCCCTTTTTCACTTTACATAACGCTCTCTCTACCTGCTTTTCAACTCAGCCCCATACTATCAGGGATGCTGACTTTGAACTGGGAGCTGATATAATGCTCAATGGTCTCTCTACTTTTTAGAGAGGAAGATACAGCATCCATGGTTTTAAAAAGAGTGTTAGATTTTGGTTGGTCACACCTGAGGACAGTTTTCTTCTCCCCCTCAGTCCATCTTAAATGGTCTAAGGTTCAGAAAAGTCTCTGGTGTTTCTGGATCCTGTTTCTATCTGGTTTTCTCTTTGTATGGTTTAGTTTTAGCCTCTTTTATGGATGCAGTGATGAACCGTGTTCACAGACAATGGTTTTTGAAGTGATTTTGAGTCCATGCAGTGATTTTTCCCTACAGAGTCCTGTCTGTTGTTAATGTAGTGCTGCCTGAGGGCCTGAAGATCAGGACCATCCAGTCTTGGTTTTGATTCTTGTCCTGTCAGTACAGAGATTTCTTCAGATTCTCTGAATTTTTGAATGATATTATGTTTTGAAGTTGATGAAATCCACTCATTCTTTCACCTTTGATGCTCAGGAACATTTTCCTGAAACTGTTTAATTTAAATTTAAAATGAGCAGGAATATTTCATCAAAACATTTCTCAGTTTGAAAAGTTTTCAAAGTCTTTGAATGATTTACAAACCATCACTAAGAGCCCAAACCATGAAGGAGTTGGAGTTGTACTGTATAACAGCAGACTCTAGCCTTTGGTGTTTCTGCTCTTAAACATAACCACCATAATCGTTGAATCACCTTTTTTTCTTGTCAAAAAAAAAATAAAAAAAATTCTGGGAGCAGTGACTGATAAATAGGCTGAAAAAACTATCACTAAAATAAATTGGAAAACTAACGCTTATGAAACGTCCGTAGTTTTTGTCCTTAAAAAAGGATCTCATATGACCACAGCACCCTGACAGATACACTGCTTCATGGATTGTGGATGGGAGTTCAGGTTTTTTTTAAATCAAATAATGCTTTCAGTTTCCATATTACTGAAAGCTAACTCTGAAAATAACAAAAGACTAAACTTCCTGTACTTCCTGCCCTTACGTGTGTGTGTGTGTGTGTGTGTGTGTGTGTGTGTGTGTGTGTGTGTGTGTGTGTGTGTGTGTGTGTGTGTGTGTGTGTTTTCAGATCCAGAACATCCAGCTGGAGAGGGAGATGGCTCTGGCATCAAACCGCAGCCTGGCTGAACAGAACCTGGATATGAAGCCTCGACTGGAATCCCAGAAGGAGCTGCTTGTGGAGAGATACTCACAGCTGGAGTCCATCAGAGAAAACTACAGACAGCACTGCTCCTTAAGAGGTACAGAGGGACAGGGGGGAGATGGGCGGGGGGTGCCTGACTATGGACCTTTCACATCCAATAAATCATGGTACTCACTGTCTGATAGAAAGGGAGAAATTACAGACGTAAAAACAGATTGATCAGAGTGAGGAGCATTTACACAATATTATCAGCACATTGTCGGTACCAGTAGATGTAAACATCTCCACCAGTATTTATGGTAAATAGGAGGACAAATCATTTTTGTGGATGTCATGAAAATTTCTGTAGAATAGAATAGAATAGAATATTCCTTTATTGAATCACCATTGTACACCAACAATGAACTTCAAAAAACTGTACACAAGTATTTCAAAGTGCTGTAAACGTACAAGGAAATACCTTGTGATGCTTGTAATGCTACCAGTTAAACTGCATTTCAAGAATTGTCATTTGAAAGAACACCAAGAATTTTCGGAGAACTTTTAAAAGCACCTACAACAAAACATGGCAGCATCCTCTTCTTGAGTTATTCAACAAAGCTAAGACATAAAACAGAGAGAAACCAGGGATAAAGGAGCTAAACAAGGAAATCAATGACCTTACTACTGTCACTAATAAACATGACGGCTTCTTCAGGCAAAGTATTTACTTGGATTAGCATCGGTGTCAGTAACAGTATTATTGTCAGTATCAGTAACAATATTGGTATAAGTACAAGTGTTGTAACTACTGTCAGAATCGGTCGTAAAAAATAGTAATTGAATTAGTATCTAACAGTGTTTGTTTTCCTTGAAGATTTGTATCAAATCCTTGTTTGTATTTGCATCAGTATTATTATAAGAATTAGTATTATTATAATGTGAAAATAGATGTGGCTACATTTATCAGATTTATCAGTGTTAGTATTGTAATAACTGTGTTAAGATTGTTATTGGTATCAGTGTCTATATTGCTATAATAATTAGTATTGGTATCAAATCAATTTTGGTATCAGTATCAGTTTTGTTATCGGAATCCAATAAGTAATAATATATGTATCAGTACTGAAATCAATGTCAGTATGAACGTCAAATCAGTATTGGTATAAATATAAGTATTTGTGTCAAATCATTACTTGATCCAGTCAGATCCAGTCCTAACCCTAACAAGGTTTCCACTGTAATGATTGTAATGAATGTAAATGATTGTGGCGCACTGCCACGCCATTATAAGCTCTCCCCCCACAGTTTCAAAAAACCCTGGAGGAAACCATGGTCTTTAGTGTTTGTATGGATACTAGTTTTAGTACTAGCTGGTACTAGTATTGATATCAACATTGGCAGCCTTTTTGGTATTCATATCAGTGTTGTCACTGTTACTAGTATCAGGGTTGGAGTAAGTATTAGTATCAGTATTGGTCACAATCTGTAAAGCTAGCACATCAGTATCTGTAGGAGTATCAGAAGCAGTTTTGTTATCTGTACCAGTATTGGCAGAGTATAGACAATTAAACCAGACTTGACTATTGAATGATAGATTTTGAAGACAGAGAGCTGGTTTACATTAAGTCCATCTGAGTTAACTGAGTTCAAGAATGGCAGGAGAGACATAGTAGTTCAACATAAAGTGTACACATTGGCCCTCATTTATCAATCTTTCGCAGATCTGAGCGCAGGATTCATCTTACGATAGGACACACATGCGATTTATGATTACGATTTTATGCGATGCGAAAGGGTTCGTATCTGACCAATCCCAGCGTACGTATGATCGGGTCTTGATAAATGCGGCGGCTGTAATCGATCGTCATTAACATGTTTACGCCCTTAAATATTCGTGGTTCAGAAGCCTCGCCCACTGAGGTCAAACATGAGAGGAGAAATACTAGAAAGATTCAAATTTCTTCAGAGCTGGAAGTGGATATCCTCACATCTGTGGTGGAAACTAACAAGGATTTTCTCTTTGGAAACATCAAAACTGGTATAAAAGCAGTCCAGAAAACTCCTGTCTGTTTTCTGGGATTTCAGGATTATGGTGGCGCTGAACAGCGCTGCTGCGGAATAGCAGACAGTGGCTGAAGTTTGAATAAATCATTAGTCAATAAGTTGCTCATGATGATAAATTAATATCTCATACGTGCCTCATATTTTTTATCGCCATGACATTAGGGTATGTTTCTCCTATTATTGAAAGTATTTAGTTTGAATTTGTTGCGTCTTTGTAATGTAGAGCGGACTGTAGAGTCTGACAGAGGCTGAACAAAAATAATTATTAACCTCACCTAACGGTGTGTTGCTGCCCCTGAGGCACATTTTTATGGATTTCTATTGGATTTTTATCACTGATTAAATAGCAAGAGCACTCTCTAAACTGATACTTTACATCAGAATCCATCAATAAGGTCCTGTCTCCTCTGTACAGCACCTTTGTGGAGTCTCTCCTCGTTATTGTTCTCCGGGCATCAGGTCCTCACGTTGCACCGGCACAGCTAACGGCACTCCATTCACCAGTGCAACATTGTGCAAAACTGTACTGGCCCAAATGATGTCCCACACCCTTTCAGGAGTGTACAACAACGTCCCCGCTGCTGGGCCAAGACAGAGACACCTGCCTTTTAGGAGTCAAACACAGCGCTCCACAGTGGCGCGTGTGTGCGCAATGTTGAAATGGCGCTCCTGCTCTGTGGCAGTGTTTCTGGGCAGAATTATCAAATAGACCTAATCACTAAGGACATAACAAATTTATTTTGTTTTATTTACATCTTAATCTTTAATGAAATCTGGCTGATTGTGCTTAATGACAGGTTTGAGGTTTGTATATCAATTATTTTGAGACAGACATTTGCTGCACCGCAGATCCACACTGACTCAAACTTACGTACACAATGTCAGACCTGTCATGAGATTTGGTCGTAGCGTACGCTCAGGTGCAGATTGATAAATGCCGATCCTCATGTCAAAACTGTTGTACGCAAGGTGTACGCAAGTTTTCTGCTGTACGCAAGCTTGATAAATGAGGGCCATTGAGTCTACACATCCGCCTGGAGTATTTAGCATTTACAGGGTTTTATCATACAGGGCTCCAAGTTCCTTCTGATGACTGAAACTTTTTAACTGGTTAAATAATGATGTTAAAAACTGGAACAGTGCCGTGAGTCTGACTTCAAAATTTATTCTGTCAGCCTAGTATACAAAGCTGAAGGAGGACCGATTTGTCCTAATCAGAGTTCATTTCCTGTTATTTTGCTCGTACAGTAAATCGTTCTCTGTGTTTGATAGTTATTAGATAGAATAAAAGATCAGAAACAGACTGAACAGCAGCACACTGGGGAGAAGCTGAAGGATGTGTGTCGCATTTGTTTGGTGCATATACAGCAGCATACAGAAATGTGCAGTTTGTGTCTAAGGCGGTGTGCAGAGGTCTACACTTGGTGCCTGTGTTTAGTGGTACAAGTGACAGGTGCTCTCTGTGGAGCTGATCTGAATACAAGGAGAGGCACTCCACTATAAACAGCCTTTGACTGTTAAATATCTGATGCGGACAGTCTGAGAAGGCTCTGTCACACCCACCAATGATATCACGCCCTGTTACATAACAGCTGAAGTTGGTCCAGGTGCTTTGTGTAACCTGTGTGAAAGCTGGAACCCTTAAAGATTGAAAGTTACAGCTCAGTTTGAAGGATCACTTTAAAACAACTGGGAAAAAAGAGTCATGCTCTGTCAAATGAAATTATCAGAGTGCAGTGAACTTCTCTGTCTGCATTCACACTCTCACACCCTCTCTCACCCGTACAATGATGTCACAGCACACAGGTGTGCCCTATCTAATAACACGTCAGCAAAGGTAGCACGTGGATAGAACCGGTTTTTAATGTGCTGTGCCTGAAAAGTCTAAAACCTTGTTTTTTTCTCTCTCTCTCTGTCCTCAGATGGGATGGTGGGTCAGGTGTCTCCTGAGGCATTTTTCTCCAGACTACAGACAGAGGGCAGCAAAACGGAGGCAGAGTCAGAGGTCAGAAATGTTAACACACTCACATATGCACTTACACAAACACTAGCAGGTTTCAGATATGTATCAAAATCATGTCTGAGGCTGCACTCATTCTGAACAGTCTGTACTGTACCTGAGCATCTCTCACCCCTACAATCCAGCTTGTTTGACTGGTGTAAGTGCTCCCCACTGCTCCTAGAGTATGATACACTTCCCTGGCCTTAGCACTGTTGGCAGAGGCAAGCTTTGGCATGAGGACATAATGATGGTTATACTGCTCCTCTAAAAAACTCAGTATGACTACTTATGCACTTAAACAAGCATGAGTAACATGGCAACATGGACATGACTTAGAGTGATGAAAGTGCTCCTATCACTACCCTGTATAAAAAATAATAATAATTAGTAACCATACTGGTCATTACAGCTGTCTTCGTTTACCAGTAATGATGATCGATGTCTTTTGAAAAAAAAAGAAATATTGATATTGTGTTAAACTAATCATCTGGTAGAATGAAGAGATGAAGAAGAAGCAGCAAAACCCTGCTGTATGTATGTACAACAGATGGGCCTAATGGTACCCAGGTGTGGTTAAGATCGGAGGAAAATGAGTGCAGGCCTTTGGGGTCTGGGGAGGAGGACTCAACATGCCTCAATACGAAGGATCGACCAATATGTTTTTTTAGGGCCGATACCAATTATTAGTTATCAAGGATACTGATAACCAATATTTGGTGCTAATATTCATTTGTAGTAAAAATATATATTTTGGTGTCAAATTTTTTTGTGTGAATAATTTGTACATTTATATGTTTCAGCCTGTATGTATCCAGTGGGTCTAAAAAGATTTGCGTCCGACATTGACTCATCTGATCAGCATTATTTTTGACGTCACATTAAAAATCAACATAGCAGATCACGGCTCATTCATGTTCTACCAAACTCCGTAGTGAATGAAGAAAAACAAAAACTACAGAAAGACATTTATCCAACCACTTGTAAAGACAAGACAGTACGAAGACTTTTTTCAGCCGTGCTGCTAATTTCAGAGGCGCTCGGCTAACTGAAAAATATATACAGTGGATATAAAAACTCTACACACCCCTGTTCAACTGCCAGGTTTTTGTCATGTAAAAAAATTAAATCAAGATAAATAATCTAACAACTTCTTCCACCTTTAATGTGACCTGTTACCTGTACAACACAATTTTAAAACAAACAGAAATCTTTCGGGGAGGTGAAGTAAAAATATACAACTGAGATCATGTGGTTGCCTAAGTGTGCACACCCTTTAATAACTGGGGATGTGGCTGTGTTCAGATTTAATTAATAACATTCAAACTCATGTTAAATTGGAGTCAGCACACACCTGTCACCAATTAAAGTGCCTCTGATCAACCCCAAATAAAGTTCAGCTGTTCTAGTAGGCTTTTCCTGACATTTTTGTAGCCACATCTTCCAGCACAAGCCATGGTCTGCAGAGAGCTTCAAAAGCATCAGAGGCATCTTATTATTCAAAGATATCAGTCAGGTGAGGGCTACAAAAGAATTTCCAAGGAATTAGATATACCATGGAACACAGTAAAGACCGTCATCGATAAGTGGAGAAAATATGGCACAACGGTGACATTACCAAGAACAGGAAGTCCGTACAAAATTGATGATAAGACAAGAAGAAAACTGGTCAGGGAGGCTACCAAGAGGCCGACAACAACACTAAAGGAGCTGCAGGGATTTCTGGCAAGTACTGGCTATGTAGTACATAAGACAACATCTCCCGCTGTCTTCATATGTCTGGGCTATGGGGTAGGGTGGCAAGACAGAAACCTTATCTTACAAAGAAAAACATCAAAGCCCTGCTTAATTTTGCAAAAAGACATCTGAAATCTCCCAAACGCATGAGGGAAAATGTTTTATAGTCTGACGAAACCAAAGTTTAACTTTTTGGGCATGGTTGCAAAAGGTATATTTGGCGCAAAATCAACACTGCTCATCAGCAAAAGAACACCATACCCACAGTGAAGCATGGTGGTGGCAGCATCATGCTTTAGGGTTGTTTTTCCTCAGCTGGAACTGGTGCCTTAGTCAGGGTGATGGGAATTATGAACAGTTCCAAATACCAGTCAGTGTTGGCGCAAAACCTTCGGCCTTCTGCCAGAAAGCTGAAGATGAAGAGGAACTTCATCCTTCAGCACGACAATGACCCAAAGCACACAAGTAAATCAACTACAGAATGGCTTCACCGGAATAAGATTGAGACTTTGGAATGGCCCAGCCAGAGCCCAGACCTGAATCCCATCGAACATTTGTGGGGTGATCTGAAGAGGGCTGTGCATAGGAGATGCCCTTGCAATCTGTCAGATTTGGAATGGTTTTGCAAAGAAGAGTGGGCAAATATTGCCACATCAAGATGTGCCACGCTGATAGACTCCTACCCAAAAAGACTAAGTGCTGTAATAAAAGCCAAAGGTGCTGCAACAAAGTATTAGTTTAAGGGTGGGCATATTTGTGCAACCAGGTTATTTTAACTTTTCTATTTTTTATTTTTCCCCTTAAAGGTTTTAGTTTGTTTTTCCAATTGCATTGTACAGGTTATAGGTCACATTAAAGGTGGAAAAAGTTGTGAAAATATTTATCTTGCTGTCATTTTCTTACATCACTAAAACCTGTCAGTTGAACAGGGGTGTGTAGACTTTTTATATCCACTGTATGTATGTATGTATGTATATATATGTTAATAGGCGAGGCGGCTGGGTCCAAGTTTCACCTCTGGGTGTGTATGTCATTGAAACAGATTATCAGAAGACTTAAGTGTTTTTAAAACTTCAGCTCAGACTTTTTTTTCTGCAACTTTGACATTTTCTGTAGCCTTACCTTCATCCACCAAACCTCTTGCAAATGCAGCCGTTTTTTGCTTTATTTTAAAATGAGAAAAGAACCAGAGGTAGTGCATGCTAGCTCCGTACGCTTTTCAGAAACTGTGGAGCACCTCTAGCGGTGTTGTTACCTTGTAGTTTGTTTCTTTTATTTTATTTCTCCATGCTTAATGGTGTTTGTTATAACTCTGAGCATGTGGTTTATGAGAAGTGTAAGTTGAAGAATCTTATTTTTGACTGTGAAGATTGCCTCTGGGGAATGACTCTGCCATTGGTTGAGAAGGAGGCGAAAGTGGTCTGTATTACTTTGTGTATTATTTATCTGTGTTAGCTACAGCGCTCAGCAGTGCTATTTATGTAATGATTACAACAGCTGATATTGACTTTTATTTTGTTTATTGAAGTTTTAGTTCTACAGTGTTACTGAACATCAGTGTAAGGAACAGGAGTCTCGCATCTATTTAACTGGCGGCATACCACCGATTCATGGAGCACTCTTCTCTCTCCCTTGCTGTGAAGCTGCACCGAGAGTGTTGATTGGCTGTCTGTGTAGCTAATCAGTGGGGATTGTAGGCGGGACACTGTTACACAGCCAAGAGTGGTGACTTCAGGCAGAGGAAGGTGGCTGTGTAGGAGCCGAACAAGTGCATTTTAAAATAAACGTATTTTATCAGCTATCAGTGGAAAAAATGGCCGATGCTGATTATTGTAAAAATGCTGAATATTAGCCGATATTAACGGCCTTGCTGATTATTGGTCAGTCCTTACTCAGTAAGGTACCAGGAAATTGGGCGGAGTGTGAGCGCAGTCCGAAGAGACAGTGATGTGAAGAAGTGTTTTAGAAGTGCTTACTGATGATGTGCTAACTGTGTGTGTGTGTTTGTTTGTTTGTTTGTGTGTGCGCAGGCTCTAGCTGATGAGTTTTTGGAAGGTTCCTTGCCATTGGATTCCTTCCTGGAGCGCTTCCTGTCCCTTCGCTCGCTGGCTCACAGGAGGCGGGTTCAGATAGAGAAAATGCAAGAAATCCTGAGACAGAGGAGTGAAGGCCATCCCATCGCCATAACATCATCAGCTGGCAGCCAAGACCCTGCCCCCTCAGCTTGGAATCAACCCACGTCAACATCAACGACCACACCAAGCTCCGCCTCTCAGAATCCCTCACAGCAATCCGCGTCCTCGTCAGCAGGGGGCACCTCTGGCCTCCCATACAGCCCCTATCCCATCATTCCCCCTAACCCCCCAACAGCAGCAGTAGCAGCAAGCTCTGGCCCTGTGAACCCCCCATCACAATTTCCTCCCTACCCAAGTTCTGGCTCACCTTTTACCCCCACAGGAAGCTTCTCCGGTCCCCGGCCCGCCTTTGGGCCCCCGGCTTCAGGAGGCTGCCCCTACCCCACCCAGCCCTCCTTCCCTGCCCCCCACCCAGGCTCAGCGTTTGGTCAGTACACCCCCAGCCACCCACCGAGTGGCCCCGCCCCCTACCCTGCATCCTACAGCTATGGGGGCTATAGCTACCCAGCAGGGCCTGCCTACTCTAGCTCTCAGTCCCCCACAGGGAGGCCCCTGTACAGACCGGGGTACGGGGTCCCACAGCCGTACTCCTGAGAGCCCCGCCCCCTGTCTCTTCTTCTCTGTGCCCTCTCCCCTCCTGTTTACCTGACTCCTCCCCTTATCCCTCCCCTTCTTGTCTTTTTACCTTTTCTAACCTCCCCACAGACCCCGCTCCTACAAGCCCCGCCCCCAGAGTCAGAGGTCTCTCGCTTTACTTCTCTTTGTTGCACTATTACTCTCTATCTCACCCCTTCCCCTCCCCTTTCCCCACCCACACACACTCACACACTAGTCTCAGGTTGTTGTGTTAAAAACTCTCGTATCTGGCTCTTTACACACACCCCCACTCCCCCCACCCCCCGCCCCCCTCACCCCCTGTCATGTGTATGTGTCTGTGTGTGAGTGTGTCTGTTGCTTTCAGCCAATCAGAAAGTAAGAACAGAGTGCATTGACCTCACAACACACATGAACAGAGTGCAGTGTGTGTGTGTGTGTGTGTGTGTGTGTGTGTGTGTGTGTGTGCGTGTGCGTGTGCGTGTGCGTGTGCGTGTGCGTGTGCATGTGGGTGTGGGTGTGTGTGTGTGTGTGCGTCCAGCAGAGGGAGCTGTCGGTCCTGTTCCTGTGTTTCTTCACTCCTTTGGTGATTAATATCAGACCTGGATGTTGTTTAGTCCTGTTGGGTTCAGATCTTCCACACTCACTCTCTGAAGTCATCACAGGTGTGTCAGGTGATCTGTTTTGCTCACAGTCACCTGCAGACAGTTGGAGAGGCAGCACACACCTGTGTCCCCCTTTGTCTTTAACCAAAGATCTGATTTCAGTTTAATGTCATGCGAAAGAGAAGCTGCAGTTGTTAGCTCTGAAAAACAGCACTCTGTGCGCATCGGCGCTTTCTGTTGGTTTCTCTCAGGACTGTCCATCTTGTAAACCATCACTGAAGCTTAAGAAGCTCTCAGTTAGTCCTGCTGGATATGGATCAGTCCAGGTGGGGGCACCTGCCAGACCCAGACTCAGCAGTTCTTAGCCTTGGGGCCCCCCACCAGGGATTTCCTGGTGGTCATCAGATGATTGTGGAGAGAAAAAAACATTGTGATCTCAAATAAAATATCTTTGACTTAAATTAGTGTTTACATGAAATCACCTGAATAAGGGACTACATTTGTCTTACAGGAGCTGCTCTCAACTGACATTGTGTTAACTTTATGAGTTGGTGCTGTCAGCACCGTCTTTCTTCATGAGTTTGACCTAAGGCCGTGACCTATCTCTTATTAAAATGTTCAGGTTCTAAAAAAAAGTCCTTTAGTTCGATTTTTTTTTTTTGCTCATGAACTCCAACAAAGTCTTTTATGGGAGTCATGGCTTGAAAAATTTGACATCCGTCTCTTTAGCTATTTTACACCCACCAGCTGGACTCAGCCTGCTGTCTGCTGCTTTTCAAGTGGGGAACTTTATCAGTTTATCAGTCTGCATCCTGGCACCACTGAAGCTAGGTTAAATTTGGAGGAGTTTGGTTTGGCAGCCAAATAATATGGTCAGAAAGACTTTTTACTGCTCAGATCATCTGCAAAGAAAAACAAAATTCAAAGCTTTTTGCAAATTCACATCAGTTCAGAATTTCAGCTAAAGCTCCAAATTCACAGCACACTGTGTTTGGAAGATAAGTTGGTGCAGTTCTCTTGAAGTTTTCTTGTCGTCTTGCAATCAGACCTAATAAGACAGGCATTCTGACTCTAATCATTGGTCATGATGGTGTTTTTTTCAGCATCCTCTCATTATTTGTCATTGACCTTGGTGGTACTTGCTAGCTACAATGAAACTACATTCTAGCTCAGACAGCTAAAATCTAACTGAGAATCATCCAAGAAAAACAGTGAAACCTAGACTCAATAAAGCAGAAGAGACATTTATGGTGAAACCAAGACTTAGAAGAATATACAGAGAGTACAAATGAATACAGTGAATCAGACACTTTGGTCTAGTCAAACTGAGACTTAAAAAAGACAGTGAAACTGAGTTGTAGGGGATATAGATACAGCAAAACAAAGACTCATCAGAGTGGGGGGAACAGGTGCTCCACAGCTGAACCAGAGTGCTGTTAGTGAGTGACTCTTAGAGAGAATCTGGTACCTACCCAAGCTGCCAGGTCATCCAACTGGGACCTGGCAAGTCTGAAGTAGCAGAGAGCATCAAGAAAGTTAATCTAGTCACAGCTCATGGAGTAGAAGGAGGAGTAGGAGTCATTGGGTGATCAGAAGTCAGGTCATGCACACAGGACTGATGGGGTCAGTAGTTTCTGCGCTCAGGTGTGAATCTGGAAGTGTAACTGTGTTTCTATGAGTGTGAATAAATGAAACATGTCTTCACATCCTGTCCACCCCGCACCCTCTCTTTTACATGAACTGATGCTGGACAGATCACCTGAACTCTGTGTGTGTGTGAGGACATGGGCTGGTCTGTGGTCAAACATGGAGGTAATCGGTGTGGATGGATGATATAAATAACACTGATTTTAGGCTGATTATGGATCTTTTAGAAGAAGAGAGCACCTCCATAAATTACTTGTTAGAGTTAAACATTTCATCAAACTGATCATGTTTTATATCAAATTTCTCTCAGCTGTTTTACAATCCTTTGGTTTGATCAGCTGATCAGGAACACATCCTTAAGCTCCAAGTCTTAAAGTGTTTAAATCTGTCACACATTGAAGGTGGTTCACAAAGATCCAAACTGTTTCAGCCTCTATAATTCCAGGGTCCAGGAGTTTGACAGTAATTTAATCAGAATTAAATCATCGGATTACACTGAATGTCAGAAAATCGTGTTTCTTAGTGAACAGGATGAGGAGATCCAGTTGAGTTTTCTACCCTGATAAACCTCCAGTTTGTGTCATTCAAACTTTGCGATAGGAGTAAGATCACTTTGATCAAGAATTAAAATCATTCTGATCCAAGTGAAGGATTGGATTACAAGAACTGTGTGGAAGAAAACTTTAAAACTGTCAAAGCATAAAAAAAGAGTTACGGTTATCAAACTCATGAAGACAGCGTTTTGTATTTTGCTGAATTTCTTAGAGCAGATTAAGGAGATACTTGGGTTACTCCATGAATTTAACCCTATGTAATGATTCATCATTTAACAGCAATATAACAATAATAAAGGACAGAAAACGGTGCGTGAAAATGCTGGATCAGTGTTGATGTCTCCTTTAAAACTGGTAATCTAGATTTAGTAAAGTCTTAATCTAGCACTGTTTTTTTCTGAAAGAGCAGAACAGAAAAGTCAACTGGATTGCCTGATCCTGGAAAAAGAAGGAAAAGAGAGTAACAAATCAACTTTTGAATAACTTGGCCCTGGACTATCATCTACAGCTCACCAAACCAGACCAAGTGAACCTTTAAAGGTCCCAAACTACAAAAACCTGTTTTTCTTAGTCCATATGTTTGTATTTTAGAACCTCCAGCTCAACATCCCTCAAACTGCGAACATAAAGAAGTCTCTGCATTATTTCTGTAGTCCACCTCCTGGAAAAAACATTACATCTACAAGAGGGTTTGAGTTTGGTCCTGTCGTGACACAATGACAGGAGTGATTTCAGGATAAGCATGCATTCAACCCCACCCCCACCCCCTCCCACTCCTTGTGTGACTCTGCTTCCACCTTTGCTATTGTGGCTACCTGCAAGCATGGCCAACTGCATCAAGTTGTGCACAAAAGGCAAGGCCGAACCCAAGATTTGAGCTCAGAGGTGTTTGGTTCCAACACTTCAACAGTCACCACCTCCAGATTCTGGATCAAATGTATTGTTACAGGTTCTCCTGGTGGGCTTGCAATTACTTTTTTATTTTTTCATCGTATTTTCATCTCTGCACCTGTCTGCACTGGTCTCCTCCCTTCCCAGTCAAACAACATTTAGAGTTGTCAGCCAATCAGAGCAGAGCTTCATTATCATAGCAGCCCCACCTACTCAGATCACTGCATGGCTAATGAGGTCGGAAACTTGAGAGGCTGCAGATCCTCCACAGAGGTGGAACCTAGAAAGCCAACTAAGACTGATCAATATATTGGGATCTTTAAAAGCTCACACTGACTGAGCTGAAAGGAAAGATTTAAAACCTGGAGGATGAGCACAGTTTGGTGACAGGTGTGTCTGAAGGAGACTGGCATACACACACACACACACACACAGTTTATGTTCAGTCAGTGCGCCACACTGCATGACAGAGGATCAGACAGAGGAAATAAACTACTCATTAAAGTCAGAGAGACTTTAACCTCATTTGACAGCGAATAATCATCTGTTCAGGGTCAGCGAGTCTGTCTGAACTACAAATCCAAACTAGACTACAAAACCCAGCTTACCACCTCCTCTTCTACAGGAAAGGGAAAGTTTTTTAAATCATTATTATCATTACTATTATTAACCTGGATTAGAGTCTGTCGCTGTAGCTGTTAATCCATGAGATGACAACAGCTGACGTTTAGAGTTTTTTTTATTTCTCTCCTTCTGTCTGATGCTTGTTTAATCTTAACTGAGTAGTTATCATGGAGCTTATCAGGATCAAACTTCTCAGCAGCTTTACATCGGGTATCAAACCTCACAGATGCTCAGTGCTGTGAGACTCTGCTGAGCACGGAGGGAAACTCTGAGAGTGTCTCTAAGAACAGCGATGCCTTCAGGAGCTGTTGTGTTCACAGATGTTCATTTTATGTTACCCTCTGAGCTGAGGTTCAACCTGCAGTAGAGAAAACAGGCATCAGGTGTAGAAACCTGTATCTATCATATTTCATATTTGATCACAGTGATGGATCGATTATTGAGGTGCTCTCACAGGTCTGCAGCTCTGAATTACAGAGTTCTGGTAGAGTAGAGGGAAGAATCACTCTGACAGATGCATCAGCAGTTTGATTGAAAGTCAGACGTTCCTCTATTTATTACTGCTCTCTTTTTGAGGCTTTAAGGCTGTTAATAAAGGCTGTGTTAATGGTTAATAAATGATGTTTGAATGATTCAAACCTGGGTTTATCTGGGTACAGAGCATGACTTATTTAAACAAGTGTAGTGCCAAGAGCTCAGACTCTGACTGTGTTCCATGGTCTTAAACGTCCTGGTTCTGGTCCCGATCCTGTGTTGGATCATACTGCTAATGTGGTGTTTACATGCCCAAAGAGAAACCTGGTTATTCAGATCCCTTATTGTGCAGGTGCTTCAGATGACTATTTTTACAACTCAAACCTCAGTAATTTCATGTAAGCATGCACTAAATCTGAATTTTGCTGATATCCAACATGCTGATTTGACTCACATTTATTTTGGCTAATTCTGATATTCATTATGATATATAAATGCACTTCTTTTCGTATTGTAAAGAATGCAGTTTCTCTTGTTACAGATTTTACCTGCCACTCTTATTTTGAAAGTCTGTTTATTAAGAACCAGGCATGAACAACACAAACAATATTTGATTGTTTTTCTACCAGAGATGATGACTGTTTCTTTAAATACAGACATTCAATCAGGCTTTTACTGTCTGCTTTTATGCAGCCAACCTGTGTGAGCTATCACCACATGCTCAAAATTAATGCATTTCAATCATCAAAGCATCACTTTTTTGACCAATAATTGAAATGTGCATAACTGCCAATATGTTGATAATATTGTGCATCCCTACTTTAGAGATCTGAGAAAATAAGAGCCTTCTGTGGCATATTGTGGACTTTGCATATATAGATGGTAACAAGGTATTACAGATAAATATATATATATAGAGAGAGAGAAAAGCGCAACAGCTACAATTCAATATTTTCTCATTCAAAGCATTCAGTTTTCTCCATCTAAACTCTAAATCATAATTGATTATTTTGTATAAACTCAGTTTCTTTTTGCGCCAGAAGTCAGACAGATATTAGATTTAATTAATAAAAAGTGCACTATTTTGGCTCCACCACTCGTGTGTCTTTGGCTCTGGGTTAGTTTTCTGACCTCACTTTATCTCACCTAAATCCCTGCCCACAACTCTGCCTGTAAGTGTTTACTCCTATTAAGGACCTTCAGAGTCTCTGTTTTGATTGAACACTTGTTTCTTATGCGAGTCTTACAAACCCAGTGTCCTTTTTAATATTTTATAAATCCTCACAGCTGAAAAAGTATAATATTAAAAATATAAAATATTCAAGAGATCAGTTTGATCACCAGTCAGCTCTGTTATCTAAACTTATCATTGACTTCATCAAAATCACCAAAAACACCTTCAGTTTGAAGTTAAACACGTCTGAATGTCTGTACATCACTCTGAACATGAGTCAGCGCCTGTTTGATTAAAAACTGATCTAAACATCATTAATAATTGATTAACCATTTACACGCCTTTATCAAAGACCCTCATTGTTATCTCTGAGACATGATCATGCTGCATGTGACAGTGCATGACCCACCTGAACCCAATGCTACAGAGCTAACACAGTGTCTGAGACTGTGAGCGTGAGGAGCCATGGCGGAGCTGTGTGTGACATCTTTGTGTCTGAATTTCTTGTCTCACTCTCTCTCTCTTTCACACACACTCACAGAAAAAAACAGGTGCGTGTGTGTAATCAGACAGTGACACACTCCAGCATGTGGATGATATGTGTGTGTGTCTGTCTGCTGCTCTGACTGAATGATGACGATGATGACGAGGAGGACAGTAGTGATGATGTTTTAGAAGAAGCACAAAGAGGAGTTTAAATAGAGTTTAGCATTAAAATCAGATGGTGAATTACTATGATGATGATGATGATGATGATGATGAAGATGTGATCGTTAAAGAGACTTTTTCTTTTTTTTTCTCTTTTCTGGGGTTGTGAATAATTAAACTGAAGTTGATCTAAATGAAAACACTCTTGGGTATTTATTCAAAACCTTCAAATGCTGCTGTCATAAAAACATCATGTTTATTAGCTTCTTGTAATTTTTTTCACAGATAAATTCAAAACAAAGTTACAGTAAACAAAAATAGTTCATCATGTCGGTTTGATGGTGTTTGAAAAGTAATTGCGAAATTGCATTTCTGAGTATGTCTGCATCCAAATCAGCGTACCTCTCGCAGACCCAAAGGACAGGTTCAGACAGAGTGAGATTTTCTATGTCACAAATCCAAACTCTGCCCCCAAGGCGATTGAGAGGCGATTGCGGAACAAGTGTGTGCATTAGCAGATTGCAATGCTCGTAAGAAAGCTAACTATATAAGCTTTCATTATGGCCCCAAAGACATTTGTGTCCAAGAGCTGAATAGCTCCCATATTACTTGCCACTTCTGCTGCACAGGCAATGTTAGGCTGCAAGCTAGCACCAAGAGGAGTGTGCAGAGCAGCGCTGTCCTCGCCCACGACTCAGGGGTGAATTGCTAATGAGTTACTGGAGCGCTGAAAAAAAAAAAAGCCCTCGAAAATGACACGGGTAACGTGGTTTGGCTAAAAAAAAAAAAAAAAAAAAAACATTGTAGTGGGACTTTACAATAATAATGCATTAGATTTTGTAGCACTTTTTTATCAGTGACCTCAAAGCGCTTTACAATGGATACATCATTCATTTCAGTCACACCCTGGTGGTGGCAAACTACCTTAGTAGTCACAGCTGCCCTGGGGCAGGCTGATGGAAACATGGCTGCCAGTTTGTGCCTACAGCCTCTCCAACCACCACCACACATCACTTTAAAGGGATATTCCGGCGTAAAATGAAGTTAGGGTTTAGCACATCGTAACACCAGGTTAGACACCCCCTTGATAGATGAATGTTGCCGACTGCTTGCTTCTTCAGATATACAAACTTCAGCAACGACTGCATGAAAGCAATACACAGCGGTCTACATCTCCACCCGCAAACCTCAACCAAAAAGCCACTCTATAGCCACAAATAATGCTCAGAACAGCCTCAACTTCATCAACAGTTCATGTAGAGTCCCAGCCATAGTGCTGGCCACCAAACATCTTTTTAGCTTAGGTTAATTTTTTAGCAAAGAGACTAAACACGACTCACTCACTCTCCTCCAGCAGCCGCTTGTTTGTGGGGGAGCCCTGATGAGTCGATCACTGAGTTCACCGGAGTTTGCAGCTCAAGGAAGAAAATTTTTGATTATTACTTAATGGAAATGCAATCAGACTGAGCCGCTAAGGCAGAAGAACTACTGCGTCTGCAGTGCAAAATGATTTTTACGATGATTATTACTTAATGGAAATGATCCGCTGGCAACGTTCAACTCTTAAGGGGATGTCTAACTCGGTGTTACGGTGTGTTTGACCCTAACTTAAATTTACACCCGAATATCCCTTTGAAACTGCAGCCAAAACAACTGTTGTTTCGGTCTTACACCCTACCCCTCCATGTAAACAGATGGGACATGGCTTATTTGATGTCATTAAAAGGGGCGTGGCATCATTATTGACAGCTCTGTGTGTGTACCAGCTCATTAGTGGCTGTGAAGGTCAGCCCCAAATCATTATAAACATTAGACATAAAATACTATAAACACTGTCAATGATTAGCTTCTTCCATCTCTCTTATAACTGTGGTTTTATTGGCTGCATCATCAAGTGCTTTTACAATGTAGCCCCTGCCTACAGCACCAAGGCAACTGACCACTGACACTCATACTTTGGGCATCCAAGTCTTTATTCATGACTGTGTTTGTGTTAATTGGACTAAGAGAAGAAAAAAAAAGCAAAAGAAAAAAAAATGTAGTATTGGAGGTATAAGTTTTCATACTTTTGTAATCAACCTTAATGATTAAAATTAAAATGAATAAAACACTTTTAATGGCATGTTATGAGTCTGAGTTTTCTCTTTCTTGAATAACTGGTGAAAAATATTTGTCATTATACTGTAATTAGTTTAGATGCACCTGCTCGACGTCTCCTTTGTCGAGGCGTGGATGTGTTTGTGCTTTCTGTCACCCAGCTGACATTCTGACTCACAAACATGATTAAAAAGCTGAACTTGGCACTTCTTCCCTTCACCTCTTCCTCCCACCCCTTCCTCTTCCTCCCCTCTCATCGTCATGGTTGTCTTCCCGCTCATTCACTCGTTCTCTCTTGGTGCAGCTCTCTTTGAAGGGAGGAAATCTGCAGCATGCAGCAGCTGCACTAGCAGCAGGATGAACTAATTCAGTGTGAGGAGTTGAACTCCTCTGCACCGCTTCCTCTGTCTGTACACTCTCTGCAGGAGGAGTCTTCATCTGACAACTCTCCTCCTCCTCCTCCACCTCCTGTCTCTCCCTCAGTCTCTCTCTGTCTGTCATTTTCCACCTGTTGTTCTCTGAGATGGATCTCAGGACGGCTCTGGCCATCTTCGCCCTCTTCCTCCAGGTTCATGGTGAGTTTATGATCATGTTATTTCATACTGACAGCTAACACACCGGCAGCTGTGACAGAGAAAGCAAAATTCAATACATTCACAGTCAGATATAAGACCAATATGAGGCAATCAGTGTGACTGCTGCTGAAGTGAAGATGGAAACTTCCATTTTAAACTCTGAGAAACAAAGAAGAAAATTTTTTTTTTTCTTTCCTGAGATGGGTGCGTAGGAGAGGAATGTGTGAAAAAACAAAAAGACATTTATAAGTGTTGTTTTAGTGTGGAGACTTGGTTATAAATGTGTTTTGATGGTTGGATAGTCTACAAGAGCTCTAATGTCATCTTTATTAAACCCATAGAGTTAAACTGTGAAAACGCTCCTGATGGTTAAGCTCAGAGTGTTGAGCTTACCAAAAACTCAAAACACTGTGTTGTTGTTACAAACATTGGTCTGTAAAATAAGCTCAAGTTTGGGTTTTGTTTCATTTTGGCTGTGAGTATCTATCATATATTTCACGAGAAGCTTTTATCCTGTGTTAAATTAACTGATCAGCACCTACACTAGGAACATTTTTAAGATGGGGTTGTATGAGTTAAATGTAACTCACTCTTGCTGACTTTCTTCAACATACTGGAGTTCAGTCAGAAAAACTGAATGTCAGATCGTCTTCAGAGTCAGAGTTCAGCTCTCAGTGTTTGTTTCAGCATGATGACACAACCTGTGATTACAGGATCTGTTCGCCTGATCAGAATACACTGATTTAGCCGATGAAGCTGAAATAACAAACTCATCCACATTACTGTGACCAAAGGCCTCTGGTGTAAAACATAAGGCAAAAATTTGATTAATTTGCTTGTGGTTCTCCATTTTGAGTCTGATGATTTTCAATTGAGCAGGCCGAGGCACGGCTAGAATGTTTTGGTTCTCCATCCAGGCTTTAATTGACCTTGTCGTGTGGTGAGGGGCATTGTCTTGTCAGGAAATCCAGTCATTTGAGCCAGGAAAGAGTTTATCAGCTGATAGAAGAAGACTGTTTTTGAGAGTAGCCCTGGCCTCCTCCTAACCAGTAAGTTTGCTGGAGCGGGTAAGGCATCAACTCAAAATTGGATTCATCACTGAACAGAACCTTAGCCCAATCATCAGCAGTCCAATCTTTGTGATCCCTAGCAAAGAGTAACTAAGTCTTCCTCTGCCTGTCATTGATGAAGGGCTTTTTCCGTGCCCTGTGTGACTTTAGACTGGCTTCAAGAAGTCGATTTTGAACTGTCCTTGCTAAACAAGTCACATTTCTTGACAGCACCCACAAATTTTAAGGTCCCAGGAGGTCTGACGACAGTTCCTGACACAGGAACGGATGAGTGCACCGTAGGGCTGCAGGGTTAATCAATTTTAAATCGTAATCGGATTATTTGATTACGACGATGTTAAAAAATTAAGATTGTCAAATCGATTTTCCTCTCTATCATGTTTGCCCCTCCAGGCCACCGTAGACTCCCCCTTCCTGCATGAGCACTCCCCAGTTCCCACACACACCAGTGTAAACAAACATGGCATTTGCAAAAGAAGGCAGAAATTTTGTGGTTAAATATGACATTATCAAGTCAGTCTTGTGGACTTGGTATGGCTTCGTAATTTCGGATGAAGAGCAAACCACTCCCCGCTGCAAAGTCTGTTTGAAGGCGGTATCAACCCGTCCACACGGAAACAAATTCAGGAGTATATGCAAAAGTTTTTTTGTCTTATCGGTGTTTCTTTCAAACGGAAAACAGTATTTCGGGTGACTGTAAATGGTACTTTTTTAAAATGGGTCAGAGAGTGAATAAATCCATAAACAACTACCATTTCATCTCAGTGCGGATGCCGTTCTGTATCTCTCCATACGATTATGTGACACACAGAGTAACTCTTTTATGGCGCCTGTGCGTGTCTGGCCAAAACAACCTTTATAAGTATGCTCTTTACTCTTTTTCTGTCTCTTCTGTCAGTGGTTAAATTTTAAGAGATAATAGAACAACTTATGAAAGTAAAGTCTGGTGAAGTTGTCACTGAAAAAAAAAATAAAAAATCGAGTTTTCAGAGAAAAAATCAGATTTTATTTTGGGCTAAAATCGTGCAGCCCTAGTGTACGATCCTCTCGTGGGGTGGAGAGACGTTCCCTGCCTTGACCAGCTAGCAATTTGGTAGTACCATGTTTGGCTTGCTTTTTCTTAGTGTCATGAACAGCTGTCTTGGAGATCTTTAGTTTTTTGGATTCCTGTCTCTCACTCATGCCCATTTCCAGCATTGCAAAGATGGCTGCCTTTGTGGCTTCACTCAACTCTTTTGTTTTGGGCATTATGTTAGAGCTTCTGAGTTGTGCTATGGCTTGAATGTAAGCGATAAACAACTCTCGGCCTTTGTGCGGTGCTGCTAATGACATGAAATGGCCTCATATATACCCTGGGAATTCAAGTAAGCTTAAGCGTGTCAAATAGGACATGAAAAATCATGGAATCAGCTGCATTTTTAGTTACATTCATTGTATTCTTCAGGTAATACAGCCTTAGTGGTATCAGGCATTAAAATGAACAAGAAATTAAAGAAAACAAGGGTGGTCTAATAATTTTTTCCATGACTGTATTTACAAACTAGGACTAATTAGGTTTTTAGTTCGTAACAAAAATGTCAAACATTAAACTGACATCACCCGTCAGCAGGTTGTCTTTGCCGCTGGCATGAATCAGGATCAAAATGAGGCAGATGCACAAACACAGAGGGGATTTATACCTGCAGCACAGTTAATGCAGGTCAGTTTAATAGAAATGAACTCTGCTACCCTCTGCTAACTGGATTATAAGTATCTCACAGTCCATTACTGGCATTTCTGTCTCGTCTCATTGATGAAAACTAAACTTGTATTTTTCAGGGTTTATTATTGTCAGTGATGTAATTTTAGCTCACTGTCTTCATCTGGTCATTTACAGTCATAACTGTTGTAGACTGATTTGATGTGTGATCAAATCATCGCAGGCATTGTGTTAACAGTAAATCTTTGTTTATGCTGGGTTGTGACCAATCACAATCAAGTATTTCACATCGCTGAGTAAATATGTTTTATCATCATTATGAGTTATGAACAGGAGAGGATCAAACCCAATGCCCAGAGGAACACCTTTAACAGTTACTGAAGTATAAAGTGGCCATGTCCTGAAATCACACACTGATCTGCTTTTACAATGGTATTATTAAACATAAGAACAAAAATGGAGGAGAGGGGGAGGTCTGAACTCAGGCCCGGACTACACATATGTAGATATTTATTTATCAGGATATTTTTGTACTCCTGTCTAAATAAATGTACCTGTCCACACTTGTTAGTTCTCAAAAATATCTGCGTCCACACGTAGTCTTCAAACTCAATCCTATCTGGTGCCGCTTAAAAAAAAATCAAAAACAAAGCTACCTTTTGGCCGATGAATCGTACATGCGTCATGTTTGCGGAAGCTACGCTAGTGCGTCGGGTCCATGTGACAGTGTGGCGGCTATAACAAAGCAGACGCGTCTGTGAGCTGGCTGACTGGTGAATGTAATTGTATAAAACAAGGTTCACTTGCAAGGCTGAAATTAACCCAAAAAGGGCAAAACAAACGTAAAGAATACCCTGTATGTCCGCCATTGTTGTTGTTGTTTTTCTTTTTAATTTGCCTGCGCGAGCTGCGGTTTGATGTCATCGATCCGTAAAAGTTCAACTACATGAATCCACTTCTACGGATATTTTTTTATTTCTCCACTTTTTTTTTTGATTCAGATTTATCCGGTTTGAGTGCTCCAAACTCCTGTTTTGGTGTGGTACGGAGGCCTAATCGGACATAAATATGTGCGGTTTGAAATATATCCGCATTTGTGTAGTTGGGGCCTAAGCTGTGGTTCTAAAACTTCACAACACCTGAGGAGCACTTTTGGACTCATTTTCGGTTATTCGAGTTTGTATTAGATCATCAAGACTCAAGCAAAGAGCTCACAGACAAATCAGACTGTCAAAACTGAAGGAAAATGTGGCCGATAGAAACTACATTTAGAAAGATGACAAACCACAGTAAACTGAAAAAAACAACCACATGATAAAAAAAAACCCAGCAGGATCAATTTGAGGGGGCCGGCCATACTGAGATCAATCCATACTGATCACATTTTAGAGTAAACCTTTGTTTTAGTATTTTATAGCAGTCTCTTTATAAAGGGCAGGTAGTAAACCAATCAGATTTGTTCTTGGCCCATTTCATATATTTAAGAACTTACATGTTCATTTTAAGTCTGGGGAGACACAAAGTCAGGCTCATATCCCACAGAACTAAAGATGACCTAGTGTGAACAGACAGAGGTGTTTTTGTCTGAGCCTTTTTCTTCGGTCTCATGTTATTTAGATTTGAACCTCTCTCAGTGGATAATCCTGCACACATTAGGTCCAGACCCTGTGTTAGGCCTGGTGAAAGCACGGGAAAGATCAGGACCTGGTCCTCACACACACTCTGCACTGCAGGTTTAGGGTCTGATCATTAATAAAGCATCAGCTCTTCTTGTCTTACTCATCAGTAATATAACTGTCCCACTCAGCGTCCCCTACAGGCCTGCAGCACTTTGGTTGTGAAGTCTTGGTTTACAGAGTTAGATTTGGAGTTCTTTAGTTTTTAATTTTGTAGACTTTCTTCAATTTGTAACCTTTGTATTTGCAGCTTGTTTTCAAGCGATGCAGTTGTTTTTAGTTTTACAGTACATTTCTTCATCACAACTAATCGTTTCCAGTTACGGCTCTTTTCAGTAGTTTTTAACTTGCCTCATTTGCATATTTGCAGCATGTTAATTGTCGATAAGTTTGTTGCAGCTGTTTTATTTTTTTGCAACATATTTCTTTATTTGCAGCATTTCTTTTTTGAAGCTGCTTTTTTAAGTGCTCTTGACTTTGCATATTTGTCTATTTGCAGCCAATCGCCAATGATAGGCCCTTCAGTTGTTCGGAGGTTTTACTGCAAATGTCTCCATTTGCAGCTTTTATCATTTTCAGTGTTTTTTCTAATTTTGTGAGTTTTTGATGCTTTGTGTATCTACAGCACATTTGTGTCCAGTGAGGCTAATGCAGTTGTCTTGGCTTTTTGCAGCATCTTTATTTGTAGTGTGTTGCAGTTGCTGCTTTTGCGATGTGTGAACGTGTTGTTGGAGTTGCATGGTTTCTGCTTTTGCAGCAAGTCTGCAAATCATTCCAGCTGTTGCAGATCATCTGCTCGGTTTGACCACTGTAGTTTTTTCTTGCAGACTGAATCCAGAGAGCATGAGGATGAGGAGCAATGGATGTATGTCGGAGCAAAATGAATCATACAGTCAACAAAGTGACAAACACATTTCAATCCTGGTTTTAAATCCTGCTAAGGGAACCTTGATTATGAGGGGGGTCAAAATTGATCTCATAGCCACTAATTCCTATCGCTGTGTTAAAATACCCTTCCTGATATGCAGACTGTTAATTTATTATTCATCATATTCCTGAAATGCAGAATAGTAATTTGAAAATTCAGTTTGTCTTGACTTTTGAGACACGTCTGAACTCAAATGTCAAAGTTCATCATCTCAGATAATTTTACCTCAGAAAATCAGAGCCTAGGAAGTTTTTTAAAACCTTTGTTTCCAGTTAATTTACTTTACCAGAGCAATAAAACAGTGATTTTATTTGAAAAGAACATTTTGAAATAGGTGAGCACAGTGTACTTTGCACTGAGACAACAGAGAGAAATAAGAGAGAATAAAACCATGGAACAGTGGAGAATGTAATTAAAATAATAATAATAAAAATAAATAAATAAATGAAGCAAACAGCTAGATGACATCAGATACTCCAAAATGCGACAAAAACAAAGAAAGCAAATTTGAACAACCCAGGAGTCATCATTTTTACACCCTCACAGACCGGACTGTGACTGATTAATAATGATGGTGTAGGTCTTTGGAGGAGCTGTCTGAATCATTATTGTGCAGAATGTGAATGCTGTAAGTATAATATTAAAACAATATTTTTCAAAAATGACCACATCGCAGCTTTGGCTTGTGATTCCCACCCAACAACATAAAAGAACAGCGTGAAAACCTACACCTAAATAGCCCAAAGAATCAACTCAATAAACTTTATAATAATAGTTTATCATTGTATTTTTTTCTATTTGCTTAATGTGCTAAAAAAAATTAAAGGAATAAACATAAACTAATTGATCAGGAAATTTAACATTTGAAGCTGGATTATCAAATCAACAATTCTTTTAAAAAAGGTCCTTCAAGATCCTGGATTTGAAACATAAAATCATCCAATAAAAGATAAAAACCTGAACATTTTTCAGACAGTTTATTGAGCAGCTCCTCGGCAGTGTCATGTTGATAAAAAGAAAGTCTTTTTAAAAGGGCTGTCTGTGTCTGTACTAAAGCAGAAATATGATCATTGATCTACCTTATCATATAAACAGCCTCCCCATAAAAACACACTGATGTGCAATTAATGCACTTTTACATCAGCTGATCAACGTGAGAGAACTTTTTATACCATAGAGTAGTAGAACATGAAAGTTTTGACTCACTAATAGTCATATATTGTACCAGAAGCTGTTACAGTTGTGGACCAAAGTAGGGTGACCATATTCTGCGTGTGCAACATTTTGAGGGTTTTTTGGTCGGGTCGAGTGTTTTTTACGTGCTTCTAACTCAGTTACATGCATATTCTGAATTACCAAAAAGACACTTAATCAGACCTCTTGGAGATACTGAAAAATACTCACACAAAGTTGCATTTACAACTTATATAACAATTTATCTAAAGCATTTCTTCTCGACAAAATTATCAGTCATAAATCAGTTACAAATATTTCTCCCTTTTTCTTTCGCTCACCAGCAGACAGTGTATGGGTGTGCCTTGTCTGAGCGGAGGAGCAGAGCAGCAGAAAGCGCTGATGTACTCTTTTACGATGAATTAATACATGCTCCAGGGTTTGGCGTCTCAGAGTGTGTTTCCACATGAACCATTGAACGTGTATGGTGAATACAATGGTCTGGGATGCGAAGACAAAGCACACACTACACAAACTCAAAACTATGAAAGTCTATTTCCACCAGTGAAAAAGAACGGGCTTTCATACAAAACCCCAGATTTTAAGGATTTATAAACTCCACCCCGTACAGGCCGGATGGCCCCCTAAAAGAGGACATGTCAGGGTAAAAGAGAATGTATAGTCAACCTACCAAAAGTTTGTTTAGTATAAATGAGACTACAAATAGATAGATAGATAGATAGATAGATAGATAGATAGATAGATAGATAGATAGATAGATAGATAGATAGATAGATAGATAGATAGATAGATAGATAGATAGATAGATAGATAGATAGATAGATAAGACACAAAGAGAGATGTCAGCATTTAAGAAGAACAGATGAGTAGCATCTGGATGAAAACACATGAATGTTGGTACATGTGTCAGAAAAATAGAGTTTAGATGTAGAGTATCTTTATTTGGCTGATTGAAACATCCATCTACTCGTGTTCACTTGCACATTTTAAGGAGAGTCAGTCAAAATAACTTCACACGGAGGATGACAGTTTTAAACTGTGTGTTTAAAAGAGACTCACCATCCAATCATGTGTTTTATTTTCCTGCTTAATATGTAAATATTTCAATTTATCAGGGATTCAAAGAAACATTACAGACATAGACCTGAGATTTAACACTGACGCTATCCTGCACCCAGAGATAAAAAGACGCTCAGAGGCAGCACTAACCTCTGCTAACTCAGTCTATTACAGGAACTTTTACTCATCTTTGACAGTCTTCTGTGCAGCCTAAAGGATGAGTACAGTCCAGAGAAAGTGGTGATGCTTTACTTTGAAAAACCCAAAGTCTGTGGCTCCGTGTTACTATTTGTGTTGGTACAATGTAAAATGTACTCATCATATTATACTTCATTTATTTACTTCTACGTTTTAAGTATAGTTCGATCAGTTTACATGAATTTTAGCTGCCTCAAAGTCTTTTTTTTTCCAGCAAACAGATTTACAGAAAATTCAGTTTGAAGTTTTACCAACAAGACAAAGTCAGATATACAGGACTTTGAAAAACGAGGAAACACAAACTTCTGTCTGTAGTTTGTCGGCTGAATATTCATGTGAAGGTTTTGACTTTGTTACTCAAACACACACGCGGGAAAATGTGTCTCATAAAGACGATGTGGGTGCGACAGTTTTCACATCCTCTAAAATAAAGACGCCGTACAGATGGAAAAAAAGAAAAGGGACTGAATAAACCAACACACACAGTGCTCTGAAAAACGTTACACCTCTACAACTCCTTTTAGCATCCAAAAGAGCTTCATTAGGTCACCTGGTCGGTCTTAAGTTGAGGCTCAGGTCCGAAAATGATCCAGCTTTTTCTGTTCAAACCCCCAGACTTTGGAAAGACCCTCCTGAGGAGATTCAGTGACCCTCTTTTTAAAAATGACTTTTTCTTCAGTAATTTCACAGTTCAACCGTTTTCATTTTGACTTAATTGATTTACTTTATTTCAAACTTTATTAACAAGAGCACTCCTGATCTATATCATCCTCCATCACTGTTATTATTGACTTATTCATTCACTCAGTTTTTCACAGCCATTTGCCTTTTATCTGTTTTTATTCTGATGTGATTTTACCTTTTTCACTTTTCCTCATATCTTTTTCATTGTCTTTTGATGCTTTTATTCTGCTTTGTCTGCCAAACTCTGTGTAACTCTGTTTTTAAAGGAGCTATATACATCAAGTATTCCTTTTTTTTTTTTTTAAACTACACACTCTTACACACTGGGCATTAAAACAAAACAAAAGAAAACAAACAAACAGAAAAAAAAAGAAATCAAATAATGTGAACAGCTTTGAAAATAGATTGAAAAAAATCATACAGGAGAGAAACACCAAGTCATCTAGTATAAAGAAAATAGAAAATAACATTGAGACTTGATGTCATTTTTAGTTTATAAACTTTATTTCTACGTTCAGATATCACAGTAATCAAACACACCGACACACATACATACAAACACATATACATATACACACACATGTAAATGAACATAAATCCTTATCATCAGCTCTGTGTGCAGTCTTTTTAACGGACTGTCTCAGCTAATGCGAGGCACTCTGCTTTTCTCAATGTTCTCTGTTTTTCTGCCTTTTTTTTTTGCTTTCTCTGCTCTTTGTCAGGTGACGATAACTCATCGATAAACCAAGTCCAATGTTTTCTCCTGAACAAACATTTAAAAATCTGGACTAATGCTGTTTGTTCAGACTTTTAATACACGTTAGTGAGCAGCAGTCTTCCACTATGAAACTGATAAATTGCTGTTTTTAGATTCTGCAGGATAGTTTTGTTTTTTATTTTCTAATTGTTTTACCATGAGCGTAAAGAGGTTTTAAAAGCAGAGACCGTTTTGATGGAGTTTTCAAAGAGGGACCACAGTAATAAAGATCCCTCACTGGACTGAGAGCTGATCCTAAAATTACTTTTTCTCTTTGAGAGAAATGAGTTAAAAGCAGCAACAGAGAGAGAGAATAAAACAAAGATAGAAAGAGAATGGGGAAGGGAGTGAGTCTTTATGAGAGTCAAGGCTTGGAGTGGTTAATCAGGAGAACCAGGACTTTTCCTAGTGGGCCGGGCTGATTGTATGGCCACCAGGACCAGTTAACAATGACTCAAACAGGCTGCATTAGTGAAGGGACGGTTTTCCCTTGACAGTAAATTCCTCCCACAGCCAAACAGTCGGCCAACATTTACTTACAGGGTTTTAGGTGAAGAGCAAGGTTGAAAAAAAAAAGCGTAGAAAGCGACCCTGGAGCAGCAACAGAGTTAAGTGTAGTCAGTCTGTGATTATTTGACGTTAATCAGACTACTTTTCAAGAGCTGCCTGAGGTCCTTTTCCAAAATATTTACAACACCAAGACAATTTTTCTTCACTTGCTGATTTTTCTGCAAATAGATATTAAAAAAAAGTGTCACGGGGCAGAGTTTAAGCTCTGTGAACATTATTTGAAGTTTCTGATGATCAGACTTAAGAAAATTAGTACCCTGAAAAAGTATTCTTATGATAATAATAATAATTCAAATTTATCAGTAAAAAGTTCATAACAAATACATTTTAATATTTCTGAGAGACCTGAATAAAAGTGAGAAGCAGAGAGAGAGAGAGAGAGAAATCCTCAGAAGAGGATGGATAATTGAAATCTGATCAAACTGATCTGAACAAACGGATAAAAAAAAATTAAAGAAATAAAGATTTAGATTAAGAGATTTAGTCTTTATGAGATATAAGCTGTGTGTGTGTGTGTGTATGTTAGAGTGGGTACGTGCGTGCATGCAGGTGTATGACTTCCTGTAAAGTTGAGGGTTTTAATTTTTCGCCGTAAACTGAAACTAAACGAGTTTTTATGAGACATACAGAGAAATGCAGATTATCTATGAAACACTCACACACATTAAAAAACACACTTCAAACACACACACACACACACACACACATACAGTGCTGACGGGAACCGGCCACACATTCCTACTGTATATTGTTTTCAGTGGGAATTTTTCTGAGTTAGTCACCTTAAAAACAATTCATCAGAACATGAGACAATGATTGTCCGACTGACATATTTAATCTGATTTATTCAGACATGAAAAGTTTTCACTCCACACCCTCTCTAATCGTAGCATTGTTATTCTTTCATAATTGTGTTTGTTTCATAAAAAACATAATCATCTGGAGAGAAGGAAACCTGAAATGTAACTCTTTGATTATGAATCTGTTCAGTGAAAATAGACTGAAATGCCGCCCCTGCTCACAGTGTTTTTATTAATATTGTTATTATTATTAACATGATCCCTGTCTTTTTCTGCAGCCACTCACTGAAAAGTGAAAAGCGCATTATTATACATGATGATAATATTTCATAATCCTGTGTGCTGATCTCTGCATATGCAGTTTGAAATTTTCTTTTTCAAGTTTCTGTGTTAACTGATAAAAATCTTTAAGCAGAGTGTCACAAGCACTGCTGCGCAGAAACCCATCAAGTTCCCCCTTTATTCTTAAAAAAAAAAAAAAAAAACTCAGACTAAAATGGAGTGGAATCCGATCAAAACAACCTTCTTTTTTTATTATTTTATATTTTATATTTTATGTTTTAGTTTTAGCGTTAAATAAAAAACCTGTTTGAGTTTTTCCAGTAATGGCAAAAATATCTTTATGTTTTTTTTTTATATGTTTTATTGACTGACGATCTGTCAGTTCAGATTCTAAAAACATTATCAGAAAAAATATATTATTAACTAAAGTAACTTATCATCATCTAAAAACATAAATAATGAGCAGGGTATTTAAAAACACTTGTTCTCCTGTTAGAATTTTTAAAACAATTTGAGACATTTTTCTTTTTCTTTACAGTTTAAAGCTTAAAGTTAACAGACAATAATAATCAGACAGAGATAAGAGTTTAAAAATCATTTCTATAAACATAAAACACAATTTATCTGTTTGTGTATAAAAATAAAAATAAGCGTCGGTGAATATTAATGGATTTACAGTCTGAGGATCCTGCAGTGTTTAATTTGTTTATTTTCCTAAAAGATTTATTAAAGGTTTCTCTGCTCAGATTAAACCGCATTTATTTTAATAAATTAATCCAGAAAATAGAACTTATCACACACTGTAAAAATACAGTCCTTCCTCACAGGTCAGGATTCTCTTATTTTTGTTAACACTGCTGTAAAATCATCAAAATATTCTGTGTTTGCAGAAATTATATTTGAGTTTCATTAAAATATCAGTCAGGTCTCTGTGTATTATTCCTTAGTGACACAGACAGATAATTAAACGTTTGAAGATTAAACAGTCTTTGTTGAGTTTGGTGCTGCTGAGTTAAAGAGGTGAGGGCTTCATAGACACCGAAGATGAAAATTCACAGTGTCCTCTTTAAAGTTTACACACATTCAAGTCTGGAAATTGATCAGGCTTAAAGCTTTCAGTGAGCGGGGAAGGAGATATTAATAATCTTTATATCATTATATTATAATGATTTATTATAGACTGGGATGACTTTACTTACATGGTCTCACAACTGTGATGTTGTGTAGGCAAGTTGTTTTCCAAGCGCTTAAACCTCAGTTTGCTAAAAATCAAGTTAATCTTAATGACTGCCAGGAAAGTTAAGTTGGTTTCCCAGCAATACTAATAATAACTTTATTATTAAGACAGATTTAAAAACACCCACCAACACACAATAACAGCGTAACAAGAAGAGGATAGACTGGCACTTTAGTCTCTGCGCAGATTAAATGTGTTTAAAAAAATCACAAAAGAACAAAGAGAGTACTCACACTGTTTAAATATGATTGTTTTTTGCAATTAAAGAAGGTTTAAACAAGGTTTAAAATTTTAGCATATATATATATATATATATATATATATATATATATATATATATACTAAAAATTTAAACCTTGTTTAAACCTTGTATATAGAGCTGCAGACTGATGCTGTGAATTTGGTGCCGCCGTGTGAATACATCAGATGTGAAGTGAAACCGGTTTGTGGTGATGACAGAAACAAAGACATGATGCTCAGAAACAAACTGAGACACTCACAGAGTCTCAGAGTCTGAGTCTCTGCCTTGCAGCTACATCTTTGTTAGGTTATAGATGGATGATACTCAGTGAGTAGGTGTTTATGCAGATCAGTGTCCTGACTCGGTGAGCAGGACAGTCCTGTGAAGGCAGATGACTGTGAACAAGCTGTGATGATGTAATGACTTTACTCTGGACGGAGGTCAGATCATCAAAACCTCCTTACATGTTCATAGTCTCTGATTAAACCTCAGCTCAGAATCATCCGCTTTACTTGACATTTGTATCAATCGTTTTTTTTTTTCTTTCTATTTTAATAAAGACAGATTTGCTGAACAGAGATTCAGAACCCTAGTACATTTATTACTAAGTCTGGTGGTTTTGTTTCTCATTTTTTATTATTACTTTATATTTAGGTTTTCTGTTAAATGCCAAAAACAACAATAACGTGGTATCAGTGTTATACATCAGTCCAAAGTAGATATGATGCTCAGACGTGTCTAAAGTTAGAATGCAGTAGATAAAGCACATTTTAAATAAAGCATCTTTTGTATTTGTTGGAGTATGATAGTTTCTACTTCACTGAAATTTCATCCAAGTTAATGACCTTTTCCACTTTTAATCGCAGGGCTTTTCATTCTTGTGGCCACAACAACTGACAGTTAACTAACACCCACCACACACCGAACAGGGGCAAATTTTTTTTTATTTCGTGTAATTCTCAGACAGCTCTGCACCACATGGAGAGTAAATGTTTAAACATCAAGAGGATGTAATAAAGGAAAAAACATGCAAACATTTCAGTGTACCTGAGACTTCTGCTGCACCTCTGCTGTCTGCATGCTGACACTTAATGCGGTTGGGCAGATGCATGCAGTGATACACTGATACCCGTACACTGTGTAACACCAGGCCGACAAAGCACACCACAGCAATTTACTACAGGAGACATCAGCCTTACTGCTGCAAAGTATATTTACTGACGTATTAGTCAGACAAAGCTTTTTGATATGTAGGGGTGTCCTGATACAACTTTTTTTTTACTTCCAATACAATACCAATATTGTAGCCTTCTGTATTGGCCGATACCAATATTGATCCAATAATGGCACAAACTTGTTCATGGCAAGTTTTGCACTCAGCTGCAACATCATTTTCGACTTAAATGAAAAATATTGCCCCACGGCCGACATCACTCGTACTCCTTGCTACTTTTTTTGTACCTTAGTACACACTGTTGTTGTGATTACGTGGGCTCTGCATGCTGGATCAAGGCGCTGCTAGATAGAGGTGCCAGAGCAGAGTCTGTAATGGACAGCTTGTTATCTGAGTGCAGATATCAAAGATTCTAGATACAGGCTGATATGATCTGATATTAATTTTTTTGCTGATATTGAACCGATATCCGATATCAATATCGGATCAGGACACCCCTATTGACAAGCAGTCAGTGGGAGGATTTTACCATTTTTAATTATTTATTATAACAAAAGGCTTAATATCTTGCTTTCCCTGACACACAAACAATAAAGAGCAGATCTAAGTTTTTATGAGGAAAAATAAATTATGTTTCTTATAAACAGGGATTTAAACAGAGCAATTGAAAACTTACTCTAAACAGAGGTTTTTTTAAAAGGAGTTAAGAATAACCGTTTTGTCAGCACTAAACCCTGAGATTGTCTAAGGGGCTTCTTTACACAATCTGCATCTCAGGTCCTGCCTTGTGTGGTAGATCCCGGCCTCTGTTGATCCTGTGTTGAGGGCCTGGTCTTGTGCAGCCAGGATCAGCGTCTCTGTGCTGTCCATCAGTCCAGCCTTTTCCAGTCATTGGTATGTTCTCCTGATGTCTGCCACTTCTTCAATTTGACGGTGGTACATGCTGTGCAAGGGCTTGTCTTCCCATGATAGCCCCTCCGGTTACTCCTCCTTACCGGGCTTCTGTTGCCTGAGGCACTTACTTAGCAGTTTATCCCTAGTAACCGTCCTCCTGATGTAATAATAATAGTAATAATAATAATAATAATAATAATAATAATAATAATAATAATGCATACAATTTTTTATAGCAATTCATCAGAGACCCTCAAAGCGCTACTCCTACTCTTCATGGCCGGCTGTCTCCTCTTGGATAGTGTTTTTGATGCTCACTAGTCCTCGGCCTCCCCCGTTTGGCAGAGTGTACAGCCTCAGGATGCTGTATACTAGTTGTGGTACAAATAGAAAGTCTTACAATAGAACACTTGTTGTCATGAAGTTCTGTCTGTCTTGGGTGAGTTATGCGCATATGCGCTGGGCATGTATGCAATGGAATAGAGGGCCACTTTCAACCACAATGTTTGCTACAGGGCCTGTGTTAGAGTGAGCATCGAAACATACACTACAGGCCAAAAGTTTGTATATATATATATATATATATATAAATATATATATACATATGCAGTATACACACACACACACACACACACACACACACACACACACACACACACACACACACACACACACACAATGTCAACAACATCCTGCCCTCCCTCCCAGCAGTCAGCTCACTGTAACCTTCAGTTTTTTTAAGAGCTAAGTCATGATTTACATCAATTTGATCAGCACAGTGATGGACTGTTTTTGTATTGTGTTTGTATGTGTGTGTCTCCTAGAATCACAACAAAAACCAGGGCTTTCCCTCAATGGGAACATAACCACCACCCCTCAACCCAACAACATCAGTAAGGAATGTGGCTGTCCCGGTCCTCCCCCAACCTCCTCCACCACCTGTCCCTCCCCTACCCCTTCCTTACCCTCTCTGGGCCTCCTCTCCATCAGTTGGGTGGATGACTGTAAGGGTAAGGTAGTCCTGTCCCTTCATCCCCCCTCCTTCCCTCCCTCCTCCCCTGTCTGTCACAGCAGTCTCCCCCTCATTCAGAAACTGCTGAGCTCGCCATGTGAGAGCCAGAGGGGATGTGAGGGATCACCAGACTGGGGGTGGAGCCAGAATAAGCAGGAGGGTTATGACATCACAGAAAATGGAGAGATGAAGGAGAAGAGCTGTGAGAGTCTGATGTTACAGTGTACACGTAAGTTAAAAACACACGCAAGCACACTAAAAACACATAGGGGAGACCTGGCCACTTTTTACACTCTTGTATATTTCTTGGTATAAATACATCATATACAAACAAAATGTGTACCAGATGAAAGACCAAAGTCTCAGATATATATTTCATATTCATGTCATTTTCATATCTTGTGTCAGTGCAGAGTTATAAGCAAGCAAATAAAGAGTGTGAACATGTGACAAGTTGCCCCACCATCAGCTAAGTTGTCTAACTACATGGGGTAAACTGGATTTTGCAGCTAATAAAACAAGGACAAAATTTTTGTTGTTCTCATTGTTTTACATGAAAGTGAACATCAACGTCAGGCACAGAAAATGTTTATCATTGAGCTAGAAAAAGTCATTAAACAAACGTTAATATAAAATATAATGCAACATGCTCTGGAGTTTGGAGAGCTGTCTGACTCTTTATTTTGGCTGGGGTGAATGGTTTGCAGTACCGAGCCAAGGTATGGTAGTTGACACTAAAGTCCTTTATTGTAGCCAGATTGATTTATTAGCTAGGGTCACCTGTCTGACTGCCCTCAGCATCACATCAGGTACTGCACTGCCATGTTCTGTTTTTCTTTTGAAATTCTTGACCATGTCTTCTCGCTTTCTCCTCTCCTTGCCAGCGGCATGGCACTGACGAGCTGCAAGTCAGGTCTAACAAGTCAATAATAATAATAATATTAATAATACATTTTATTTATAACATTTTTATTTATAGGCGCCTTTCTAAGCACCATAGGTCACTTTAAAAAAGTAAGAACAGCAGCATAAAACAACAAGATAAAAAGCAATAGAGTTAAAAAATATGACGGCCGATGAGGTGTGCCCAAGCACACTTTGATGAGTGGCTTGGCGTATCTCGGTACACCTCAGTCTATGAAATTTGCAAACTGGCTGTGCGCCGGGCTGCACTGCACTAAAATAACACTGTGCAGAGCGCGCCACCCTGTGCTGTCCCGCTGGCAGATGACTTAAACTTCAGTCTAAATAAAGTTTTTAATTCAATCCAAAAAAAGAGTTTACTGAAATGTTTTAAAAACTGTGAGTCAATACATTTTTACGGATAGTAACACCACATCATGAAAAATTATTCCAGAAAATTTTGATGTTTAATGTTTTAATGTTTAACATTTACAATACGTGGGCGTGTGTGTGTGTGTGTGTGTGTGTGTGTGTGTGCGTGTGCGCGCGCGCGCATGTGTAGCTCAGACAGATGAGCAGGCTGAGCTTCAGGCCTACAAAGTGGTGACAGCTCTGCTATGCTGTGTGCTGATTGTCCTGCTCTTGATCCGCTTCACCAGACCAACAATCAAAGCCCTGCAGAGCCGACGTAAGGACTCGCACACACACACACACACACACACACACACACACACACACACACACACACACACACACACACACACACACACACACAGGTTTACAGTCAGTCTGTACTTCCTGACCTGGATATCAGCTAGTTTCAGATTAAGACTCCTCAGATTAAAGATTATTGGACAGAATAAATCATCCATTATTAAATCAAATCTTTAAGAAGCATCAGGAGTCCATCACAGCTGGGGGTCTGGCCCCCCCACTGTCAGCCTGAAGGGGGCAGGTTATAGGTCATCTACTGCTGGTTTCTGTCAGTGATCTGCCACCGACTTAAAACCAGTTTAGTCAGATTTAAATTCGATATTATTCATCACAAACATTTGTCCTGTTTCTGCTGTTAAAATGGACACATTAACATGGGGCTCTATGGGGACTGACTCACTGCAGGGAACAGCCTCTAGTGGACACTCAGCGTACAGCAGTTTTCCAGGACTTCATTTCTCAGCCTTGCTCTAATTTTGCCCTCACTTTGCTGTAAAAATTACGAGACTTAACTTCAGAATATTTTGTGCTGTCATCTAAATTTTTTTAATTGTCTAAAAACCTCACCAGCATCACTTTCTCTAACAAGAGCAAAAGTACAGACAGCTACAAAACAAAGTGTGATGACCAAGGCTGTTGACATGCTTGTTTCTGCTGTGAAGTTGGATGTTTTAACAAAAGGCTGTAGAACTTTAGTGTTTTGCTTATTAATAAACATTTGAGGATTTTGCTTTTGTCAAACTTCAACATGATAACTAATAATTCATATGCATGTCATTCCACCTCTCTCTTTTCATGATGACTTTCTCTTTATTTTGTTCAGTTTCTGACCGGAGACAAAATCGCTGGGTTGGACCAACACAGAGTCATAGTGGTAAGACACACACATACACACACACACACACACATTGAATAAACTCACATTCATATTTTGTGTTTCTTTTTCAGTGTCGTACCATCGAGGAAAAGGAGTTGTTCAAAACCAAGACAGAGAGAAGAGGCTGTCGTACCCCGGTAACTCCATTTCGTATATACACAAGCACACAGACTGACATTGCATGTAATTTTTACCTCACAAATGAGGCAGCTGAAAAAAGGGATATAATGATACCACTGTCATGAAAACATGCAAATAAAATGAAACAAATTTTCAATTTTCTTAAAATAAGAAAATGTCTTTTTCAAGAGTCTTGGCGGATAAACCTTCATAATTTATAGGTAGTTATTATTTCACTTCTCAAGTGACTCATCAAGTGACTTTTCTTGACTTGTTACAAAAATAGGGTTTAAATGAGGCCTTTGAAGACATTTTTAACTAAAAAAATTACAAACACACTGACTGACTGAAACTGAGGTTTTCCAGTATGATTACTATGGGGTGCAGTTTGTAAAGCAGCCCATTATAAAAACAACAGCAAGATTTGGTCACATTTAGCAAAACAACAGCAAGATTTAGTCACATTTAGCTTCAAACAGCATTTAAAAAAGTGATGTGAATTTTCGGCAGTCATTTTTTTGCGCATTTACAACAACATTTAAGTACTAAAACTAAATGTTAAATGTTAAATCTAAATGTTAAATCTAAATCTAAATGTTAAATCTAAATCTAAATGTTAAATCTTAATCTAAATGTTAAATCTAAACCTAAATGTTAAATCTAAATCTAAATGTTAAATCTAAATGTTAAATCTAAATGTGTTGGGCGAAACTAAATATTTAGCTAATATGCAAATTCACGGTCGGAAACCGGAAGTGCCAAAATAAAAGCTCCAGAAGGTCATATTGATGATTCTTGTGTCGAAGAAAACGAATTAAAACCAATTTAAGGGGGGAACAAATACTTGGGGTGACGTTTCGTGTTAATAACTACCTACAATAGCGACAGCAACAACAAAAACTTTATTAGAAAGTCTCGAGTTTTCAGTGTCGCTTCTCCGTATGGCGCGGACACTGTACGAATCATAGACTGTATATAAGATACATATATATAGTCTATACATATATACTTATATACAGTGTATGGTTTCGAACCCCGGCTTCCTGCGTCCCAGTCGTCCGCGTTACCCGTATGGCCAAAGCACTTCATGAATATATAAGGTGCCATGGAGTAGTATGACGTGTGCGCCTGCATGTGTGTGTGCGTGTGTTCGTACAGTGTCCGCGCCATACGGAGAAGCGACACTGAAAACTCGAGTCTTTCTAATAAAGTTTTTGTTGTTGCTGTCGCTATTGTAGGTAGTTATTAACACGAAACGTCACCCCAAGTATTTGTTCCCCCCTTAAATTGGTTTTAATTCGTTTTCTTCGACACAAGAATCATCAATATGACCTTCTGGAGCTTTTATTTTGGCACTTCCGGTTTGGACCGTGAATTTGCATATTAGCTAAATATTTAGTTTCGCCCAACACATTTAGATTTAACATTTAGATTTAACATTTAGATTTAGATTTAACATTTAGATTTAGATTTAGATTTAACATTTAGATTTAGATTTAACATTTAGATTTAACATTTAACATTTAGTTTTAGTATTTAAATGTTGTTGTAAATGCGCAAAAAAATGACTGCCGAAAATTCACATCACTTTTTTAAATGCTGTTTGAAGCTAAATGTGACTAAATCTTGCTGTTGTTTTGCTAAATGTGACCAAATCTTGCTGTTGTTTTTACAATGGGCTGCTTTACAAACGGCACCCCATAGATTACATGGTAATGTTTGAATCTAAAAGTTATCATGTTATCACTGACAGTCCTAAAGTTAAACAAATATTGTTCCTGTTTTTATTATCAGCTCTGGAGCGTCTGACCGTCAACGACAGCAGAGAGCCTTCATCCAACAGGAACAGTGACTATAACTACTGAGCATCACCATCATCATCAAAACCTTTGTGAAGACATGTTTTTATTTGTAGATATTTCTGGATAAAACTTTTGTGCAGGATGAGGATAAAAACTAATAATAAAACATTTAAAGGATCATGTAAAAGTAACAGATCTTCGATTTCTCCCTCTGCTTGGACATATAGTTAATATCACTATTACTCTGTAAGAATGACTATGAACTCCAGTTATCTTTGCTCTGTTTTGATGTTCACAAAAATATCCTTTTCTAATCTGAGAGAAGCTGTACAAACCTATGACATTGCAATAAAACATGCTTTTACCAAAGAAACATGTTAATCAGTCATTACTGAGCATACTGCACACTAAGGCTTAAAATATTACCTCATCATTAACAATTCACATTAACCACATCATCAGGGTATTTATGAAAGCATATAAATAAATAAAAATGAAAAATAAAAAAAAGACAAGAGTGTTCATAAACTTTATAACCAACACAACAAGGCTCCAGCCATCATCCATTTCATGGATGTTAAAGGATGTTAAAATTTAGGATTAATACACATCACCAGCCCCAAGACAACACTACTTTAAATAAATTCAAATTCATTATGTCAGTTGAATAAAGTTATGTTATCAGAATAAAGTCATCATGTTATTAGAATGAAGTTTGATGTTATTCAAAAGTCATTATGCTTTTCATCATTTACAACAAAAAATGTAAAGTTACAATATTTGGTGTCCATGAAATTTCAAGGTAGACGTTTTTTGTCATAATCCTAAAAAAAAGATGCAAACTGCTAAAATCTCAGACAAATGCGGGAAAATTTAGAGACCACAGTCTATGTGCGAGATTCACTAAAATATTCAGACTTTAAACTTATAACCTCTATCAGCAGTGTGATTTTCTCAATACCATAGAACCGCAGTTGGCCCACCAAACATGAAAGCTGGCCCGTGAAATTGTTTCTGATAATGGGACAGCTAGTTCTACAAGGATGATCTTCTTTGCCTGCTCTGACCAGATAACTATGTCTGACTTCAAGGCCAATGGGAGGGAGTCAGCTTTCTTCCCAGGTCAACTTTCATCTCCCATCCTTGTGCCCTCTGAAGGATGTTGGTTCAGGTTTTCGTTTCAGAGGAGGACTGCTCCCCTACCCAGGTGGACTGCAACTGTGATGCTTGAAGTTTGTGTGGTCGTAGTCTTTTCCTGGCCTGCTCCAGGATGTCTGCCATCGCACTGAGGACCTGGTCATGCTGCCACCTGTTTCTCCCTTGGGTCAGGGATGTTTGACACCCAGCTAGGATGTGGGAAAGTGTGCCTCTGTGTCCACACTTGTTTGCAGAGTTTCTTGTGTGTGGGAAGGGGCAGCCCTTAACAGTATAATTCTGAAGGTATCTGAATAAACAGAGTTTTTAAAAAGGCTTCAAAACTAAATATTTACTTGGAGAAACAAGCTCTTGCATTGTTTTTTGATTCACAATAAATTTTTGAATGTCACTTGTTAAAAGTGTTGAATCATTTCTCAGAGGGATGCTACAGCTAACCCGCTAGCAGCTGCTACTTTTTCTTTGTCTCTCCTCTGTTTTATGACATGACAGCCAGAACTGACAGTGTTTCCATATGCCTATTTTCAACATGTCATGAATCTTTGAATTTCTTTAAAAAGACAATTTTCATAAATTCCAGTACACTGTGACTTCTGCTGCCCCCTAACTGCTGTTTTAAGAGCCACATGCTAGCTTAGAAATAGCTGCTAGGTTCAGTGCATCATACAGAGCCTCAGAGAGTTCAGGTGTTTTAAGCTGCTCAGTCTAAATAAAGGATCTGAATTAAACCTGGTCTGTTCTCTCTGTAGCTGCTGAAAGGAAAGGAGAGATTTTAGAAGAAGGAGGAAGGAGAAGTAGGAGGAAATGGTGAGATGAAGGCGGTTTCGTAGTGCAGATGTGTGGTTTCCTTTGCTGCCTTCCCTAACTTCCTGTTAGTGTTATTTCTGTCGTTCACTGCACATCTATTCCTCTACTCTTTCACTCCTCCTCTCTCCTTGAGAGAGGAGGAGTGAATAACCAACACAACAATAACCAACACTCACTTTCCCCCTACCTCCTTTTTCTTTCCTCACAGTGACAACAAACAACCTGACTGCAGCGCTGCTGTTTTTCAAACTGTTTATCCATAGGTGTACTGCTTTAATCTGATTATCCACCTGTAGAGGGCAGCACTGTTCATTATTCACAGAGAAAAAATCCAAACCACTGACCTAAAAATGAGCTTTCACCAACTGGAGACTCATCTATGTCCCAAAATAACTGGACCGACACACTCACGCACACACACACACACACACACACACTAGGTTTGCATGTGTGTGTGTGTGTGTGTGTGTGTGTGTGTGTGTGTGTGTGTGAGTGAGTGGGTGTATTGTGCCTCATCCTCTCTGCTCAGGTCACAGTATGAGATGATAATCTGGCCCGGTTGCACACAGAAACAATGACAGCTGACTGCAGATTACAGAGCCGGATTATCAAGGGAGCGGGGGAAGAGGGGGAGGAAATATGGATGAGTATGAGACATAAATGGGCCGATGAAGATGTTTTAGAGATAAATACAAAACAGGCAGAGTGGGCAGGATGTGGCTCCAGAGAAGGGAAATGTTCAAAAAATTAATTTGCATGGAGTAAAACTGTGGTGTGAAACAATCTTGTTGCAGCAGTCTACTTTTTTTTTAAACATAAAAATGAAAACTTACTGAACAAAAAAATGGTGCATTTTAAAGTTTAACCTTATCAAAAAGGAGTATAGCTTAAGTACATTTTATGAAGTATACTGAAGTTCGTTTTAATTTACTTCCCAAAGTATACTTTGTACACTAAAACAAATATACTACTTGTTTACTCACGAGTTAACCTGTTGGGACTTAATTGGCCCTAAATTTTTGTTTATAAAAGTACACTTAAAGCATACTTGAAAGTGAACTTGGTATACCATTAGCTTACTAAAAATAAACATCCTGTCCCCTTTTTAGTTTATGAAAGTACACTTTGAAGCATACCTTTCTCTTTTTTTGGGAGGGTGGGGCTTTTGCCTTCAATGGATGGGACAGAGTGGAAATGTGGGAGACAAAGAGAGAGGGAGGAATGACATGCAGCAAAGGGTTGGGGTTAAAATCAAACCTGTGACCACTGCAGGAACCAAGGTCCCCAACATCAAGCATGCCTTAACCCACTCGGGTATCTGCACCCCCACTGTGAAACATATTTAAAATTACCTTTTTGGGATGCTATTATTTCAATAGTAGTACAAGTATACCTTAAGTATATCTTGATCAAAAGTTTAAGAATAAGTTAAATGTATGCAGACATTTAGTATAATTCTTATTACAAGCCAAGTTAAGTTTGTTATGTGAATCTCTAAAAGGTGCACAAAAAGTAAACTGGAAGCATACTTAGTTTAAACACAGTATATTCCTGAAATACACTTAAACATACTTCTTCTTGGTAAGGGTTGGGAACCAGTAAGGATACTCTAGCTGGTTGTTAGACTGAAATAAATGATGATATGATCAACCACATCAACTATAAAGACACAAAAATTGCAGACTTTATTTTTGCCAGAAGCTGCCACAGCAAGGTCTGACAAGACAGTGAAGCAGAAGTGAGCAGTGTTAGTACAGGCAGGATGCAAATTGGAGCCCCACCCACAGCACATCAGCTGATCTGAACATCAGGCCATATCAGCTGATTATACTCTACACATACAGGTGTCAAATGTGAAAATGTATTGAAATGCTCTGAGCCTGTCTACTCCTCCTGCTTCCTCTGCAAACAGTCTTGATGCTGCTCTTCTTGCCATTACCCAGCTCCTTTATAATGATGTGTTTGTGGTGTGTGATGTGTGTGTGTGTGTGTGTGTGTGATGTTTTGTATTCTGGAGTCTTTGCTGCTGCTCTCCCTGCCTTGGCTTTTCATATATGCTCATGAATGAGAGGGAGGGTGTGCTCTCCCTGCCTCAGGCTTCAGCATTCCAGGTAAGCTTGTGAAAGGGCAGGGAGCTCTTGGAGTGGAGCTATAAAACCAAATAACACTATTGCATGTCAGTTATTTTTACAACAATAGTCCACACTGATGTGCATTTATCTTAGGGGCATCATTGGGAACATCCTTAGTTGTCTCAAACATTTTTTTTCATGTTGGAGGACATTGATAGTCCCAAGCCCTGGTTGGAATCAACACAAAAGGTAGACTTGTCTGCTCCAAACTGAGAATTTCAGGAAGTCAACATGATATCCAGATAATTTTATACACTTTTTTTTGGATCCTGCAAATATACTATAGAAAGTAAATCCGGAGAGCTTTGAATGTAGTCTAAAGCCTCTTTTTTATGATGTTGCCAAACTTCTGGTGTCTGACTTCATGTTTTAGGAACAATATTTATCATAATGACTATAGATAGTCTGTGCTGTAAATAATCCAGTGTTCTCCATGCGTGGTTGATGTATCACACACTAATTGGTTGGTGTGTGTTGGTGTGTTTTGTGTGTTCCTATGAGTGATCTCTGCTCCTCGCAGAGTTTCTGTTTCTCACACACAGTCTTCTCTTATACTAACTGTAAGCTCAGGTTATTCACATGCACACAGAGCAGAGTGAATTAGGGCATGCTGGTTTTTCATCATATTATCTCTCAGACTGTTTAGCTCTTACACTGCATACTCAGATATTCTCACGCTGTTTCACACTCACGCCATGGTTCACACTCACGCTATGGTTCACTCCAATATAAGAAAAGGGACTTAAGTAAAAGTTGAATTACTGCTGATGATAATATCGGCCTCTATGAATGTAACTTGGAAAAAATATAATTACAAAAACAGCAAAATATAAAGATTAAACAGCAGAAGTTCCCATGCTGAAAGTGATGAAAACACATAAAAACATTTGTGGAGAGTAACTGTAAATATACTTGACTGTGGTGTTATCATTGAAGGATACCATACACCATAGACCTCAGGTTGTATATGTCCACAGGTAGGTGTGACATGGTGACAATAGAGCAGGTTACACTGAGGTCAAAGCTGGGGTCAGGGCAAAAAGAGACGTAAGCAGTAACATCAGTGTTTTGTTTGTGTTTTCATATACATACAGCGTTAAATATTGTGTTAAATTTGGAGGACGTTCTCAAAAGACACACTGGAAAAGAGTAGCAGCTGCCATGTGTTCATGTATGTGTATTTAACAGGGAGTATATCTGCAGCTATGCACAGGTCAGTTTAAATGTGAATACTAAATACCTATGTTCAAGTCAGGTCTAGTTTTTATTTCATGTGACCTCCAAACAGACATGCTCATACTTTTAATCGCACAAAAACACTAAAACCTCTCCACCCTCTTTATCTGCTGCAGCTGCACACCAGCACCACTCTGCAGCTCTCAGGCGTGTGTGTGTGTGTGTGTGTGTGTGTGTGTGTGTGTGTGTGTGTGTGTGTGTGTGTGTGTGTGTGTGTGTGTGTGTGTGTGTGTGGTCTCACCTGGTCACATGGTCCAGTTTCTTTGGAGATTAATTGTGCATGTTTGGTTTCTATCTTTGGTGTTGTTGCTGTGTTTTCATGTTAGTTTCCGTCTGTAGATCAGCTGTTAGACGGACGTGCCACACCTGCTGTTACTTATAAAATGCTGCAGAGTGTCTCTGTCATGGTGGGTTCAGACAGGATCAGAGTGGGTCTGATCTCACTGTCCTATTTTGTGTTGATGTTTGTCTTTGTAAATAATAAAACAAGGAGCTCAGTATCTTGAGCAGCCGTTTCTAAAAAGCACAACATTTATTGTGACTTGGTATGGCATAAATGAAGATGGATGATTGATTGAGTGTCTGGTAAACAGTTTTGGACATGTTATTTCAGCTGCAGTCCTGATGGTGTTAAAAGAAAACAATATGAAGACAATGTGGATGAATTTGGAAATGTGATTAAAAGTCTTTGTTAGTCTCTGTTGGAGAATGATGCAAAGAAAGCCCAACCTGTAACTTTTATATGGCAGCTACAAAAATGTTGCATTCAGTATTCAGTGTCCCCATCTAAATACTGAGATTTGTGATTTATTGATTTATTTTTTTTAAATATGGGACAATATGTATTAATGAACATTTACATGTTCCTTTAGTAGGTTGGTGTCAGCACATAAAACAAAACTGAACATCAGCAATAGATGCCCATAGTACCTGGTTGTACATGCAAATTTGTCACTAGATATTGCACAAAAAAGCATACATACTGTAGATGTCTTGTGTAAGCAAGACATGTTGTTCGTTCTTTTTGAGAAGTACATACAGACAGTTGTAGAGATGTGAAGATGCAGCTGACAGCTCTCAAGCCAGCGATACGCATGGCATAAGTCAATTCCTGGGCAGCTTGCTCACTGTCTTTTGCATGTACATACAAAACTATGTTATCTGCACACACTTGACGGATTACATTTGAAGGACAACAACTTGGAGGGTCATTAATAAGGACACTAAAAAGAAGCGGGACTGACCCTTGTGGAACCCCAAAGTTGTTGCTATTTGAAACTGACTTTGAGTCGTGAACTGTAACACACTTAGTCCTTGATGAAAGGTATGATTCAAAATACCTCATAAAATTCACAGAATATTAAAATACATCAGTTTGGACAACAAAATATGATGATTGATGGTATCAAATGCTTTTTCAGACAGCCGCAACATCTCCACCAGCATCCAGCTCAGTTTTTATACTTTCAGGAAAAAGCAAACAGCCGTCTCAGTTGAGTGGTGTTTTCTAAAACCAAATTGCATTGGGTTAGGGTGAACAGGCTGTTGTCCAAATATTTAATGATTTGTTCTAACACATTACCTCAGAGACTCTTGGAGGATGCTTATAGGTCTGTAACTGCTTGTAATAGTGGGATTGCCTGATTTAAAGATTGGTGTGATGACTGAGTGCTTCCAGGAGTCTGGGAAAACTCCTTCAAATATCGAGGTGTTTCAGAAGCTATTAGAGATTCTTAGTACAACGATATAACATATGGAAGTTTTTAAAGTATGACATAATGTTTTATGCTTCTATGGTTTGACCTATTGGCTTTACTACCCCCACAATTCTCTGTGGTACTGCTTCATGTAGTCATATCCATAGGCTTGTGTGGATCTAATGCCAAGCATAACTTAGCCTTAAGAAGTGGTTTACCTTTATAGCATTAACATATCTCAAGTTAACCCTGAAGTTGCCTTAATAACTACAAAGTCTGTTTTGTAGTATAATCCCCAACACAATCCAAACTGGGATAAGGTTCATGACCAGATGATTTAAGTCTATGTAAATACACTGTCTGAGAGCTCCCTGCCCTTCCACCTGTGTATGTGGAAAAATATTTACAAAATGTGCAAAAGTGATCATAATTTACATCAAAAATTGCCAACAAGGAGAGAGTTCTGCAATAGCTCACAAAGTCACAAAAAAGGGAATACGTAGTGAGGCAAAATTAAGGCTGTTTCTTTCAGTGCAGCCTACTCAAGACTGACTGGAAGACCAAGGCAGCCCTCTTTTAACCCCCCAAACACATTTAATTCATATTCAAATTATTTTGACCATTTTCACCTTCAAATCTTACTGTATTTTCAGCAAAATTACAACAATCTTTTTATTTCTTAAAAATGTACCCATACCCACCCATTCACTATACAGATATGATGTGCTGTGCTTCCTAGTTTGGACACATATGCAGGCATGACAGAGCGCCTACACAACACACCTCTGGCAGGTAAGTGGATCTGATTGAGTGTAAATAATTTTAGTTAAAAATAAAGCTCAACATGTGCACCCATGGTTGAAGGAATGGTAGTGTGTTTGTCTGGTGATTTGAACAACTGGCAGGGAGGGATACAATTGGCATTTGTGTGTTTGTGTGTGTGGGTCTGTGTGTGTGCATGAGTCAACGAATGCTTTGCCCCAACCAGTGACAACAAGGCTCTGTCACAGACAGCCTGAGGCAGGTAGAGCACACTTCCCATCTGTATCAGGTGCATATGTGAAAAGCCAAGTCAGGATGAGCGGCAGCAAAGACTCCATGGTAAAAAAGAGAGCAGCATCAGTGACAATCCATTCAACTGTCTGGTAAAATCAGACAGAGCAAAACAAAGAGGAGGAACCGAGGTGGAGGCAGGGAGAGCATCAGCAAAGACACTGGTGAAATAGGGCACAGCATCAAAAGGAGGAGCTGAGGTAGAAGCAGGGAGAGCAAATATTCATGTTTTGCATCTGTGAGACCAGGCTAAAGTTAACCTTGTTAACCGTTTCCCAAACAGAGATAAACACACACTGAAGGAACTTGCTATAACTCTATAAAGGAAATGCCAGTACACACCTTCACTTCCAGTTGTTGCAGAGGCTCCAACACCTTCTAACCAATGTGTTGAACAAGCAATCACATCACCTTGATTTGTTGCTCATACAGAGACTTAAATTTTAGTCTGTTTTTAAAGACTTCTTACAGCATATTTAAGAAATGGAAGAGGGACTTAGTTCAAACATTCAGTTCACTCTCCTTCCCCTCTTTCAGCCTGTTAGTTATTAGTTTTCTGAGTTTTCTGTAGCACGTCTTTAACCTTCATCACACAGCCTGACCTCTAAATTTAGCCATTTATATGATGAGGTTAATCTGCTAGCTGGTTTACAGCCTGACTGATCATCTGATGTTCAGCAGCATCCAAACCATGAACAGTCACATCAACTGATCCGCAGAGTGGTGAGAAGCTTAGGACAGTGGAGTCATGACCTTCGTTCTGACCATGAACATAATACACACTGCTATATTAGACCAAAAACAAACTGTTTCCTCTCATTTATTTAACTCTTTAAGTCTGAGTCTGCTGACATGACCGGTGGAGAGATTTTGCAAGTTATTTAACACCACTGTTCCTTTCCATTATGAGACAGGGACATGACAGGTAAATAGAGGACTAACTAAGACACAGTATGAGCAAAACGTATAGTGTTGAGTAGAGCATAAATCGTAGTATCTGTTGCAGTCTGCAGTGTATTCTCTTGTTTACTTTGTTTTGAAGAACACTGTCTTGTACACTGTTGTATTAAAAGTAATAAATGTTTGAGCAGAGTGAGGAACTGCTGCAGATCTACTCACTGATGTGATGTTTTTATTTTTTTCTCTTCTGTGTTAAGCTCCTCTCAGTGTCAGATCTATTGTACTTTAAGCGCCTTCTGCTGCTCTATTACCACTCTCTCTCCCGCTCTCTCTCTCTTTCTCTCTCACACAGGCACGCATGCACGCACACACACACAACCACACACAACCACACAGCTGTCACAAAGACAGAGGATGGGAAAGAGGCTGAAATACATGGTGTAGATATACAGAGAGAGAGAGAGAGAGGAAAGAAGAGGAGGAGGGAGAAGGGGAGGAAACTATGAACATTCGGTCTGTAACATTCAGAGATCCAGCTGACCTCCTTATGTCAGAGTATTCCTGTGGAGAACAGAGCTGCTCCCTCTTTAAGTAGTGTTTAATTGTTTAATTTTACTTTCAGTTTGCTTAAACAGAGAAAAGCACGAACAGGACAGGTGTGTTTGCAGAGAGGCTCACCTGGAACATCACCACTGACCTTCAGGATCAGCTGTAGGTCATATTTTTAAAAGGTTAAGGGTCTGTTCAAAGATTTATTTTGTTCACACAACGTTACAGAAGTGGTTCTGCTGTGTGCACAGACTCTGTTCACAAGAAAGTACAGCAACATCTCTGTCTGCTGAGAAAACTCAGGAGCTTTGATATCAGACAGGAAGTTTTAACAGCTGTTTACAAATCCCTCACAGAATCCATTCTCACCTTCAATATCAAATCCTGGTTCACCCTCATCACTGTCAGAGACAACTCAAAGCTTTCCTGAATCATTCATCAAACAAACAAAATAACTGTCCAAACCCAGAGCCCATTATCAGAGCTCCATAAACAAGCAGTTAAAAGGAAAGTCATTACAGGCAAACCCATGCCAAAATTGCTTGAAGTGGATCTAAGATACAGTCAAAAACTGTTTCCTCTTTACAGAAGTATCACAGAATGGGGAAAACAGGGGATTTAAATGACTTTGAACGCGGCACAGTTGTTTGATGCCAGACAGGCTGGTGTGAGTATTTCACCTGCTGAACTACTGGGCTTTTAACTCCCAACCATCTCTGGGTTTACAGAGGATGGTTTGAAACAGAGGAACTGGTTGGAGATGATAGAAAGGCAACAGGAAGTCAAATAACCTCCTGTTACAACCAAAGTGTGCAGAATAGCATCTCTGAATATGTTTAACCTTGAAGCAGACGGATTACAGGAGGAAGAGGAAGACCACACCAGGGCCCCTCCTGTCAGCAAAGACCAAGAAATTGAGGCTACAGTTCACACAGGCTCACAAAACTGGACTACAGAAGATTGGAAAAACTTGGTCTGATGAGTCTGGATCTCAGTTGCCACCCTCAGGTGGTGGGTCAGAATTTGGCCTATTAGCGTGACAGCATGATCCATCCTGCCTTGTGTCAGGCCACTGCTGGTCGTCCATTGGTGTGGGGCAGGGGTGGACTAGCTATCAGGAGTACCGAGAGTTTTCCCGGTGAGCCGATCAAAAAATGGGCCAGTGGACGGCCATTTGTTTGTTGATTGATTAATTGCTGTGACTTGCCTTCAGTAACTCTCCGGCTTTCCAGTTGGCCTGAGGATATGCCGCTGCACACTCAACACAACAGAGAGAGTCACAGAGTTGACAATTGATTGGCTCAGTCAGTGGCTTGTCTGTCAAGGCTACTTGGCTCAATGGCCCTGTATGAGAGGCTACAAAGGCCCTGCACCCCCAAATGTTTGTCCCAATCCAACCCTGGTGTGGGGTATGTTTTTTTGACCCACTTTGGGCCTCTTAGTACCAACTGAGCATTGTTTAAACTTCACAGCCTACCTGGGTTTTGTTGCTGATCATGTCCATCCCTTTGGGACCACAGTGTACACATCTTCTGATGGATCCTTCCAGAAGGATAATGCACCATGGCACAAATCTCAGATCATCTTAAACTAGTTTCCTCAACATTTCATTAAATTGGTCTCCATTGGCCTCCACAGTCCCAGATCTCAGTTCAGTAGAGCCCCTTTAGGATGCAGTGAAAAAGGAGATCATCGTGGATCATTGACAAATCTACAGCACCTGTGTGATGGTCTCATGTTAATATGGACAAAAATCTCTGAGGGATGTTTTAAGGCCTCGTTGAAAGCCAGACACCAAGAATTACAGTTCTGAGGCCAAAGGGGGTCCAACCCAGTACCAGAAAGGTGTACCTAATAAAGTGGCTGCTGAGTGTATTTACAGACTACAGACAGGTTTATAAATAATACTTGACAGTCATCATAAAGTCTAAATAAACTCCTGTATGAGGATCCTGTTCAAGCGTTTCATTTAGAGAGCAATGACCTTTGTCAGACTGAACAGTGAAGAGAAGGAACACAAACTGCAAAAATGAATGAGGAGATGGGAGGAGCCTAAAGGAATAATATATGAGAAAAGATACAGAGGAAGAGGAGGGGGAGGGACATAATGGAGAGAGAGAGAAAGTGAGAGAGAGGATTATTTACTGTTTTAAATGAATAGATCTGTGTTGTGTGTGTGTTTGAGAGAGAGAGAGAGAGAGAGAGAGAGAGAGAGAGAGAGAAGAGAAAGGAGGAAAGAGGGGAGGTTTTTTCTGCATCAGAGCAGCAGAGAAGAGTGAGAGAAACAAACAGATGAGCTTTTATACAGCAGTTCATTCATTTAAACTCTGGTGGTAGACACTCTTTCAATTTTTATGCTTCTTTCAAAAGCTTGTTCAAAAATGTCTGCGGGATACAGCAATGAAGATCTGGAGCTGAAATAGACACGTACAGGTGGGTGAGACTTTGCATGTGAGTGTGTGTGTTCTCAGTGATTATATAGGGGCATAGTCATAGATAGGATACATTAAGTTGAGTGTCCTGATGTCCAGTCTTTGACCATGTGCAAACCAACAGTGTCTGGACTGAACCGCTGAGGTGTTTGAATGTGTGTGTACTGTTGTGTCCTTTGTAGTTTAATGTTGCATATAGCTGTAATGGAGTTCCTGCCAGTTGTTTATATAAAAATCATGCACATGGTTAGCTTCCTTGTAACACAGACAGTGATGAACAGACATCTGCCATGACTGGAAGCGATAATAACGTGAGAGAAAAAGGAGCCGTGACAGTCAGAGTCTGAGTCTGAGTCTGAGTCTATAACGGTCTTAGTTTATAACAGTCCAAGCCCAAAGTAATACAAGCCTCTAGCAGTCCAAGTTCAGAGCAGTATAATCACGAGTTTTTCTAGTCTGAGCCAGTCTTGACCATCCTCTTATTAAAAAGAACTGTTACTGATATTGTTCAAGACGAAGAGGGCATCTGCTACCTGGACCCTTACTGGTAGATGATTCCAAAGGATAGGGGCCTGAAAACTGAAAGCTCCACCTCTCAGATTATTTCTGGATATTTTAGGTACCACAAGCAGACTGAGATGGTTGTTTTTTTAGGAGTCCGTAAAACTTGTCAGGGCAGCCTGATAAAAATAAATTGCAGTAATCCAGCATGGAGTTGATGAATGCTAGACTAGTTTTTCTGCAATGTTCTGAAATAGCATCCAATTTTTGCAGTCCTGAAAATTGTTTAATATAGGAGTTGGAGGATAGGTTCTGATCAAAAAAGCTCAAATTCCTTTTTACAGAGGTGCTGGTTGCCAGACTGATGCCACCTACTAATGTTATATCATTAGAAAACGCCTCCAAAGGCTTTGGGGCCTAAACAAGACCTTCATTCTTACTTATGTCAGGAACAGTTGTTGATTTTGAGAGTAGCTACAAACAAATCTGAACCAGTAAATCATTAATGAATGTTGGTTAGCCTGTCAATTTTGTTTTACTTGCAGTTTTCACACAAATTCATTCTGTTTCATGAATGAGACCCCTTGAGCCTTAATTCTACATTCTGCAGTTCAGCAAGCTTCACAGAGAGCTAACTGCCTGACCTATTTGTTGGCAGGTGTACAGAGAGGTCAGAGGTCAGAGGTCAGGATGCTGCACTGCGGAGGAGTTAGCATGCTGCTTCTCTGGATCCTCACTGATGGTGAGTCTCTGTGGAAATTATACAACTCCTTTCTGTCTGATAAGTCTTTCGCACCAGGTCCACCTAATCGGTGAGAAAAAAAAATATAAAAAAATACAAAATATAACGTTTTTTTCTCATAATAATGACTTGAGAACATTTATTCTTTACATTTACAACTTTATTCCCACAAATATTCAACTTTAAATTCTCATGAATGTGAAACTTTAAATCTCACAGATTTAAAAATTTAATCTTGTTTTTGCGCAAAATTGATCCTGTAACTTACCAACTTTAATCAGGTGAATTAACAGCTTTAGTCAGACTTACCCTTTGTAAATTTATGAATTTAAATACTTATGATTCCCTTTAAATATATATATATATTTTTTTTTTTTCTCTTGATTTAGCAACCTCATCATCCTAGATTTATAGCTAGATAACAAACTATATAACCAAAAACATTGTTTCTTCTCTAACATTAAAAAGTCTTGTGTGATGCCTGAGGTTTTCTTCCAGGTTTACATCTTTGATCTAATTTTTTCAAACTTTTCTTTCATTAACAACTTCAAATTTAATTTATTCAGGAATATATTTGCCTTATTTTCTTCCCTCTAAAAATCACTTAAAATTATACTAGGAAACTGATTTGTGACTACATTTTATAACTTGAATCCCATAAGTTTATCACCAACTTCTTGAAAAGTATAGGAACTTTGATCTCTTAGATTTACAACTAACTGTAAATTAAAAACTTTGAAAATAATAAAATTACTGCTTTAGTCTCATTGATTTATGACTACATAAAAATTGTAACTGTTTTGGTATTGTATTTTAGCTTGTGTAATTTTATGACTGAGTTACATTTCAGCTTATTTTCTGTCAGATTCATGACTTGAATCTTGGAAATATATTACTTTTTCCTGTAGATTTACCAGTGACAGCCTTGATCTTGTAAGTCTGTAACATTTGAAAAGTTAATCTTTTACTCCAAAGTTTGCTCTCAGGCATGTTTAAAGCCATGTGAAAATGTTGTGTTAGATGACGTGAGAAAACATTTCAAACTCTTGCTTGCTGTAAAAAAGTTATTGTTCTCACTTCTGCTTGTCTTTGAATTTTTGACATGAATCTTTTTTTATTTCCACGTGATGCCCCCGTCACTCTTACTCTGTGATTGGCCAAGAGCGGGTGGGGATGTCAGGTGTGGTGCAGGTATAAGAGGATGAGGAGAGTGAAGTCCTCACTGTGGGCTAAGCTATCTGTTCTCTTAACTTTCTAATACGTCTCAGTCTCTCCCCATCTGGCCCCTCCTCATCCTTCTCCCCTCAGTCCCCCCTTCCCTCCTGCAGCCCCCTCTCCCTCTCTCCCTTCCTGTCCATCTGTCAGTCGTCCCCCCTCTCTGGCAGTTCCTCCCCCTCTCTCAGGTGGAGCTGGGCCCCCTCTTCTCCAACTCCAGCCCCTTTTCCTCCTCTCACAGCCTCTTCATGCTGCCCCCCCATGGTCAGGCCCCCAGACCGGGCCTACAGGCTTCCTTTGGTCCTTATTCTGTCACACAGGTAAGAATACCGGTGAAGGGTGAAGGGGGGTTAACAGAGGGTGGTGACTTACCTTTGAGTCTCTCTCCACAGCTCATACCAGAGCCTATCCTTCCCTCCCCCCTGTCTGCCTCCCTCCTCTCTGAGCATGTACAGAGGGAGAGGGGTGAGGGGGGGCAGGAAGTGTTCTGGGTGAGGACGCTGTTCCATCGGCGAGCGGATGGTGGCGCCCGAGGAACTTGCATCACGCTGCACGCCTTCAAGGAGACAGAGGAGCACAAAGCCTCCTGCATCACTCAGGTGAGGATCCTTGATCAGTGTCTCCTTGTCCCCTTCACCTATTTGTCTCTCTGTCCAATAATCTGTCTCTCTTTCCCTCACTTGTCTCACCCCTCAGCCTCCTCTGGGTCTCTGTGTGGTCTCTCTGTCTCTTCCCGGTAGCTGGTTTAAGGGTCAGGATGCCAGACAGTCAAATGAGGATCTGGTGAAGCCACACAGTAACGTTCCTCTTCGACACCGGACACACAAGAGAGAACACCGGAGACATGGACATCACCATAGAAACACTGACAAACATCAACACACCATGTCTCCTTCTCTAAGGTGAGACCATGAAGATTTGGCGTGGAGGTTCAGAAAGACACTGTTTTACTGCCCCCTGTGACCAATAAGAGAAATGAAGCATAGTGGTAGTTCAGGCAGGACACTGAGTCAAGCTAAAGGCTACAGTCAGCTGATCTTAAGCCAGTCCTCAGTCAGCTGACAGCTCAGGTGATCACCCTCTACACATCTTATTGGCTATTGTCAAAATGGCGCCCTATTTAAACTGCATCGGCTGCCTACTCTGCCTGCTGCAACCACTCTGCAACCCACCTCCACCCCAGCTCCTCCTGTTCATGTTGTGTCTGATCTTACCAGTGTCATATGTATTGTCACTGATGCTTGCTCTGTTCTGTGGGAGGATTTTAATTTATTTATCTTAATCGTATTTATTTGCAGCTGCTTTCTCTTGGCTTTTCATGTATGCACATGAAAGGGAGGGGACGAGCTCTCCCCTCTTATAGCCATGGCATGCGCATGATAGGGCAGGGAACTCTCAGAACAGAGCCATACCTCCAATGTAAAAATGTTTGCTTGTAATAAATAATTAATTTTTCAAGTGGTCCTGACTGAACTGCAGTCAGCATTATTTAGACTAGAGACAAGAGACTGAGAGCTCTATTTTCGTGCCTCACTGGCGGCGTGGCGCAGGCACAGCATTAAGTCAGGTCTGCCGTGCCAGTGAGGCGTGCCAAAGCCCACTTTGGTATTTTGGTGAGCAGCGTAGCCCGCGTGAAAATCCCCCCTCCCTAACTCAGCTTCTCCCAGTGGTGTAAGTAACAGAGAGGGAGGAGAGAAGGCATGGAGTGGGTTCTGTTTTCACCAATCACATCTCCTCACCTTTAAATCCGCCACCGGCGAGGCTTATTACAATTTTCGTTAAGTATTCAAAGAGATGACTGAAGACAGCAATGCCACACGATGGTAACAGAAGGCAGCCCCTCAACAAGTGTCGCTGTAAGCACTTCGGAGGGCGTCCTCCACACTCTCTCAAATAAGCACAGATGGATTTGGTTTGTGTAATGTTAGAACCACTGGTAAGACAAACACCCTTTACCACAAATAAAGACATTTACATAAAGCTGCATATATTTAAACCTCACATTACAAAGGTGGGTTGTGCACACAGATCACAACATAAACAAATTCCAACAATGGCATTAAAATCGGAAACACCTGTATGTAAAGGATGCATCGCACTCCATGGCCTGACTCTTTCTTTCATTGATGTTGGCATATAAAATGAACTTGGCTTACGCAACTGAATAGTATGATATTTGTATGTGGGCCTAACTCCGGATTGAATATTCACATAATTTTAAGGATGTGAGAACATCAGATAAACAGGTAATTTGAATGAAAGTGTCTTTTATTTTTTTGTTCAAATTTTTGACACAAATAACTCATCTGATCACTAAAATAAATTTATTTGTTCAGTCTTGCTGCCGCAGCAGCATCAGGGCAAAAGAGGACATGAAGATATGTCCAGGTCGAACTGTGCGAGAAAAAAAAGGGAGAGAGAAAAGGAGGGAGATGAATTAAATATCTTGTTAACTTCATCATTTGTGACTGTTTACTCGATATTTAATTTAATGCAGTTTCAGCTGTGTTAATTTGGTCAGGTTGAATGTCCAAACGCGTGCCAAACACGCTCATCAGATAAGAGATATAAGATTATCGATATGGATCTAAATGTATGTGCTGACTCAGTTGCACTGAATATTGGTTGATGTTGATTATTTATTGCACTGAAATGTGCCTGACACTGTGGAAACCTGTCGATGCGGCATCAGTGATAAATGTGCACGACGCCACCGGTCTACCAAAGCACCGCTAGACCAGCTGTACTCTGCCTGCGCTGAAAGCTGACTAGGTTTGAATCTGTGAGCTTTCAGCGCACTTTCCACGCCGCTGGCAAGCACGAAAATGTCACTGCGCCCGCTGATTCTGTCGACACCTCCCCCTACTGCGCCACCATGCCCAGCTTGGCGGACCTCGGTGCGCCTTGGTCTATGAAAATACCAAACTGGCTGTGCGCCAGGCTCCGCCAGACGAAAGTACCAATGAGTGGGGTGCGCCACCCTCCGCCGTGCGGGCCCGACAATAGAGCCCTGAGTGTCATTGGCAGACATGTCTGAGCTGATTAGGAATGTTTTTCTTACCTTAAGCAGCAGCTCTTATCACAGGCTGATACCAACATGTATCCCAGCTAAATGTATCTGGTCTACCTGGGTCAGGAGGTCCTCCACCGTGCTTAGACTGCACTCTAACCAGGTGTTTCTAGGACCTGCATGGGACAACCTACAGGGCATAACTTAGCCCATCAGTAGACAGCAGATAAGGATACTTATGGTTCTAGATGGTTTTTCTGTATTTCCAATGCATTAAGAGCTTTCACAAACTGTTATTTCCTGTTATTCTGACTTGTTTACAGTGGGATTTAAAAATGGTGGTTGGTGTTGTGGAATTGACATCTGTGTCCCACTAATTCAAGTACTTCCTAATGAACCAATCACAGTGCACTCAGAGTCCCTCTTGTACTGGGAGAGAACTTACTCTGGTGCAAGAACCAAAAGGTTTCATTATAACCTTATTAAAATCAAGGTTCAGGAACTGAAATAGTTTTTAGCTCCAGCCATACAGAATCAGTAAAATGGAAAAGGTTTCCACAGTTCTGAGAACAATGAAAAGTTCCTTCAGTCCAAAAATGCCGACTGTGTGCAGATGTGCATGCACACATTTTTATGCAACTCCCTTGTCAGAGATTTTAAACCATTTATTACTAAATGCAAATACAGTTATGCTTGGTGCTTTTAAAGTACTTTTCTAGTTAGCAGAGAAGCATGCTACAGCTTTTGAGGAGGGCTTTTCAACACACCCAGCAAGAGCACAAATAAACTGTGAGACTGGAGAAAGATGGAGGGTCACGGTGGGAGCAGAGTTTTGCAGAAGTAGCAGAGTATGAGCAGCATTTGGTGTATTAGGGATGAGAGAGGAGGGAGACGAGTTTAATTGAGCCTCCTTGTTTAGAAGTTCGGCTGTGATTGGTTATGAACTGGAAACTTTGATTCAGTAATTAGCCTGTCAGTTACAGCTAAGGCATAAGATCTCTGTGTCCTGCATGGACAAACACCAAGCTTCACAAGGTTTTTTGGCCTGCCATTTTTAGTTTTAGGATATTCACTATTAATTCATAAGATACATCACATTTGATTCAGAGTTTTATCAACTATACCCCAAGTCATTGGCATATTATTTCATATGACTGTTTGCAGAGAAACTAAGTGAACAACCATAAGCAAAATATAGTTTTCTTTTACAAACAGAAACTAAACCCTTGTAGAGTCATTGAGAGGTATACTCCAGTGTCATCTGCATAACTAGAGAACCGAAACAAGTTTTCATATACAAAAGCTTATCAAACTAGGAGTGTTTCTGAGCATTTTAACTACTCCTAATGCTGCATGTTAAGCTCCAGTTTATCTCAGTATACACTTGCACTAACTACTCCGAAGAACTGAGAAAAGCAGATTGATGTGTTCTTTGTTTTTATGTCTTTATTGGATGTGGATCTCTGCAGGTCCAGCTGACTTTAGGGTCATTCCATGTCAATTCAACCAAGAATCTCCACTCACGTCTCACAGATTTTGATGAAATTTGGTGTAGTGATTGGCCTTTAGGAGAAACTGTCAGAGCTCAAATATTTTTGTTCAAAGCCATCTAATTAGTGAGATAGTGGCTAACGAATTTTTGGCTAGTTAGCATGACGTGCGTTACAAAAGTGTTCATATCTCTGGAAGTATGGCACCTAGAGAGCTGATTCATGTGTCATTTTAAAGCTCTCTTCAAGTTTCATCTGTTTGTTCATTACATTTTTCCCAAATTGGACAAGAAAAAAATTATAAAAGACCAAAAATTTAAATTGGAAATAGCAAAAAACGCGCGTCCTTCAATTTTCTTCATATTCACACTAAAGAAAGACTATCATGTCCACTAGCACCCCTGCAAGTTTCAGGATGGGCCTATCATAACTTTTTGAGTAATCAGTCAAAATGTGTGGTACGTTAAGTCGAAAACCGCCATATATGGCACATTATACAAGTCCTGACCTCATCTGGAGTCAGCTCCACCTGCCTGCTTGTGTAAAATATTACTTCCTCATAGTGCAAAATGCTTTTTTTGAGTGTTTTCATTTTGTTATCCCATATTTATATGAAAAATGGCTAGAATAGCTTATTTTTGCTAAGTTTTCCATTGCATTTCATTTCTATTTGCACCTATATCCAGAATATGAATGATCTTAGCTTCATGGGAGAATCATTTGGACATACCTGCATGTCCTGGATCCTAGGGTTGACAAATAACTTCTACCTATGCACCCTGAAATTTTGTTGCTGGTTTCCCTGTGAAGTATTCCAGGCTACTTATCCTGAGCCCTTTCAACATTTCCTTTATACTTCAAAAGTACTTTTAGCATGGTGATCAAGCTTTGTGCAGCTTTTCAATATTGTTAGTTTGTTTCCAAAGAGGAAAGAGTGTATGAACTACAAAGAATTTGATAGCGTCAGTGTAAGGAACGATGGTTCCCCAGTCGTCTAGGTCTTCTGGCTTTCAGTACATACAAATCTTTGAGAAAGAGCATATCAGGAGAGCTACAGTAATTAGCAACCATTCCAAAATATACTAGAAGAAGTTGGGCAAGAGGAGAGCGAAGGAGCCATGTAAGGACTGTAAAATAATTTCTCTTGAGTAGTGAATAATGGTGCTCTGTTGCCCTGGGGAACCATCGTTCCAAAATCTGTGACGTGAGTGGAGATTCTTGGTTGAATTGACATGGAATGACCCTTTAATAACTCTCTAACAGCTTCTTGTTCTCCTGTGTTTAGGTACAGCCCAGGTATTTATGGGGACACAAAGGTGAATGCTCCACGGGCCCTCAGACGTCAGCAGGGCCCCATGAGAGACCAGATCCAGCTCTTCTATTCTTCTGTGGATGTAGAGGCAGAGTTTGAGCCAACAGCTGCAGGGTAAGACACACAGAGTGGGGAAACATCTCAGAGTGAGAAACACCAAAATTTAACAAATTTAACCCTCACATGAATGATAACCTCACTGCCTGTCCTCCAGGTGTGTAGAGGAGCGAGCAGCTCAGTCTCAGAGGAAACTAGTCCACATCAGAGCACTGACGCTGAAGGAGGAGAAGGAGGGGAAGCTGAAGAGGACTCCAGAGAAGGAAACCTGTCTGAACGGGCAAGAAGAGGAAGCGATTAGCTTGGACTCCCATGTTGTGATTCATCATTACAGAGGCCCGGTTATGATCGGACAGCCAATCAGAGTGTCCGTCAACCTGAGAGGAAATTTCAGTGCTGAGTTTGTGGTCATCAGGTAAAAACAGAGAAACACACCTCCTGTTCCTCACCAGGATCTAAAACCAGCTTTAAGACCTGTGTGTGTGTGTGTGTGTGTGTGTGTGTGTGTGTGTGTGTGTGTGTGTGTGTGTGTGTGTGTGTGTGTGTGTGTGTGTGTGTGTGTGTGCAGGCTGCAGGTGAAAAAGGGCCTGGTGTCCATCGTGGCCCAGAGAACGGTAACCTCAGACCTATGGACTGTGACCCTGGAGAGAAGTCAGGGCTCCACTCATGATGTGGTGTCCATCCTCTGCCATAAACAGAGCGGCAGGACACACACACACACGTATGTCCACGGTTTGATTCCTTTATGCAAATCTTGTCTGAGCACAGACTCAGACAGGAAACAGAGTTTAATCAGTGAGTGTAAGCTATGACACACTCAATATAGACGCACAGCAGGTGTTCCACAGGGGACTTGATGAGAACATTTACTTTTGAATTGCAATCATTAAACCCATGCTGATGTGACAGACACAAGTTCTCTGATTCTGTGAGCACACTCGAAGTGTTAAACACTTTTTAAGCTGAACTGCAGAGTGTCTCTGCACTCCAAGGGCTCTATTTTCGTGCGCGCCGGTGAGGCGACGGAGGGTGGCGGACCCCGCGCAGTTGTATTTTTGTCTGGCGGAGCCCGGCGTAAAGGCAGTTTGATATTTTCGTGGACTGAGGCGCTTGGAGGCGAGCCGAGATCCGCCAAGCTGGGCGTGGTGGCGTGGCAGGGGGAGGTGTCGACAGAATCAGCGAGCGCAATGACATTTTTGTCCTCGCCAGTGGTGTGTAAAGTGCGCTGAAAGCTCGCCGATTCAAACCTGGTCAGCTTTCAGCGCATGGCGGAGCGCAGCTGGTCTAGTAGTATTTTGGTAGACCAGCGGCGTATCGGCATACGTCACTGATGCCTCATCGGCAGGTTTCCACAGTGTCAGGCACATTTCAGTGCAATAAATAATCATCAACAACTAATAACCTGAGTCAGCACATACATTTAGATCTTTATAGATATATTCTGATCTATATGATCTGATCTGATGAGCTCGTGAAGTGAACAAGACATGTAATTCGTCTTCCTCCTTTTCTTTCTTCCTCTTCCTCTTATTTCTTGCGCAGCTCGACCTGGACATGTCTCCGTGTCCTCTCTCCGTCCTGCTGCAGTGGCTGAACAGATGATTTGTTTCAGTGATCAGATGAGTTATCTACTTGAAGCCTACATACGAATAATATAATACTCAGTTTTGTGGGCCAAATTTATTTTATATGCCAACATCTATGAAAGAAAGAGCCAGGCCACGGAGCGCGATGCGTCATTTATGCACAGATGGTTCCGATTTTAATGCCATTTTTGGAGTTTATGTTGTGATCTGTGCGCACAACACACCTTTTCACGTGAAGTTTGAATATATGCAACTTTATGTGAGTGTCTTTATTTGTGGAAAAGGTGGTTTGTCTTACCAGTGGGTCCAACATTACACACACCAAATCCATCTGTGCTTATATGAGAGAGTGTGGAGGACGCCCTCTGCAGCGCTTAAAGTGACACTTGTTGCGGAGCTGCATTCTGTCGCTATCGTGTGGCATTACTGTCTTCAGACATCCCTTGATCTCTTTGACTACTTCACGAAAATAGTAATATGCCTCGCCAGTGGCGGATTTAAAGGCGAGGAGAGGAGCTTATGTGATTGGTGAAAACATGTCTCGGCTGTGTTAAACCCACTCCACGCCCTCTCTCCCTCGCTACGACTTACGCCGCTGGGAGAAGCTGAGTTAGGGAGGGGGGATACTTACGCCGGGCTGCGCTGCTCACCAAAATACCAAATTGTGCTTGGGAACGCCTTGTCGGCACGTCTCTGGCAAGGCACGAAAATAGAGCCCTAAGTCTTTACACACTGTCCTGTGTCTCCCTGCAGTCCCTCTGTCCTCCAGCAGGTGGTGTGTCTGTCTGTGGATGGCCTCAGGCACAGCTTCGGTGTGGCGATGACGGTATCTGCTCACTGGTTTGTGGAGTATTCAGGCCGTAATAACCCAGCATCACCACATGGGGCAGCAGTGAGCACCTTCTCATTCACTGACCGACACATCTACGGCATTGCCCCCATCACAGAGGTGCTCCTTCAATTCTTAAAATTAATTTTGCAGCAAATGGACAGTCTTAAATTGGCTGCCTCCAAACCTCACAGACCCACCAGTGTTTTCTCTTCCTCTGTTACCAGGGTAACACCATCATCAACACAGCCATCTTCACCAACCAGCCTGTGTCAGTTCCTGTCATAGTGCTTGCCATCAGCCATGATGGAAAGGTGTCAGATGTCACCTCAGCGGTCACCTGCCACTCAACCAATGAGAACACTATCAAGGTGAGACAAAGATTCAAAACTCAACAGATACTGACCTTCTGAGTTAGAGACTTTTACATGAACAAAAGGGGCTTTTCTTCAGCAGGTACCTTTCCCCTCAAAACAAGGAATCTTTTAGGGAACTGAACAATTCAGTAGCAGGGACTAAGGATCTAGATGTAGTTCCAGGATAATTAATATACCCCTTACAGAAGTTCCTACTCAGGGGGCCGCTGACATTTTAGTTCCTCAAAGAGAATTTGCTGGAATGAAAAGCCCCTGGTTTCAAAGAGTCTTGAATTTCAGTAGCTGAAGTTTCTGTCCATCAGAGATTGGTGTATCTGTTGTCTTCTTCTCTCCTCCTCTTTCTCTGTCTCTGCTCTGTCCTCAGGTGTCCAATGATTGCTCTGCCCTCTTCGTGGATGGCAGCGAATCAGGGCTAGGTAACACCTGTGCAGTGGTGGAGTTTCAACTGGGCATGCTCAGCGGCTCCGTGTGTCTGGAGGTATGGGCTCCCTCAGTGCCCTTGCGGGTGTCCCTGGCAGACCCTGTTCTCAATGCCATTGATGGCTGGAACCACTTCACAGAGAGCGGGTGAGAACAAATCCTTCAGTCTGAGTTATTACGTTTGCCTTTAAAGGCTATTTTTAGACTTCCTGCTTTTTTTTTGATAGAACCACTTGAAAGAGAGAGAGAGAGGGACAGAGAGAGAGAGAGGAAATGTGGGGAGACAGAGGGGGTGATGTGAACCAAGTCATGTTGGGGTCAGTAACCCGTCCTACAGACAAAGCTAGACCAGTACTTCTGGGTTATTAATTCTTATTCAGATCTCATTTCAGCATGAAGAGGTCAGCTGGAGTCGCTTTTAAGTTTTAAAGTCACTTTATCCTTAATGAGGCTGTCATCATTTACTCTAACTCTCGCTTGGTGAAACTTGATATCAAACAAAATTACAGACCTCATGATTTGAATAAAAAATAATGATGTGGATATGTTTTATATTTATCATTAGGTTTTCTAATGTTTGAGAAAAGCCTGCAGTTAAAACAACAAAGTGATTCATTGGAACAACCACCTTCAGGGCTTATTTTTCTAAATGTACCTGCTCAAAATGGCATCGAAAAGCACCATGGCGATATCTATTTAAAACACACTGATTTGCCATAATATCATGACCACTTGAGTAATTTAACGCAAACCAATCTGACAGCTGTACCATAAATTCTATATCAGTCAGGACCACTTGAAAAGGTGATTATTTTCATGCAGAAGTTATATTTGGTAGTAGGGCTCTATTCTGGGAGCTCCCTGCCTTCTATGAGTAAATGTGGGATGCCAAAGTCTGAGGTGGAGACAGCACACCTTCCCTCTTTTTAATGTGTATACATGCTAGCTGCAACAAATCATTACCAAATAAGGAATAGTGAAACAAAAATCAACATTTGGTGCAATAATATAGTAAAGAAGAAGAAGGGGAGTGTCTTATGCATAATGATTTGCAGTGAGAAGGAACCCCATAGACCCCCTGGTATAGTTCTGAGGGGGTCCCTCCTCTGATAAATTCCCCTCAGTACCCATGATCCATCTCCTGAATTAAATGTTTAATTTTGGCCTGATATCATATATCTTTAACACTTTCTTACTCTCAATGTTGTTATGTCACAGCCTGAGGTGGCCAAAGACCCCAGGATTCAGAACAGAACAGCATCAGTGACAATCCACATGATGCTGGTAAATTCTGATATGGCATACAAAAGTTCAGCTGGTGTGAATGTTAGTATCAGCCAGTGATGTGCGGTGAGGTTCATGGCTGGTGAGGCGCTGACTTAATCACAATCAGATTTACAAACATATGAACCTTACAGAGTAGCTTATTCGCCATTTGATTGGCAGCAGTTAACGGGGTATGTTTAAGATCTCATAATCTCATACAATACTCACCTTTGAAGTGTATTACTAAGCAGGTTGAAAGTCTGCAATTTTACTAAATTTGGTGTCTGGTGAATCTTGGTGAATGGGCAATGAAGGGATGCACGAGATAAGAATAAGAATCAGAAGAACTTTATTAATCCCCGAAGGGAAATTCAATTGTCTGTTGTCTCACATAATATGTCTATAAAAGCTATCTACTATTTACACAAGAGTTACCAAGTCTGATGGCTTTCGGTACAAAAGATCTTCTAAATCTTTCTGTCCTGCAATGAAGAGAAAGGAGCCGTCCACCACCATTTGCCCTTTGGTCCATCAAAGTGTTGTGAAGTGGGTGATCCATGTTCTTTAGAATGGTCTCCAAGTTCCTCAGTGTAGATCTCTCCACCACATCCTCCACTGATTCCAGCTTAGGTCCTACCATGGAGCCAGCCTTTTTCACCAGTTTGTTAAGACATCTCGCATCTTTGGGCTCTATTTTCGTTCGCGCCGGTGAGGCGGCGGAGGGCGGCGAGCCCCGCGCAGTTGTATTTTCGTCTGGCGGAGCCCGGCGTAAGGCGAGTTTGGTATTTTCGTGGACTGAGTCGCACGGAGGCGAGCCGAGATCCGCCAAGCTGGGCGTGGTGGCGTGGCAGGGGGAGGTGTTGACAGAATCAGCTGGCGCAGTGACATTTTCGTGCTCGCCACCGGCGTGTAATGTGCGCTGAAAGCTCGCCGATTCAAACCTGGTCAGCTCTCAGCGCAGGCGGAGCGCAGCTGGTCTAGTAGTGTTTTGGTAGACCGGCGGCGTATCGACATACGTCACTGATGCCTCACCGGCAGGTTTCCACAGTGTCAGGCAGATTTCAGTGCATTAAATAATCATCAACAACTATTAATCTGAGTCAGCACATACATTTAGATCTATATCGATATATTCTGATCTATATCTGATCTGATGAGCGCGTTTGGCATGCGTTTGGGCACACAACCTGACCGAATCAATACAGCTGAAACTGCATCACATTAAATTAAATATCTAGTAAATAAACACACATGATGAAGTTAACAAGATATGTAATGTGTCTCCCTCCTTTTCTTTCTTCCTCTTATTTCTCGCACAGCTCGACCTGGACACGTCTCCGTGTCCTCTGTCCGTCTTGCTTGCTGCTGCGGCTGAACAGATGATTTGTTTCAGTGCTCAGATGCGTTATCTACTTTAAGCCGACATACGGATATTACAATATTCAGTTTTGTGGGCCAAATTTATTTTATATGCCAACATCTATGAAAGAAAGAGCCAGGCCACGGAGCGCGATGCGTCATTTACGCACAGATGGTTCCGATTTTAATGCCATTTTTGGAGTTTAAGTTGTGATCTGTGCGCTAAACCCACCTTTGTCACGTGAGGTTTGAATATATGCAACTTTATGTGAGTGTCTTTATTTGTGGAAAAGGGTGTTTGTCTTACCAGTGGGTCCAACATTACACACACCAAATCCATCTGTGCTCAGATGAGAGAGTGTGGAGGACACTTGTTGAGCAGCTGCCCTCTGTCGCCATCGTGTGGCATAACTGTCTTCAGACATCTCTCGATCTCTTTGACTACTTCATGAAAATAGTAATACGCCTTGCCGGTGGCGGATTTAAAGGCAAGGAGAGGAGCTTATGTGATTGGTGAAAACAGGTCTCGGCTGTGTTAAATCTACTACACGCCCTCTCTCCTCCCCATCTACGACTTATGCTGCTGGGAGGAGCTGAGTTAGGGAGGGGGGATACTTACGCCGGGCTGCGCGGCTCACCAAAATACCAAAATGTGCTTGGGAACGCCTTGTCAGCGCGGCGGATCTGATTGACGCTGCGCTTGCGGCAGATCTCCGGCGAGGCACCAAAATAGAGCCCTTTGTGTTTGATGCTTCCCCCCCAGCAGACTGCAGTGTATAACAGAACACTTGCCACCACAGACTGATAAAACATCTGCAGCATCTTACTACAGATGTCTATTGATTGGAGTCTTCTCAGGAAAAAGAGGCGGCTCTTCCCCTTTCTGTAGATGAAGTCTATATTCTTAGACCAGTCCAACTTATTATCCAGATGTACACCTAGGTATTTATATGATGTCACCACTTCGATGTCCACTTCGCAGATGTTCACTGGCTGAAGAGGGGGTTTGGATCTGCAGAAGTCTATGACCATCTCCTTTGTCTTTGAGGTGTTGAGGAGGAGGCAGTTTTTTGTGACTCCAGTCACTGAAGGCTTTTATCAGATCTCTGTATTCAGCTTCTTGTCCATTTCTGATACATGCCACAATAGCAATGTCATCTGAGTATTTCTGGATGTGGCAGGACTCAGTACTGTATTTGAAGTCTTACATATACAGTGTGAATAGGAATGGCGCCAGCACTGTCCTTCGTGGAGCCCCTGTACTGCTCATCAATGTCCCAGAAACACAATTTCCCAGCCTGACAAACTGTGGCTTTCCTGTCAGGTAATCTGTGATCCAGGAAACACAGGAAGGATCCACTCCCATCTCTGTGAGCTTGTCTTTGAGTATGGTGAGTTGGATGGTGTTGAATGCACTTGAAAAGTCAAAGTACATGATCCTCATATAAACCCCAGGTTCCTTCAGATGAGACAGGGCACGGTGAAGCATGTAGAGGACAGCATCATCCACTCCAATGTGTTCTTTTTATGCAAACTACAGGGAATCCAGTTTGTCTTTGACCTCAGACCTCAGACCACAGAAGGCATAGAATCAGCCACTCCAGAGTTTTCATGATGTGTGAAGTGAGGGCCACTGGTCTGTAGTCATTGAGTTCAGCATGACATTTTGTTTTGTCGGTACCCACCCCAGCTGTAAACTCAGGTTGAAGATCCTGTGGAGAGGTTTACACAGTTCTGCAGCACAGACTCTAACCAGCCTTGGACACACACCATCTGGACCTGCTGCCTTCCCGGGACAAAGTCTTCCAAGCTCCATCCTCACCCCTGTTTCAGTGATGAACAAGGACTGGTGTTCTAGGCAGGAGGCAGTTGAAGTGGTTGAGACATTTGAATGAGATAGAGGAGGAACAGGAGAAGTTGTAGTGGAGATTTGTTGTGAAGAGGAAGGTGGAGTAGCAGTGGAAGTGGGCGTGACAAAAGTGTCAAATCTAATGGATGGATGGATGAATGGATGGATCCTTCATTGGCTCAGGGTCTTGGCCCTGTCTTACCTATCATCTGTTTCACAGATGTGGGCCAGTCTATCAGCGATCCTCGGTCCAAGTCCTAACTCAGTTCACGGCTCAGGACTCTGAGGGCAGGAACACACATCTCCTGGGGTCATCTGATTGGTTTGTGGATGTAACAAAGCTAGTCCGTGATTGGCTGAGAGTAGAGGATCCCAGTGTGGCGTCCCTCTCTCAGAACAATCTGATTGGTTTACGTCCTGGAAAGACATCAATCCACGTAAGTAACCATGACATCATTATTTTCTGTCTTATTGTCATCATTATCATCTCTTTATCTCTGTCTCTCACTCTTTCTCAGGTGATTTCTGAGCAGTGGGATGGTGTGCTGGGTAGATGTGATGTCACTGTGACCGCTGAACCTGTTACCCCTGGTGACCTGTCTGTGCAGGTAGTCAGTGGCCTTGGCATGTTGGTCACATCCAGTCCTGCCCACCCTTCGATCATCACAACAACAGTGACAGCCTACAACATCCTGTACAGTCATCATCAGGTGAGACAGAGGATGACACAATCACACCCTGAGGTTAAAGTTCAGGGTCTGATTTGATCTCACTCTGTTCTTGGTCTTGGTCTTCCTCCCTTTCCTCCTCTTCATAGACTATCCCTAACACAGGCTATGTGTTAGGGATAACACATGCCTCTGAGATTGCTTCCATTCATCTCCGATATCACCTCAACTCACCTGTGCTCTCTGACCTGGTTTTTACTAGTTTATACTGGTTTCATCAGTAGCGATGATTGTATTGAGTTCAGAATCTAAACTGAGACATATGAGCTCTACCTGTGTTTAACCTATGGCACTGTGTTTTCTGTGCAGGAAGCGTCCATCAGTGTCTGGCTGCAGTTCAGCGATGACTCTGCCTCCCTCCTCTCCTCCTTCAGCGACCTTCCTGTCTCCCTGCTTCTGTCCTCACTGGCTGAGTCTGTGGTTGTTGTGACTCCTGGCCCAAACCAGCATATCTTTGCCCAGGGGGATGGGGGCGGGCCTTTACTGCGAGCAGAGCTGCTGGTTTCCACTTGTGGCGACCTGCCAATCACCTCCAACTCTATCAGTGAAGCTGATTGGATAGAGACCAGAGCTCGCCGACTAGCCCGAGGGTCTGGATGGATCCGGGTAAACCTGGACCTGGGTTTCCTGCAGCCGGAGGAGGACAGGAACGAGATGGGAGAAGAATTTGAGTTTGACATCTCAGACATGCTGGTGGAGTCAGATATCGATGTGTACGCCACCAACTCTGAGGAGGACGATGGCGGCGGGAATGTGAGCAGCGACTACGACAGACTTGGTGGCAAAGTGACGGACAGGAAGTGGAACAAAGCTGGGAATGAGGGGATGATCAGCCGGAACAATCTAGAACGAGCAGTGCTGATGCCCAGCCAGGAGGAGGGCATTGTGTACTTCTCCCCCAGCCAGGAGGGGGGAGGGAGGGGGAGAGGGGAGGAGGAACAGGGAGCTAGGGAGCTGGAGGTGGGTGTGGGCGCTGTCCTCGCCCTGATCTGCCTCTCCACTATGCTCTTCCTCGCCAACTGTCTTCCCTGCGCCCTGAAAGACAAGAGGAGGTCAAAAATGGAGGAGGAGGAGGAGGAGAGAGGAGAAGGAGAAGGGGGAGGACAGGAGGAAGAGGAGCAGGAGAGAAAGGAGAGGGCGACAGAGGAAAGAGAGGAGGAGGGTGAGAAGAAGAAGATGAAGCAGGTAGAGGGAATGGAGGAGGTGACAGAGGTTGAGATCATCTGCTGATGAAGCTGCATTATGTTTCAGTAAAAATCGTCTGAACAGACAAACATAGACGTGACTCTTCTCGCATGCCGTCACCATGTTCAAATGGAACAATGAAAGCAGAAAGAGAGACAATCTGCAGACTGTTTTTATCTGTAGGGTTCCATGCAGGAGGAGTTTTACAGCATGTGATGAAGCTGCTGCTGTCTGATCAACTCTGACCTCAACATGTCAATTCTTTTTTTAGTTGCATTCCTTTCTTTTCTCAACCCCCAAAATACCATCAAAGACTTATTCATTCTCTTTCTATGCAAAGCAGGTGTGTAGTGCAGATTAATCCACTGTAAGACAAAAACTCTTCCTCCGATAAGCAGAACCAGACTGGGTGGAGGCAGACATTACAAGCACCTTAACTAAAAGGTGAAACTAAAAAACTAAAAGTAAAGACCAACTCACAGTTAGGCTCTGTTGTCTTCTGTTGAGTTTCAGAGTTTTAGACATTCCTTGTTGTTGCATTACCACCATCTATAGGATTATTTTAGGTCTGCAGTGTAAGCTGCTATAATTTCACAAAGCCATTCTTACCTTTTCCCAATGAGTCTGGATCTATAACCGCAGACATTGTGGTCAGTGCTGCTCTTTCCCAATCACTGGACTGCATCAACACTATCAGCACCTGGCAGCTGTGTTTTCAGAGCGCAGCACAGGTCTGCACCATTGTTTTTAGTCAGCTGACTGAGGATTTCCCACGTTACCAAATAAACAGAATCAACAAAGGCGGTGAACCTCTCATGATCTACATTTTGTCCTTAGTCCTCTGAATATCTCTGACCTGTTGCCTCCAGGCCTCTTTGTTAATATAGTGCAGTAAAATCCACCTGGTGCAAACACAGATTCTTTTATTTTTGAAAGCAGCTTTTTAAATGTTTTTTAGCCTGAATTCCTGTGATGCTGGATCTGCTAGTTGATGCTCTGTGCCCTTCCTTCAATAAAAAATGCTGTAACTGCTGCAGAGGGCTCTGGATCGCCAAGGAGCAGAAACATATCTACTGAAATGAAAACGCTCTGCTGCCTCGAAGAAGCAGAGCGTTTTCATCCGAATCAGATCTGAAACTGGTCTGGTGAGATGATTCCAAAGAAGAAGGGTCTGGTAACTGAAAGCTCTACTTCCCAGACAACTTTTTAGAGACTTTGGTTACCACAAACAGGCCTGCATACTGGGAGTGAGATATTTTGAGTGGTAACAGGACAGTATGAGCTCTCTATGTGTTTTGGTTCACGTTTGATCAAAGATGATTTTACTCAGTGGACCTGAAAACAAGTGCACCGATATCAAACCTCCACTGTTCAGGAGCTGGAAACTTACATGAGTATGGTTGTAGTCAGGCTATGTCCAGCCTCCATAATGCATGAATTTTATATAACATTTTTTTATTAATCTTTGTACAATCTTTCAGTTCCAAACCAGAAAAAAACTGTTGAACAAACCATGCAAAGTGCATAAGCTGTTTTCAGTGTAGAAACCACATGTAAACATTCGCCCCGACTGTACTCTGTTGTTTAGTATTTTGTCTGTGGTTTATCCCTGATGTCCTTTCAGAGTGTTTCAAATAAATCATGCTGAATGAACTCTACTTTTAGAAAAACAGCTGCTTACTGGTTTGTAACATAAACTGTACATAGAATGAACATGACTCTGCCTCCCTTAACTATAGAAATTTAAGACAAAAAACTCCCAATTGCTGTGATTTTGTCCTGAAACCGGCGTTTGGATCGTAGCATTTGGCTGGGGATTCGCTGTAGTGATGCTTTGCATTAACAGTGTACCCCACTGGTGTCCTATGGAAAGTTCTCTACGCCAAAAATATTTGTCTGCCCTGCTCGACACAGAGACAGCAATTTAAATATGGGCTGCCAGAACTTTGTGTTCAGTGGTAAAAAGATGTAGTCTAATATTATCTATTATTATCTATTATCTAATAGTTGTTAGCAATTTAAAAGATGATAGATTTGCTCTTGTAGTGAAAAAATGGCATAGCAATGACCAGCTAATTATTATTTCTGTTTGCCTTGTTTTAGACAAAGAATAAAACTCTGGAAAGATTGAATGGTGTTTGGAGATGCGCTACTGAGGCCAACAGTTAGTATCAAGGTCATTGTTACAGCTGTTAACACTAAGAAGCTCACTGTTATTCTGTATGTGCAGGTTTATAGAAATAATTACAGTTACTTCTGTCTCAATATCTGTTATCAGCACAGCTTTGAAATTTAATTACACTGAACCAAACATCAGCACAATGTTTCATGGACAGGTGATTTTTTTTTTTTATATTGTAAACTCGACAGAATGAGTGGAGACAGCCACAGCCACAGCCACCATGTGACATCATGAGGACCAACCTTAGTCTGGATGCCCATCCCCTGTGTTAGGCTAAGGTGGCCTAGTTAGAAGGGACCTCCTCACCCTCTTACACCTGTCTACATTAGGGATGAGCAATACATGAGCATTGTCCACATATAGATGAGCCATTTTTCATATTTCAGATCACTACATCAAGGCAATCATAGTTTTGTCTCTAACTAGTGTATCTGCATATATTTCAAGATTTTGTGCATCCCTGTAAACCAACAGAGTGAGTGTAAATGTAACCTTCTTGATAATATAGCATGCCAAAAAAAAAGTGGTCTCCTATGCTCAACTTACCCCATGTATGGGGTAAGTTGAGCCGTATCCCTACTATCCCACGCTCACCCCGCTCTCCACCTCAGTCCCCCCTCACCTTCTCCCTCCCTAATTAACAGTCATTTCTATACATTCATGTGTATTTTTTAAATCTATTTTATGCCATTCAACTGGTACAATAACTTCTTCTTTTTTTTACAGCTAAAAGGCTGTTTTGTAGACAGCCATTTTCACATGAGAATGCCTTGAAGTGATTCAGAACATTCACAGCTGTACTTTTGAAAAGAAAAAGTAACACATTTCAACAATCTGAACTGAAACTCTGACCCTCTCATCATACTCCTTTACTTTCTCAGTTAAGCCATGGGCTCAACTTAGCCCTGGCCAAATGGCTCAACAATTATGAAATCGTCTTTTTTGGTCTAAACACAATTTTAATGATTCTATGATCGATTAAATTCATTTTCAAGAGTGAAAAATGTGTTTTTCAGAAATCAATGTCTAACCCCTTGACCCATGTGCTTCTTACCTTCACAGACTCCATGACATGATGCCCACCTCTTAAACATTTGGTCACATTATCTTTTTTTCTTCTTCTTTTTTTACCATTTCCTAGCAACAGGGGGTGGCTCAACTTACACTTTGACTAAACTTACCCCAGTCTCCCACTATGTCACAATTATTGTGTTGTTTTAAAGGAAGCACTGCGCTGTAATGCATGACAAACAAAAAGGTCATGCAGTACAGCCAAGGCTAGTAGTTACTATTATTCTCCATCAGAGCATGTTTGACCAAAACAACACAAAGTTTTTAAGATGATACCTCTCTAAAGTCCTGTGGCATCATGATTCCTGCCTTGTCTTCCTGTCTGTACTTTATTTCAGACTGTCAGGCACTAACCAAAAAAGGACAGCATATGGACGACACTGTACTTCAATGTTAATAAATAACATTTTTTTTTTTTTTTACTTAAGTTTAATTTTTTCTATTGACTGGACTCTTAAGACAGCACATGATTTAACGTATTTTGTTTGACTGCAATTGTAATAAGGGAGGGCATAAACTGTTTCTTTTCTCTTCTCTCTGTCTGCCTGTGAGAGACTTTAGTGTGGGAAAGATGTTCCTTTAACTCCAGGATCACCTAAAAGGCCGCTGGACAAAGTGTGACTGTGTGGTAGAGCTTTTTAAGGCTGACACATTCATAGTTAGACATCTTTTTGGAGGTAAAAGTGCAGAATGGTGATGACAAACTGTTTCGGATCCTTTGAGGGCTGAGCTGATTGTTGTCTACACCACATTATGTTTTTAGCTAGTGATGGTTTAGCATTTCAGTCCTGCAGGGGAAATCTATTATTCTTAAAAAAATAAAGCCCACTAATCAAACTTCTTTTGTGTGATTCTTAATAATTAGACCCTGAATTTACTCCAGTTAACAGGCGTCACCCAGCCAGGAAACATATGAGGTCGTACAGTCTATGTTTTGTACTTTGGGAAGTTTGATGAATGAAGATGATTATAAAGCAGGAGTTAAAAAAAATTTTTTAAGACCTTTTTTTTTTTACCTTTTGTTAGACCTTTGCCGGTCTGCCAAAGTGCCACTCGACTTTGTTTCTTCGGGACCTCTACAAAAGACAGGACTTTATAAAACTGCTCAATGCTCAATTTTTTGACAAAGTTGTGTCGAACAATTAGCTAACATCTATCTCTAACCCCTGAACAGAACTGACTGATATTAGCTTTAGCCTTGAGGTTTTGTCATCTTATGAATAAAATAATAACCAAAGACTACATACGTAAACCCACAGCTGCTGTAAGCACATGTTTTAACAAAATGAAATGATTTCTCAAATGATTTGCAGTACAGTTTTTGTCATATGTAACCTGCAGTCATTTTAGTTGCTAACAGTATATTGTTGTCATATCGTCACATTGAGACTACAACAAGCATATATTTGATCAAACAAAATACAGAACTTGCCAAATACAGTGTGTTTAGTACAACAAAATGTAATTTCATACTAATTGAATGCTATTTCTGGTATATTAATAGTAACATCTATGTTTTCAGTACAAGACTAACAATTTTTTTGTTGCTACCTAAAAACTTTTTTTTTGTTTTTGTTTTGAATCCGATCAAACTTACTGATTGGTCCCATATTTCAAAGCAGCCACTGCTTAATATCAGAGTCTAACATTACACATTCACGTTACAACTATCATGTTATAACGCAAAACTTTTCACATTAAGGTTTCGGAGAGAATGACCATTGTGAAAATTTAAGCTAAACACATCTAATTATTTTACAGAATGTGAAATAAGCTATTAACAAATGATTTG